CAGACAATAACAAGTGTTGGTAAGGATATGGAGAACCTGGAACCTTTATATGTTGCTCTTGGGAATGTAAAATGGTACAGTCACTTTGGAAAACAGCTGGAAACTCCTTAAAAATTGACACATAATCTTACCACCTGACCAGCAATTCCTCTTAAGGTATCTATCCAAGAGAAATGAAAAAAAAAAGTCTATATAAAGACTTGTTAATGTTTGTAACAACATGATTCCTAATAAACCCCAAGGGAAAACAATCCAAGTATAATGGAATACCATTCAGCAATAAAATGGTTGAAACACTGATATACACTACAACACGGATGAACCTCAAAACATTATGTTAAATGAAAGGGGACAGAGGCAATGGACTACATATTGTATACTCCATTTATAAGATATGTCCCAAAAGGCATACTTATAAATACAGAAGGCAGATCGGTGGTGGCCTTGGTGCTGGGGGTGTTAGTGGGAACTGACTACATACAGATTTGAGGGAAGTTTTGGGGGGTGATGGAAATGTTCTAAAACTAGATTGGGGTGATGGTTGCACAACTTTATAAATTTACTAAAAAAAGTATTGAATCGTACACTTACCAGAAAAGAAAAGTGGATGAAGGAGGGCCTGATTTGAACCATTTTGGGGATAATATTTTAAGACCAGTGACATTTGGAACGTAATATAAAATATGGTACAACAAAAGAATTTGTAAAATCTTTTCAATTTTCCAATTATAACCAGATTTGTCTTTACTATATTCTCATCCTGACTGTGCCTTTATCAAAGTTTAAAATGGTCATATATTTGAAAGGCACAAAATAAAATGAAATCGAATTACCATTACATATCGTTAAATAAAAAGAATGAAAACAGCAGAAAAGGTGGACCTTGTGTTTGGCTTTTGTGTTAATATGCTGCTACCTAGTGATCATTTATAAAATGGCAGGACTTGGTTTTTTTTTTTTTGGCTTGGATTTGTTGAGCCACGTCTATATAACAGAAATATCTGAATGCTTGGCTATGTGTAGGTTAAATGTCTAAATGAATCACTGAATAATTTATGCTTCCTAAAAATACTGTAGTGGCGAGAACTGGATTGGGAGTCCCCCCAAAATGGCTTCCAGTCCCTGATCTGTCCAGTGTCAGCTTTCTGACTTTGAGCCAGGAATAGATTCATCTTCTGGTTCCAAAGTTCAAGGAGAGGCTCTGTAAGGAAGTGGCTAATAGCATGGCCTTGGGGCAAGCTCCTTAACTAAACTTTGGTGTCCTATTTTTTAAAATGGGGATAGAAGAATACCCACTTCCAGGGTACCTGTGAGAACTACATGTAAGAATGCGTGTAAAAGCACTTATCTCAAAATATACCTCAGAAGTTAGGCTACAGTGATGTTTCCCTATAGTAATAATGTGGCTCAAAAAATCCTTTATCTACTGTTTAAAATTAGTTACCACTCCCCACCCCAAAGCAATTAACAAAAACCCAGAAGGATACAAATTCGAAATATACTTAGATTATCAGCTAATTGGAAAAACATATTCGGACAATTTCATTTTTTAAAATAATGAGTAAAGGTAAAGGCTGCATAGAACTTGGAATTTTACAAATAACTTGAAATTTGTACTTGCTGATTATTTTAAAACAATCCAGACAGTGACAGGGATGTCAAGGGGTGACTTCTAGCTGGTACTCTCACCACCAGTGTCTTATGGATGCCTGTCACGTTTAATATATGCCAGCCAGCACAATTCTGACCAGATAAAATACAACTGTTTCATTTCCGCAAGAATTAAAATGAGCGTTTGCTCCACTCTGGATTTTATTCCACAAGTCAGTGAACCATGCTGCTTAAGGATGAATACCATCTAAAACTAAAGGGTTTCTACTATTTACTCCTTCATCCATTAATTTCCTTAGGATGTCAGAACATCTAGGTGATTGAGCTTAGGTTTTATTTTCCATGCAGATGTTTTGGCATTGCTTATACAGTGTATCTTTGTCTTTAACAGCTTTATTGAAGGATAATTTAGACACCATCGAATTCACCTATTTAAAGTGTACAGTGCCCTGAGTCTTGGGAAATGTATATAGTTGTGCAGCCATTACTACGATCCAGTTTTTGAACAGTTCCATCACATACTTTACGTTTGACCAGCCCCATACAGAAAGAATTCATTGGCTCATTAACCTGTGGATTTAAACTATCTAGCTCTAGGACCTAGCCTAGCCATTCATTCTGAATCAATCAAGTTTTAAAGAAAAACAAACTCAAAGTCTCAACTTTACTCAAAATAGGGGTCCATAAAGCACATCGTGTCCAAAGGGCTCTCCAAGAGTCTACAGGCTAATTACGGATATAAATTAAAAATAAGTTAATATATACACAGTAATGTATGTATTTTGAAAAGTGTATATTGTATAATTCACTATAGTTTATGACCACCTTTCACAAAAAAATTTGTTTGTATTTTCACTCTTATAAATATGATTAAGTGGGACAAACTGTCCAGAGCTTAAACATTTTGTTCTAGCATATCCCAAATTTATGGGAGAAATATTTCCCCTTTCTGTGATTTGGCTGTGAACACTTTCATGGGGTTGGACCTGATACTGGCTTGAATACTTGCAGAGGAAGAGCTTCTTCCTCAATGGGATATTTAAGAGGCCCCAATTTTGTCTTATTTGTTTCAAAAAGACATTATTCAATAAATAATTAAATTATCATGCCCCTTTTCCTGCAAATCCAGTATTCATGGTCCTCTTCTCTTAATACAGCATTAAAAATGTGCATAAAAAACTCTCAATGCAAGAATTACAATCTGGGAATAATGGAAATGCCTCTATTTATTTATTTGTTTTTTGCTCCTTTCCTGTCTCTACGTTTATCTATAGGTGTTTCAGAAGGGATAGTTATGTATAAACTAACTCCATTTTGCTTCCAGACACATCTTTATCTAGTCCTACAGAGTTTACTGCTAACTCCACTCATCTTGACATTTAAATACTATTTTACATTGTTATTTAAGTGTTCAGTATGTGCTAGTTCTGTCTCCTCCAAATACTGAGCAAGCTCTTTGTGGTTAGAATAGTCATCTTAGGGCTTTCCTGGTGGCGCAGTGGTTGAGAGTCCGCCTGCCGATGCAGAGGACGCGGGTTCGTGCCCCGGTCCGGGAGGATCCCATGTGCCGTGGAGCAGCTGGGCCTGTGAGCCATGGCCGCTGAGCCTGCGCGTCCGGAGCCTGTGCTCCGCAACGGGAGAGGCCACAACAGTGAGAGGCCCGCGTACCGCAAAAAAAAAAAAAGAAAAAAGAAAAAAGTCATCTTAAACTTTGTGTATGAATAAATGAATTGTATATTTCTCAAGCACGTGGTCCACACTGGGCACAAAAAATGCTAATAAGGGCTCATTTAATTAATAAATGATAACTTGGGCTTCCCTGGTGGCGCAGTGGTTAAGAATCCGCCTGCCAGTGCAGGTGACATGGGTTAGATTCCTGGTCCGAGAACATTCCACATGCCACGGAGCAACTAAGCCCGTGCGCCACAACTACTGAGCCTGCGCTTCTAGAGCCCGTGCTCCGCAACAAGAGAAGCCGGCTCACCACAACGAAGAGTAGCCCCCGCTCGCCGAAACTAGAGAAAGCCCGCGTGCAGCAACGAAGGCCCAACGCAGCCATAAATAGATAAATAAATAAAATCTATTAAAAAAATAAATAAATGATACCTCAGGTTTGTCTCCCCTCCTCTGGAACCCCTAGGACATTTACATTTATCATTTAGCCCAGATTTCCTAGAATTTGCAATTTCCTGTCCTACGGTCTCCATAAGTACAGTTGCACACACCATATGTCTGGACATATGGTCCTCAGTAGTTGTAAGACGAAGCCATCTTTCTTGCAGTAAGTCTCTGATTTCTATTTCTCCCTTTTTGTTGACTAAGAGATCTGATTACGATTTCAAATAGTCCCCTTTCTTTTAACTTCACCCTCTATTTTTAATATTACAAAAAGCATACTAGTAGAAAAAGTCTGACAATACAAAGTGTGCAAAATAAAACTCCCTTTCACCAAAGACAATCTATTTCTCCTGTTGTTTCCACTTTGAAACATTTCTAACTCAGGTCTCCTACACCGAGCACCTAGAGAACATTGAGTACACAGAGGAGGCGGCTGCGCTGTCCCCTGGGCACCCGTCGGCAGACGGCCCACTCGCTAATTCTCTGACCTCGGGTGAGTCACTCAAACGTCTATGAGTGTCGGGGGTCCTTAAAATGCTGCGCATGTCACCAGGTTGTCAAGAGAGATATGTATGGGTTAGCGCTTTGTGTTGTGTAGCCCTAGTCTTTATGCCGGCTTTACGATAGATTTGCCAGTTCATCCTGCAGCTTTAAAGGACGCCCCATCAGCCCTCACTCGCGCCCCGCCCCTCGCCCCTAAATTGCAAATCCAGTGCCTCCTCCTGCGGTGGCCGCTTCTCAGGGTCTCCTCCCCTCCCCAGTGACCCCTCGCGGAGGCAGAGCGCCCACTAGCGCCAGGCCCCGGCTCGCAGATGACCGCGAAGCTCCAGGCGCTCTTGGCTTCCGGGAGAAGGCAGCTTTCTTTGCAGAGGAGTTTGTAACGTCTGCTTCCTCTAGGGCCGCCTCTAGATCTTAAATGAATATACGCTAGAGTAGTCCCGCTCACTGTCCCGTTCTTTCGTCTTCCAAGACCTGCAAAACAAAGCTTCCCTCGGCCCGGAAGCCCTGCCAGCCCCCAAGCCTCCCTCTAGCACCAGCCACGCCCCACCAACCAGACCAGGTTCCCCCCTCCGCCCCTTCGCCTCATTTTTGATTTCGGCGCGCCGCGAGCCTAGGTTGGAGGTGAGCACACTCCCCGTCTGATTGACTGATTGTAGCTAGGGTGGGTGGGGCTAAGGCCGCGGCGGTGAATTATGGGGGTTAAGACTACAGGAGGTGGGTGACAATTGGTTCCTGAATGAGGAGGGCGGAGTAAAAGGCGGAAGCAGGCGTTGGGGGTGGGGGTGATTTCGGGGAAGAGGAAAGAAGTAGTGGGATGGAAGTGGTTGGGTGTCCACAGCACGGTAGGAGGTCAGGGTGGTAGGGTCCTTCGGGGTCTGTCAGCCTAGCGTGGCGTAATCATTGTCGACCTTCTCTCCTCAGGGACCTTATGTTTTCTGAAGACCGGCGTCCGAGATGGCCCGAATAAAGGAAAGAGCTTCTTCGTGTGCCCGGCGGACACATGCAGCTTCGTGCGGGCCACCGAGTAGGTCTCGAGCTGGGCACGGTTCCCTGCAACTGCGCGTGGCCTCCCAGGAGGAGTCTCCGGCTCCCCGCTTCCCACAAGGACTAGGAGAGCTGGGACCCCTGGTCTGCGGAGCCAGGGCCCTTTAAGTAGTTGGTAATCCCAGGAAAGCGTGGCATGTTAGGGACACGCTCCGCCACTGCTTCCTGTGTGACCCAAGGCTGGTTACTTTCCCTCTCTGGGCCGCCAATTCCCTCCCTTATAACATGGAGGATTGGCTACATCTGGATCCTTCTGGTCCTTTTCAGTTCTGGGTTTCTGTTCACCAGTCAGGCCTTGACCCTCCCTTCTCCTGCTTGAACATTACCCCCGTCCCATTTAAGTGAGGCATACAGGCATAGCAGAAATTAACTGGTGCCAGCTTTGCACTAGTTTTAGGCCGAACTGGTTTTTATTTATTTATTTTAAAAATTTTATTTATTTATTTATTTTTGTTTGCATTGGGTCCTCGTTGCTGCACGCTGGCTTTCTCTAGTTGGGGAGAAAGGGGGCTACTCTTCGTTGCGGTGCGCAGGCTTCTCACTGCGATGGTTTCTCTTGTTGTGGAGCACAGGCTCTAGGCACGTGGGCTTCAGTAGTTGTGGTGCATAGGCTCCGTAGCTGTGGCGCATAGGCTCAGTAGTTGTGGCTCGTGGGCTCTAGAGCACAGGCTCAGTACTTGTGGTGCATGGGCTTAGTTGCTCCGCAGGATGTGGGATCTTGGCGGACTAGGGCTCGAACCGGTGTCCCCTGCATTGGCAGGCAGATTCTTAACCACTGCGCCACCAGGGAGGCCCTCCAACTGGTTTTTAAATGTTTGAAGTTAGAACACTCTGGTAGTCAGATTAACAGCCCCCTTTAAAAATAGTATTCTCTGCATTTAAGTGGTGAGATTGATATTCCAAAGAAACAAATTACTTTAGGGATTAAAGCTGAAAGAAACATCAGAAATCCTGAAATAAACATCAGAAATCTGATTCAGCAGTCTAATTTTTTACGAAGGTGAAAGCTGAGACCCAGAAATATTAAGCATCTTCTTTGAAGTGAGGAAAGTTAATACTGTTCTCATAAAGTGTTGTTAATGTTTTCACAGTACCAAGTGTCCACAGTTTCTATGTGAAATTTTAAACTGTCACATCATTATGCATTTTTCCTGCTTTCTACTTAACTTGGTTTAGAAAAGGTATTTTTCTACATATGTAAGGCACATAATGGATATCAATACTAGAAAATAAAGTATTTTTTCAACACATACATTAACTTCTCATGTTTCCCCCAAATGATTTAGATGATTTGTGTTTTTGTTATGCTTTGAAACTAAGTTGAAGATTTTTACCCTTTTTCAGATTTAGAAAATAAATTTTTAGAGAAAATATTTTCTTAGCCTTCTAATAAGCTTTTACATTTGAAAGAAATTACTGGGATCCAATTTAATTAAATACAAAGTGACTCTGTTTAAATCAGTGTTAAATCTTTAGAAGGGACCAAAAAAAATACTCAAGCTATCAACACCATATCATTATGGCAGAGTTTACTGTTTAATTTCTGATATCTATATGGAGCTTCTTAGGTTCAGTACCTAGCTCAGGTTTCATGAGACATGAAAGCACATTCAGATTTGTAGGAGTTAAACATTAATAGAAGCATAAGATTTGGTTTTAAGTGAAGAGAAAAATGTCCTTAGATAGCTTACCATTTATAAGAACATATTGCTATACAAACTAGTACAATAATATTTGATATGAAGACGGTTATTTGATAAATTCGACCTCTTTGGAATGTCTAGTAACCAGAATATAAGCAAAAAGACAAAGAAAATGTCACAGGTCATGTGAGACTACTTTAGATCTTCACTCTCAAATGTTATACATAAATTCTTTCATAGTAAGAAGTTGGAAGGGAGGAGTTGAACTTATGCCAACCAAGCATGAAGCAAATTAGTAGAGTGTGTTTGCAGAGTTGGCATGTGAACAACACTGAGTGACAGCAAACAGGTTATCAGGAAGAAGGATGATGGAAGAACCTGGGGAAAATTCACAGCTTGGAGGTATCGCAGTATAGTGGTCACATAGCACAGTATCATTTTAAACTTGAGTCCTCAGGAAAAAGATAGGTATATTTACTGTCATATTTTATTTGGGGGCATGAGAAGAGATGAAAGCTGTGGGCCCTTTCCCCAGGGAATGCACTTAGACATAAAAGTGGGGGGGATTTACAAACCCAGTAGAGGTCATACATGGACCCTTAAGTTTAAAACCCATATTCTGGATTTAATTTTAGGATATTGACCTCTATTCTTTGCCTCCTAAAACAAAATTTCAATTTTTTTTCCCTCTAGCATTCCTGTTTCTCATTGTTTATTGCATGAGGACTTTGCGGTAGAGCTTCAGGGTCTGTTTCTATCACAGGGCGAGAAAGAATACAGGTAAGTGTCTAAAAGGAACAGCTAAGTGTATTTTTGTTTTGCTTGGCCTGGTGGGGTTACAGTCAGGTGTTTTCCTAGGATTGACTATTCTTTAAAAGTCATTAAAAAACAAACGGTATTTCTATATATATTGAATACCTTTTGGGCTGTCACTTCCTGAGGTTAATGTGAGAAGCCTGACTTCCGGTTAATTTCTGGATAAACTGCTCTCCCTCCCTCCCTCTCCAGCTCTCAAGTAGCGAATTTAACATCAGCCCACCAGTGGTCATTAACTTGTACTAACTCGTCAACTTTCTCATTCTGGTAGTACAATGAGGTAATGTGTAAAAATGTCTAATGTATGTTACGTACTCAATAAATGCTAGTTTCCCTTTTATGGGAACTCAGAGAAAGGGCAGAGAAGTCTATATAGGTGGCAGATATTTGTCATGAGTATTGAAAAATAAGTAGGAATTCGCTAGGGGCAAAAAAGAGGTCATATTTAACAGATCAGTATCCTGCATTAGTGTACAGGGGCATGAAGTAATTGCAAGCATTTGGTTCAGTAGTTAGCATATATTTGAGTGGAGACTTCAGAAGATAAGGCTGGCCAGGAAGGCAGGGGCCAGATGTAATGTTTTTATATGATATTCTGTGCAGTTTGGAATTTATGTATTCTAGATCAATATTTCCCCCCAAGTATAGGCATTCAAGTACCATCTTTACAACTTTTACATAACTGAAAACTGCCTGTACTACTGTATTTCTTAACTGAGTTATGCATGCAGTAAGATGCACAGTTCTTTTAAGTGTTCAACCGGTTGAGTTTTGAGAAAGGTATATACCCATCCTTATAACCAAGATCCCAGTCAAAATATAGAATATTTATTTCCATTACCCCATTAAGTGCCATTGGATCCCTTCTAGTTAATCCCCCCACCCACTGTAGCCAGTCATTGTTTTGATTCATACTGTATGTATTCTTTTGTATCTGGCTTTTATGTAACAGTATCTGTGAGATTCATCCATGTGGTTGTGTGTATCAGTAATTCATTTTTTTAAAATAAATTTATTTACTTTTTGGCTGCGTTGGGTCTTCGTTGCTGCGCACGGGCTTTCTCTACTTGTGGCGAGCGGAGGCTGCTCTTCGTTGCGGCGTGCGGGCTTCTCATTGCGGTGGCTTCTCTTTGTTGCAAAGCACGGGCTCTAGGGCATGCAGGCTTCAGTAGTTGTGGCGTGCAGGCTCAGTAGTTGTGGCTCGCGGGCGCTACAGCACAGGCTCAGCAGTTGTGGCGCATGGGCTTAGTTGCTCTGCGGCATGTGGGATCTTCCTAGACCAGGGATCGAACCCATGTGTCCTGCATTGGCAGGCGGATTCTTAACCACTGCGCCACCAGGGAAGTCCCCAGTAATTCATTCTTTATTATTGCCCAGTTGAATTCCATTTTATGAATACCATTTTGAATACCATTTATGAAGACCATTTTGTTTCATGTGGTTTTTTGCCATTTCTGTATATCTTCTTTGATGGAGTATCTGTTTAAAATTTTTGCCCATTTTTTAAATTGAAATTTTTAAATGACATAATTGTAGAGTCACAAGTAATTAAAAGAAATATTGACAGTACAGAGAGATCCTCTGTAGACTTTACCTAATGGTAACATTTTGCAAAATTTAGTATAATATCATAACTAGGATATTGATATTTATATTGATAATTCACTGATCTCATTTGTAAAGATAGTTTTACTTGTACTAATTTGTGTGTGTACACATACATTTAGTTCTATACAACTTTATCAAGTGTAGTTTTGTGTATTCACTACAACAGTCAAGATATTGAGTGGTTCCATTACCGGAGGATCCTTCTTGTTGCCCTTTTATAACCACATCCACCTTCCTCGTTTCCCCCTGTTCACCCCTGCCAATCATGAACCTGATCTACAGCTCTAAAATTTTGTCATTTCAGAATGTTACATACATGGAATCATATAGCATGACTTTGGGGGATTTTTGCCTATTTTTAAAATTGAGTTGTCTTTTGTTATTGAGTTGAGAGAGTTCTTTATGTATTCTCTGTAGAAGTCCTTCGGTGGATATATGGATTGTGAATGTTTACTCCCCATCTGTGGCTTTCACTTTCTTGACTATCTTTTGAGGAGCAGAAGCTTTTCATTTTATGAAGTCCAATTTATCATTTTGTTATGGTTTGTGCTTTTTGTGTTCTCTGAGAAATCTTTGCCTACCTCAAGATCATAAAGTTCTCCAGTGGTTTCTTCTAGAAGTTTTATAGTTTTTTTTTTTAATGACTTTTTTGTTTAGTCTATGCTCTACCTCATATTATCAATAATTTGGGGTACCTCATGAGATTCAAACTGAGGCTCATTTAATTTTTCATATAGTAATGAATGAATGTTATTCAATTGTTTCAGCACCATTTTTTGAAGAATGTTATTCAATTGTTTCAGCACCATTTTTCCTTTCGCCGTGGAAACACTTGTCACCTTTGTTGAAAAATCGGTTGACCACCACGTGTGGGTCTGTTTTTGGACTTGCTAAGCTCTTCCATTGATCTATTTGCCTATCCTGATAAGATCAGATAAGGTCGTGTGAATCCAACTTTCCTTTTCAAGATTGGCTATTCTAGGTCCTTTACATTTCCATATAAAATGTAGAATCGACTTTTAAAATTTCCTCAGAAAACTCAGTTGGGATTTCATTGAACCTATATAGATGAGTTTGGGGAGAACTGACATCAATATTGATCTTCCAGTTCATGAGCATGGTATATTATTTATTTATGACTTTTAAAATTTCAGCATTACGGAATAGTTCTCATTATAGAGTACTATACCCTTTTGGTTAAATTTAGTCCTCAGTGTTAATGTTTTTTGACACTGTTGTAAGTGGAATTTTTTTTTTGGCTGTACCATGCGGTTTGTGGGATCTTAGTTCCCCAACCAGAGATTGAACCCTGGCCATTGGCAGTGAAAGTGCAGAGTCCTAACCACTCGACCGCCATGGAATTCCCTATAAATGGAATTTTTAAAAAATTCACTTTTCTGTTGTTTTTTGCTAGTACAGTGGTGCCAGTAAGCCTCCAGTACGTGAAGTTAGGATGTTCTCCTTTACACACTACTGGGGGCCCTGAATCATACAGAGATATTGTCCTATGTGGTAGGAAGACGCCGAAGAACTTTATTCAGTTTACATTAAAAGAAGCACTATGGAAGTTAGATTAGGAAGTGAAGGCAGTGGAGGCACGGAGCCCACTGAACTAATAGTTGCTATTGAATGCCTACTACGTGGCATATTCTTTACCTCTTATCTTCATAAAATCTGCTGTGAGAGGTTTCAATATCCCTGTTGTATAGACAGATGAGGAAACATTTAGAGAGGTTAGAGAAGAAATCTGAGGTACCATGGTTATGATGTGGCATCACTGGGATTTGAGCCTCGGTCTAACCAACTCCAGGCACACCCACCTTCTCTAAGTGAAAGATGGGTTTGGATTGAAGCCCTGGCAGTGGAGTTGGGTGCGCTTAGACTGGAGAACACTTGCTGAAATGGATACGGCACGTTTCCTGGTAGGGTGTTTAAGCATGTTTAAGCATGTTCTTTCCTCCATTTACTCAGCTGGGACAGTGGTCATGGTAGCCCCGATTTCACTCAGTTGTGAGGGTTCACTGAGGCCGTGTGTGTGGTGCACTTAGTCTGGCGTTCGGCACGTGGTCAGTGCTCAGGAAATGGTTGCCTAGTTGGGTGTATGGATGATGAGTTTACCATTAAGCAAGACAAGGAAGGAAAGGTAACATCAGTAGAGGATGGCTAACACATACAGCTTTGGACTCATTGTGTCTTATGTATGTATGAAACCAGCTAGCAAAGTGAGTGGGCAGCTCCGAAGAAAGGTCTAAGCTGAAGACAGAAGTTTGAGAACTTGTCTCTAATATTCTTCACACTAGGTAGATGAGGCTGAGAGGTGATCATTATTTTAAAAATAGAAAAAGAATGCTTGAATGTATTTATTTTAGTCCAGATCTAGAACACTTATTAGGAGGTACTTACTAGAGCTTTAAAAAGCTTGTTTTAGGACAAATAAAATACAGTTCTGCAACACTCAACAAATTAAAAACAAAGCAAAAAATCCAACAAGTACCTTGATAGGTGGTACAGGCTGGAAATTTAAAAAGAAATAGGTGATGTGTCTATGGATGATGACTTCCTTAGCAGACAGCAAGGCATTTAGCCAGAACCCCTGTACTCTGGAGAACGATGTCAGGGAGTACAGCCTTTCCTTCCCCAAAACTGGGTTTTCTTTTCAGGAACTTAAAGTACTTTACATGCTTGAATTAATACCATTATGTTTAACGCTTAACCTAGCTAGGAGACAGGTGTAGCAGAGTAATGCAGGGGAGGTATAAACCAAAGTAGGACTAAGATGCGCATTTTTGGTACCTTGGAGTAAAGCCGCTTTTGTGTGTAGTTCTCTAACTAAACACCAGATGGTACCACTCACCAGCGTTTGACTGACCCTCAGCCATGAGCATTTTTAATGCCCAGTTTATGGGCATTAAAGAAAACTATGATAGTCCCTCGGTAGAACCAGAGGGAACAACCCTTGCTTTGACGTTAATGATGTGGCACACGTTGATATACAGATGTTGGACATTGTCATCCAGCTCCTGAGTTCATGTTCTCTCCCCTCTCTCTCTCTCTTTTAGCTTTCATTCTCAAGGATATGGGGTCAAAATAGATGGTAATATTCTTTTGTCTGTAGTTGGGTAAAACCAACTAGTTATTTTAGTTCTTTAAATAACTAGTTGTAGTGGGATGTTCAAAATACTTCATTTTTCATACCACTTGAATCTTTGCATGTCTAGGAAACTCCTTGTATGGTTGGTTACTGGGTAGAATTGACATGCAGGTTATTTAACCCAGTGATGATTACTTAGGCTGATGACGGAGAGGCATTTGGGCATGAACCAGACCCATGCAGAAGGACCTCAGGCCCAGCAACCCATGAAGAACTCCACTCAATAAAGCCAGGACTTTTACTAGGTGCTGTAGAGTGTCGTGCACTGCGCTGTATCATAGAAGTAATCCTTGTGTGGAGAGGATATTAACCCTTTGTAATATGTGTAGAAATTACTTTCGCCAGTTTGCCTTTTTTTTTTGCGGTACGCGGGCCTCTCACTGTTGTGGCCTCTCCCGTTGCGGAGCACAGGCTCCGGACGCGCAGTCTCAGCGGCCATGGCTCACGGGGCCAGCCGCTCCGTGGCACGTGGGATCCTCCAGGACCAGGGCACGAACCCGTGTCCCCTGCATCGGCAGGCGGACTCTCAACCACTGCGCCACCAGGGAAGCCCCCCCAGTTTGCCTTTTGGCTTGTAATTTCACCTATAGTATTTTTACTATATGGAAGTTTAATACTTTTATGTAGTCAAATTACTAAATCCTTTCTCAGCTGCAGGATTTTGTCATTCCCTTTTCACTTTAGGATTACAAAAATATTCATCTCCATTTTTTTCCTAGAACATTTACAGTTTCATTCTTTTTTTTTTTTAAATACATTTGTCTACTTATTTATTTTTGGCTGCGTTGGGTTTTTGTTGCTGCGTGCGGGCTTTCTCTAGTTGTGGTGAGCGGGGGCTACTCTTCGTTGTGGTGCTCAGGCTTCTCATTGTGGTAGCTTCTCGTTGCAGAGCACAGGCTCTAGGCGCTCGGGATTCAGTAGTTGTGGCACACGGGCTCAGTAGTTGTGGCTTATGGGCTCTAGAGCGCAGGCTCTGTAGTTGTGGCACACGGGCTTTGTTGCTCCGCGGCATGTGGGATCTTCCAAGACCAGGGCTCGAACCTGTGTCCCCTGCATTGGCAGGTGAATTCTTAACTATTGTGCCACCAGGGAAGTCCTACAGTTTCATTCTTTACATTTTTTGTTCCATCTTGAATTTTTGTGTAAAAGAATGAGGTAGAAATCCAGCTTTATGTTTCTCCATTGCTGCATATATAGATGTGAACCCATATTTCTAAAGTCCCTGTGACACAATTGGGATAAGAGACACACGGAGGTTGGCGAGCAGTCCGATCTGCACATTAGAGTGCTATATTGGATGTGTTCAAATGCCAGATGCTTCTGTGACTGTAAGACTAACAGTAGGAGATTAAGGCTGATGAAGGTTACTGAGAAAGTGGAGGAACTGAGACTTGGATTTGGCCTTGAATGACCTCTTGCTGGTTTCTTCATCATTATTGTTCATAACCTATGTCCTGGAAAATAATTAATGAATATACTGTAGAAATTATGCTCTTTTTTCATAGTGGAATCAGTATTTGCTTTCTCTATGAGAATATATTTCCACTGCTTTCTCTGTTGATTTACAATTTAATAAATGTAACAAACTTTTTATCCTAAAAGCAGAGAAGCCCACCCAGATTGATTTTAATAAAAATGTAAGTAGAAGCATTTTTGCACTGTGCCTAGCACATAGTTGATGCTCAGTGTGTGTTGTTTTCTTCCCTGTTTCTCCAAATCTTGCCCTTCTCCTGAAAGTCTTTGAGGCGTGGGCTTTAAAACAGATACTATAAAATATTCTTTCAGTAAATGTTTCAAGTACTTGATACACTTTCAACAACAGCAGGAATTTGTTCTTGACTTATTTTCGTAAGTAGTAGTACTCCTTAATGGTAGCCAGTACTTTGAATTTTCATGTATTCAAGGCATTTCAGAAATTTTCAGAACTATATGTTCAATATAGTATCCTACTGCAGTAAGAAAAATTAGAAACCAATACATGTTTTTTAAAATTGTGAGCTTGAATGGGAAAACTGTGAGTTTGTATGAGAGAGGCTGGTCCTGTTTTCTTTTTAACTTGACGTTTATGGAATACTTGTCCATTTGGGGCTTGTTATCTTTGCTTCTATGTCCAAGTGAAGCATGGCGTTGAGGGGTCATGACCTGCTCAGGGTTTGTTTTTGAGTTAGGACTCAGACTGTTGTGATGACTGTTGTATATCACAGTACTAATTTAAGAAGTTTGAAAAAGAACAAGAAATTAAACGGAAAGAAAGCAGAAAGAAGGAATTAGTGCAGGTAAAACAAATTTAATGAGTTAGAAAGCAGCAAAAAGAGAACTAATAAATAAAACCTAGAAGCTAATTGATGAAGAAAAACAATGAAGGCTCTAATCCACAGTATGAGATATAGATAGTTGCCTACGGATATATTAAAACACATGTGAAATGACATATACAAAAGGTTGTTCGTTGTGATATTGCTTTTAATAGGAAAGAATTGGAAACAACCAAACTGGCCCCATCAAGAGGGTCTGGTTAAATAAATAATGGAACATCCTTATAGTGGAAAACTGCAACTGTGTAAAAAACTGTGCAGCTGTAGGGGAAAAAAAAAAAAAAAAATATATATATATATATATATATATATATATGGAAGTCCTTTATGTATATGTTTTTATAGAAGAATCTCCAAGACATTGTTAAGTTTAAAAAAAAAAAGCAAGCAAGGTATTTAGTACCTTGAGTAGAGAAGGAAGAAATAAAATATTATATTGATCTGAATATGCATTAAAACCATCTCTGGAAAGGCAAACAAAAAATTAGTGAAAATGGTTACTTGGGAGGGATGTGAACAGAACATATGAGGAGGGGGTGCTTTTCACTGCCATTTTACACTTTTTGATTGAGTATATTACCTATTTAAACAATTAAAATATGTTATTTTAAAAGCTCTTATTTAACTGATTACATGTTTTTGAGAAGTCGTTTGGGGTAAGGAAAAAATCAGTAGGTTCTGTTTAATTCAGCAATACTTAACTATTATGTACAAAAGGTGAAGCTTAGTTACGAATGAAGAGATCATATATGGTTATAGCCTTCTGGTTGCTGAAAATATAGTTGGGCAGACAGGCAGATACAAGTGTACGACAACTATATACAACAAAAATAGAGAAGCAGTACAATGAATGAACAGGGCAGGGGATGTGCGAAAACCTTGCAAAGGAGGTATGTCTTGAACTAGGTGTGGAGGGACCTGTAGGACTTTGACAGCTGGTGATGGGGTAATGGTGGGCAAATAGGGATAAGGAGGACATCCTTTGGATGGAAGATGGTACACATGCAAAGTCCAGTAGGATGGAGAGTGCGTGGCTTAGTTTGAGGATGGGACAGGGTAGCCATTTCTGGATAGCTGGAGTATAGGTAGTGTTTGTGTGAGCAGGGACTGTCTTGCACTGGGATGCAAGTCTGTATTCAGTCTTTTTTTTCTTAGTGGAAAATTGGAAATATATACAAAATTAGGATAGAATAATACCGCACATGAGCTTCAACAATCACCAATTCATGGCTAATCTTGTTCCATATATACCCTACCCTCTCCACCCCCCAACTCCTGCCATATTTGGAAACAGATCCCAGATAATGTCATTTCTTCTGTAAATATTTCAGTGAGTAGCTCTACAAGATATGAACTCTTTTTTTTTAACCAGTTGTATTACAGATTTCTAGTAGATTCATAAATGTTATAAATAGTTTATTTTTTGGTAGTTTTTATTCATTTGCTTAAGTCAAGATCTAAATAAGGTCCACAGATTGCAGTTGACTGATAGCTTTTTTAAGTCTCTTAAGTAGGTTCCCCCCAATCTTTTTTTCTCCCTTGTGATTTATTTGTTGAAGGAATCAAGTTGTTTATCTTAATAGCATTTCCCACTGTTAAGAGTTTGCAGATTACATCCCCTGGTCTAGTTTTATGTGTTCCTCTGTTGTTTGTATTTCCTGTAAATCGGTAATTGGATTCAAGTTTGACCAGATTCAGGTTAGTTTTTGTTTGTTTTGGTTTGGCTTGTTTTTTTTTTTGTTTTTAAATTTATTTTTGGCTGTGTTGGGTCTTTGTTGCTGCGTGCAGGCTTTCTCTAGTTGCGGAGAGCGGGGGCTACTCTTCATTGTAGTGGCTTCTCTTGTTGTGGAGCACAGGATCTAGGCACGCAGGCTTCAGTAGTTGTGGCACGTGGGCTCAGTAATTGTGGCTTGCAGGCTCTAGAGCGCAGGCTCCGTAGTTGTGGCGCACAGGCTTCGTTGCTCCACGGCATGTGGGATCTTCCCGGACCAGGGCTCGAAACTGTGTCCCCCGCCTTGGCAGGCAGATTCTTAACCACTGCGCCACCAGGGAAGTCCGTGGCTTGGTTTTTTTGTTTGTTTGTTTGTTTTTACTTTATGGGAAGTATTATGGCTTCCCATTAGGGACACATAATGTCTGTTTATCTCCTTTTTTCTGATTTTAGCAGTCCTTGCTGATCAGTGTTCCCATGTCAGTTATTCTGTAGAGTTAAAAGAATAAATCTATGAATACCCTCTGGTTACCATGACATCTGTATCCTTTTACTTCTCAGCTCTTATAAATATCCTGTGAGATAAAGATTTTTAAATGTCGTACATATAAGAGTAATTGGTTTCAAGTGACCTTTGAAAGCTGGTATCAAATAATTGTAAGATGTTTTCTTGGGTTAAAAACAAATTTATCTCTTGTTTTAATGTATTTTCACAAATTTGATTATTTCTGTTTTATACTTCATTAGGTTATTCTTCCGATGTGTTAGAAGTAAGGCAGAGGGGAAGCAATGGTGTGGAAATATCCCATGGCAGGTAGGAATTATTCATCTGTTTTCAAACCTGACTATTAAGATTGTTTAATCTGTGGGATCACCTGAAAAGACCCTGAAGTCCAGTATAAACTGCTTTTCATTGTACTGTCTCTGAAAGACAGTTCTTTTCTTTAAGCATGATAGACCTTGTTGGGACTCTTAATTCAAAGGACCATTTGGGTCTTAAATATAGTTAGTATCCTGCTATTTAAGGAAAAAGTTAAATTTACTTGACTAACTTCAGCATGTTTTTATAGACTGATATCTATTTGATGTTGGTATAAGCTGAGTGTATTCATAAGCTTTTAGAATGTGAGAATTAGGAGAGACCCTACAGAAATCCAGTACATGAGGAGCTAGACTGTACAAGGTCATGAAACTTGTTTTTGTAGGGAGATAGCTTGGACTTAAGATTCTGGATTTGTACCGTGAAACCTTCCTAAAGCCAAAATCAAAGCAAGTATAGGGTACTGTTTAGGTTTTGGGAAAAGTTCATCTTGAGAGAGTAGTTTTTCATGAAAAGTATACATTGTGGCTATTGCTATTATTAAAACACTTTGACTTGGTCACTACTGTTCCTTGAGGCCTGGAAAAGCAGTGATCACGGACAGAGAAGGAAGCAAGCATTGAAAGTACTGTTAAGAAACGAATTCTTTGTGAGTTTGGCAGTCCTTTCTAGAGGGAGAAATGATCCTAGGAACATTCAGAAAAATTGGACTGCTTTTACTGTGTTTCCATTTCCTCTGAAAAAAAGGTATTCTAGATGTTAAGGTTGCTTTAATATTTTATATTAAGATTATTTCCTTTGTCTTTTAGGATCCTAATTCCGAAGAACATTCTGTAACCAGTAAGTCTCAGCATGCCTCTGAGATATCTCGTTATCCTTCCAGCCAGCAGAGAAACCCGTTCAAGTTAATTGACAAGAATCAAGAACCATCCCTCCGGAAGCAGTTCATCAAAGGTGAAGATGAGGAAAAGACAGCTGATAAGAAGCAAAGGGAAAAAAGAGATCCACTCCTGGATCAAAAGAAGGAACAGAAGCCTGAATCTAAGTGCTGGATGGAGGAAGATCTCTCATCTGGCCTGGTGGTAAAGGAAAAACAATCAGCTGTTCAAGAGATGCAGCGAGGGGAGAAGACAGAGTTTCGTAGTGCTGCAAAGGAGGTTGAAGGGGTGCACAAAAGAAACCTATTTGAGATGAAATCCAAACAGGTCCGTGGGAATGAGCTGAGAGAACCGTCTGCATCTCAGGAGAAGTCAAATGGTGAGAGACATTCTCTCCAAAAAGAATCAGAACCTCCAAGGGAAAAGGAAACTAAGCCTTTGCCTCGAATTGTTCACAGTCAACACCCAATAAGCCAGTCCCTGAAAGGGGGACACCTCAGCAAGGAGCACCCCAAGAGCTGGGAGGCTAGAGAAACAAAGGCAAAGAAGGACGCAAGCACGCAGACCCTCCAGAAGAGTCTGCTCCAGGGCCATTTGCAGGCACAGCCGGAGACCCGGGGCACGCCTGCTCCAAAGGGACTGGCTGCTCAGCCTGCACCGCTGGCCGCAGGGCACCCCCAGGGAGAGATGCGAGACGCCGATACAAGCAGTGGTGACAGTGAGGAAGGTGATGTTGTTTTTTTTTCCTCTAAGCCAGGGAGCCCCTTGCTCTTTGACTTGACTCTAGACTCACAGAAGAAGAAGAACCTTAAATTCCCTGGTCAGAGTGTGCAAAGAAAAATTTCTCCTGACTCAGGCGTTTCCAAGAAGGGAGAACCTTCAGACCCAGAAGCCCAACGTGTGTACCTCACAACACAGCTGAAACAAAAGAAGGTACTACTGACCTGTGTTTTGTTTGTAAGTTTGGAGCATTGCTGTGGGCAGATAAGGGACACCACAAACAAGTTAAATATATTAACATGAGAAGGGTTTTAGTGGTGAATGTTTAGTTTCTGCCTTTTGCTATGTTTATATTTTCAGGCTTGGTAAGTCACCTGGGTTTAGAAAGAAAAAAGTTTCTGGTTTTCACACATATAGTTAAAAGACCGTGATTTCAGAGTTTTAGCATTTTAGGCTATTTTAATCTGAAACTATCTTTCTAATGACTTGAGAGGAGCGACCCATGTTATAGGATCTGTTTTCCAGAGCACACTGGCATCTGTGAACATCCAGGCTCTTCCAGACAAGGGTCAGAAGTTGTTCAAGCAACTTCAGGAGCTGGAGGATGCGCTGAGTGCCCTGGCCCTCTCCCCAGAGCAAGGTAAAAGGGGTTCTGCCCCCAAACCCGCAGTTTGCATGAACTTCAGGAGACGTTCGAGAGGCGTTTCAATAAAGCATAGGTTGACTCATTCACTTGCTCATCTTGTTATCTGTTACTGAGCTTCCTTTATAAGTTATACCTGTGATTTATAAAAACTTCCCCCTATTTCCTGTGGACTCAAGTCTTTTTCCCATTGTTTAAGAAATGGTTTAAATGCTGTGTTCTCTCAGCAATGTTCCCCAGCTCATGGCGATCCCACCCTCTCTTGACCTCACCTCATGCGTAGAATTCCTTCACTTTTCTGAAGTGTAATCTGTTCTTCCCTTGTTTTTTGAGCAGGCACTAATGAGAAGAGTAACACTCAAGTACCACAGCAGAGTAACTTCACCAAAACGACCACTGATCCTCCCCACTTGGTGCCTCCCAAACCCCTGCAGGGCCAGGATCTCCAGCCTCTGGGTTGTCTAGGACTGAAGGCTGCCCGCCAGGAGGCTGCTGGAGGGTCTGATCAGTGCTGTGGAGGTGAGATCCGAGGCCCTGGCCCTGGTGGGAACCGCTACACATACGAGTTAAATGCTACCTCGTAGATACCTTTGTAACCACGCAAAGGGAGAAACCATTCTGAGTTGCCTGTGTGATAAAGCTCGTGATGCTCAGCTAAGCTTATACACAGCATAATTTAGATCTTTGTGAGGGCAGAGACTGTGTCTGCCCTGTTCAGTGACCTTGTTCACAGTCCTTGATCGGTCGGCCTGGTGGTCGGCGTATGGGAGTCATCCAGTAAACGTTTGTGAATGAAAACTTGAGCTCATATCACGATGAGGGAGGCAGGCCAGTAGATATGTTTATAGTCCTTCTGTGTGTGTGTGTGTGTGTGTGTGTGCGCGCGCGTGTGTGCTCATGTGCACTGAGGCAGAGCAGGGGACTATGTGACCATGACCAGTAGACTCAGAGCAGCACCACCCAATTTAAATGAGTGTTTCCATCCCGAACTCTGCAGAAAACAATGAATTCAGAAGCACCCGCAGAATGAAGATCCCAGGTAGAGCCTCAACTATGTAATATGATTGGTTGGTTTGCTGACCAGGACACAGGACCTCTAGTGGGCTGGCAGCGAGGAGAAAAGCTAAAGCCAGTTTTCCTCCAACTGAGAACTGCTCGAGATATAGGGAGGGAAAAGGAGAGAAAAGAGAAAACAGGAGGAAAGGAGGGGAGAAAGGTTGGAGAACAGTAGTCAACAAGCGGGTAAGGAATAGATGGGGTGCCAGGTGAAGCAAAGGTCTCTCTAAAAGGGCACAGAGAAAACATACTTACGTGTATAAAATAGATAAACAACAGGGACCTACTGTATAGCACAGGGAACTATACTCAATATCTTGTAATAACCTATAATGGAAAAGAATCTGAAAAAGAATAATATATAAAGAATATGTGTGTATGTAACTGAATCACTTTGCTGTACACTTGAAACTAACACAACATTGTAAATTAACTATACTTCCATTAAAAAAAAAAAAGAAAAAGTACTTGGTCCAGTGGCACAGCATAGCTGTGCTCCAGACTGTTTGAAGAACATTGCTGTGTGACAGCGTCATTCAGTAATCACCATGGTGATGGAGTTGCCTAGAGAAATTAAGTTATGGTGGATTATTAAGGTAAGAAGTTATGTAATATGTTTAGGAAAGAATTCCATTAAAATACCTTTTCATTTAAAAACATTTTAACATTTAAGTGAATAATTAATTTTTATTTGTCTTAGAAATCTCTTATTTGGATACTTCATCCCTAAACTTGCAACCTGCTAAGGTGCTTGTGTTTATTAATGAACTTCAGTAGAAGTTCTCTGTGTAGAATGAGCGGGCTCCAGCACTCAAGTATTATATTCTCGGTGCTGTGCAGGCAGCCTGGGACGCACACTGTAGGGACTGTCTCTCCCTGTCTGCCTAAACTTCGGCAGACTCCCTGTTGCTCAACCTCTTCTATTGCTGGCTTTTCTTCTTTGCATCCAGCCCCAGGGGTCTTTGTTTTTCTGAAAATTCTCATGGTATTACCTTCTTCCCTGCCACCTCTTCAAAGCTGAAAGAGAAAAAAATATTATGGGTTATCTTATTTTTTATTGTACTTTATTTTGTCCTCTATTAGAACACTTGATAATGTGATTTTAAAAAATAACAGACAAACAGAGACTAGGGATAATGAAGCCTGTGAGTCTAGGAGAATCTGGAGGCAAGAATTTTTAGTCCATACAGATCCGTCATCTGGCAAATAATGAATTGCCTTTTTGCAGCTCTGGCCAGAACATAATACTCGCAGCACTTTTAGGTAACCTCGATTTGTACGCAGGCCCTATGAGCCAAGGTCACCTTCGCGCAGTGTGGCAAATCACAAGTGAAGCCATTGATGAGCTGCATCGATCACTTGAGTCACGTCCTGGCGAGACAGCTGTAGCAGAGGATCCAGCTGGGTTGAAGGTGAGCCAGGAAGGCCCACAGGGCAGAGTGTCTCATAACAGTATCCCAGCGCCCACGAGGAGGGGGACCAACTCCTGTGAACGTGCCCATCAGAGTGCCATTCTGACATATCTTTTCTACAAATAATGCTCAAGTGGCTTCCCTTGCAGTATTTTCTTTTTTTCTGTTTAGCAGTGAGAAGAAAAAAACAAGTTTTTTTTTTCTTCTTAAAGTCATACAGTTATATATGTCTGTAGCAGTAACAGATCCATTTATTGAGCTTCAATAGGCGCCACAAGGTTGCAAAGGAATTGCTGCTCTTAGTGGACTAGTTGGGGTGAAAGTGCATGTACAACCTATGTAAGACAACTAGACAATGACTGTAAGACAGAAAACGTGCATTGTCGTGTACTGTGGACTGTATGCAAAGTACAAAGGGATTCGAAATAAAGGAAAAGTTACTCTAGGTCAGCACTATTATTTGTGCCTTAAAGAAACCGCAAGCCTAGAGACAGGATAGAAACCAAATACTCCGTTTAGAGGGAGTGGTGCTCAGAGGGAAGATACAGAGATTGGTATTAATAAGTGATGATCAGGTGACATCAGTGCCTGAGCTGGGAGCAGCAGGTGATGTAACTAAGCAGGAAGAGTCCCTTGCTGTGGAGCCTGGCATTGGTGAAGGAACTTAGACTGGAATGGCTCAAGAGATATTATGGAATCACTGTAGAATTTTGAGCAGGGATGTTTTGTGAAGGTTTTTTATGTCACAGAGTTCAAGATAAACTGGAGGAAGGAAAGACTAGAAGGTGGGCCCCCAGTTAAAGGGCTATCAATTTATGACTAGCAGTGCGGACTGGGACATTGCCCACAGAGAGGAGAGGCACATTTAAGAGATAATGAGGAAGAGCCAGTGGAATGGCTGGTAAAAGTCGGGTGGCCAGTCAGAGGTCTTGGCTGCAAACAGTAGAAACTGACTTGGGCTGATTAAGCAGACAAAGCAGGACTCTCACTTGAGAGCGAGAGAGGCAGCTCTTGATAGACATGCTGGACAACTGGCATCAATGACAACTGTCCGGGGCAGACCAGGACGTGTGGTGAGAGGGAGGAGTCCAGGACTTCAAGGCGAAACGAGCGGCTGATCTGACAACTAGAATATCGGGAGGGTCACTTAGAGAAAATAAACAAGTAGAGTATGGAGTCCACGTGGCCAGGCTGCTGCATAGCCTCTCATCAGGAACTGGTACTTAACTTTCAATTATTACCTTTGTCAGATCCCTTTGCTGCCGCACCAGAAGCAGGCATTAGCCTGGCTGCTATGGCGGGAAGGTCAGAAGCCACGAGGAGGAATCCTGGGTGAGTCTGGTGTTAGGCTAAGAGCCAACAAATGCAGTGCTTCGTTCCGTCCTCTCAACTCTGGGTAGGTACTCTAATGCCCCAGTTGACAGATGAGGAGACTGCAGTGTGGGGAGTTTAAGCCACGTGCTCCAGAGTACACAGCCATAGGATCAGTCAGGTCTTGGTTGCAGGCAGTAGAGACTGGCTGTGGCTGATGAAGCAGAGGGAGGGTTTATTCTGTGGTGGCCCACAGAATCTCTGGGAGATGTGGAGGGCCGGGCTGGACTTCTAGGAGCAGTGGCCGAAGCCAAGTCACCAACGGAGTGTCCTGTAAGAGCCGTCATGGCTGCTCTGTGCCATCGAGCAGCAGGAGAAAGCACTGCCGCCCCCAAATCAAACTCTGCCGTCTCCAACCTTTCCTGTAGAAAGCGTTTCACGGGGAGCCTCTTTTCTAAAGTTACTCACATCTGAATCGAAGTCTGGTGTGAGTGTAAGTGCTCTGTAGAGCCAGGTCATGCTGCCGGTGCCTTAGCTGCAGAAGAGGCAGGAAGTAAGTTTTCCAGGCTCTGCTTTGCAGACTCGTCACGCTAAAGTTTTCCAAGGTGCTCAACTTCCAGAAAACATGACAGATGTCCACTATGGCTAGTAAGTGGCTGTGTCTGGGTCTCCAAGACCACCTCCAGGTTGGATGATTTGCTAGGATGCACAGCATATAGTCATATTCGTGGGTGTAATTTATTACAGTCAAATAAATTGAGTAATAATTGAGCAATTTGATTTGATATAGGTCAAAATTAGCAAAGGAGGAAGGCACTTGGGGCAAAGTCCAAGGGAAACCAGGTTCAAGTTCCAGAGGCCTGTCCCAGTGGAGTCACTCAGTGTGTGCTTAAGTCTTCCACATGTAAAATGTTGCCAACCAGGAAAGCTTGTTAGTGATTCGGTACCCAGGGTGTTTACTGGGGGCTGGTCACACAGGCAGCTTCAGTCTGGCAGGTACTGAAATTTCAGATTCCAGAAGGAAAGCAGGTGTTCAGCATAAACTGTACTATTGGTACAAGCAGTTTAGGCACAGTGAGCCACTCTTACCCAGTCTGGGAATGGGGGGACCCCTCCTGAAATCCAAGTTCCCAGATGCCAGCCAAGGGCCAGCCTTGTAAGCTGACCTTCCAAAGGAGAGTAGTCAGCTGCTGTGTTAGCTCTGCACAGTGGCAGAACCAGAGCCCATGCTGTGACATTTTACTTCTGCTTACGTCAGAATGAGTATTTAAACTGTTAAAAAGGGGATAATAATATTTTATAGGGTATAAATAGTAAATTGGATAAGCTCAGTAACCGGCACAATGATGGTACCCAAGAACTGCTAGTTTATGACCTTCTTTGATGAATAAGTTAAGGGGATGGAGGACTGTCTTGAGTTAACTCTTTTTTTTTTTTTTTTTTTTTTTTTTTTTTGCTGTACGCGGGCCTCTCACTGTTGTGGCCTCTCCCGTTGTGCTCCGGACGCACAGGCTCATCGGCCATGGCTCACGGGCCCAGCCGCTCCGCGGCATGTGGAATCTTCCCGGACCGGGGCACGAACCCGTGTCCCCTGCATCGGCAGGCGGACTCTCAACCACTGCGCCACCAGGGAAGCCCTTGAGTTAACTCTTAACTCCAAAAGTGTGGTAGTAAAGTGGGTGGTAGGCTATATCTACTGGACCTTTTTGCTTTTGCAGGGAAATAAATAAGACTAGGCAACATCATCAAACTGAGGGAGATATCAATGAATGTACTGGATAAGTAACAATATAACACAGAGACTCGAATAAGATCTAAATAATAAGTTTTAAATTTTACGAAAGTCCTAGTAAATGTCTTTGACCTAGGTCGCAAAATAAATAGCAAGAGTTAGTGCTCATTTTAATAAGAAAGACAAGGGCTTCAATAGAGGAGGCAAAGCATGGTGACTGGAATGGCACTGACAGCAGAGGACCAGGGCTGGTGTCTGCCCGGGGCTGCTTCTCTTGAAGCTGAGCTGATTCTTTGCCCTAAATAGTTACCTCTCCTATTTGTGTTTTTATTTTCCAGCGGATGATATGGGGTTAGGAAAAACCCTGACAATGATTGCACTCATCCTGACCCAGAAGAACCAAGAGAAAAACAAAGAAAAGGACAAAACCACGGCTTTGGCTTGGCTTTCCAAAAATGGTATTCAAAAACCTGCTGTTTCCTAAATCATGTGAGGCAGCGGAGAGTGGAAATTTTTCAGCCATGAAAGGATGCCTTTGGTCATATTTAATTTATTGGAAAACTAGCATTAGACTACTTTCCTATAGTATCATTTCTGACACCAAATACACTAACTAGAAGTAATCATTTTTTCCTTTTAATATAAGGTTAGCTTGACCTGTGATTAGGAACAATTTCATGGAGAAAGCTAAGGCTCCAGAAAACTTAGTTTAAACCTAATGATTATTTTTGTTAATGTTGAGGATATAACTATAGGATAGATCCAAATTAGTTAATATATTATTTTTTGAAAGAAGATCTGTGACAAATTCAGATTTTAGCCACCATAGCAGACACTGTTTTCCATGTTTCTGAACTTCCAGAAGTTTCCAGATTCTAGACAATTTCTCTTATTTCAACCTCTGTTTTTAAAATGTAATAACTGTATAAGTACCTTAAAGGTCCTGTATATTATGTACAGCCAACACCACGTAAATTGCCATGTACACATGTACATTTCTCAGTTGGTTAGATAGTTAAGGAATCTGTGGCCATCTGCTCTCAGGGCCTCTAGTGACCACTGTTGCAGCTGGACCCTGTGTCCCTGTGTGTAGTAGCAGCATGTGTGCACCTTCACACACACAAGGGATGGGGGGCAGTGGTACAAATACTCCGGCACTAACTGGTTCCAAAGTAATGTTCGCTTGACCTAGGGAATTTTGTACTTATACTTTAATGTGAATGTAATTAAGTTATGCTTTTCAGAGAAAAGTAATAATACTCCCTTGTAATGAATCAACTCAGGATGAGTTAGGAAATGATCCAGCTTCTACATTCTGGCCACTGTGAAAGCACATTGGGGTTCTTTGGGTTTTTAAAGTGAAGTCATGTGCTACCCACTTTCCTTGCCCTTTAGCCTCTCTCTCTTCCACTTTTGTAGGGGAAAATAAATAATGGTTTTGAGTTAAAAGATTATTTCTTCCGTTTTCTATTCTACTTCATGCATACTTCATTTTATTGCACTTCACTTTATTGCACTTCACAGATACTGTTTTTTACAAATTGAGGGTTTGTGTCAACCCTGTGTTGAGCAAGTCTTTTGGCGCCATTGTTCCAACAGCATTTGCTCACTTCGCGTCTCCATGTCACATTTTGGTAATTCTTTCAATACTTCAAACCATCCACCAGTAAAAAGATTACGACTTGCTGGAGGCTCAGATGATGTTAGCATTTTTAAGCAATGAAGTATTTTCAAATTAAGCTATGCACCTTTTTTAAAAAACGTAATGCTATTGCACACTTAACAGACTATAGTGTAGTGTAATTTACATACCTTTTATATGCACTGGGAAACGAGAAAGTTTGTGTGACTCACTTTATTGTGATACTCACTTTATTGCTGTGGTCTAGATCCAGACCCGCAATATCTCCAAGGTATAAGCTATGTGTAGAAATAGAAGTAGCAGTTGTTAAAAATATTGATTGAAGGAATAAATCAGTCAAGGGAAAGAGGTAATGCCTTTAAGAAGTTAAAACTATTTAATGAATGTAACGAGGTGTTGATTTTCTTTTCCCCTCTCAAGACCCCTCTGAGTTCACTTCCCATGGAACACTAGTCATCTGTCCTGCTTCCCTGATCCATCACTGGAAAAGTGAGGTGGAGAAACGTGTGAGCAGCAACAAACTAAGAGTCTATCTGTATCATGGGCCAAACCGGGATCAACATGCAAAAGTGTAAGTGCAGAAATATTGCAGTCAGTATGAGGTGCTCAGCATCTTGGCTCAGGGGGCCTTTTTTTCTTTTTTGCGGTACGCAGTCCTCTCACTGTTGTGGCCTCTCCTGTTGAGAAGCACAGGCTCTGGACGCGCAGGCTCAGCGGCCATGGCTCACGGGCCCAGCCGCTCCGCGGCATGTGCGATCTTCCCGGACCGGGGCACGAACCCACATTCCCTGCATCGGCAGGCGGACTCTCAACCACTGTGCCACCAGGGAAGCCCCCAAATAGATTTTTATCAAAAGTAATTATTGAAGTTCTCTCAGGTACACAATATTAAGCTTCCTTGGAAAAAGAATTGTGCTTTTCATCAAGAATCTTTACATGTAAAGAGTATAGGTGAGGTAAACTGAAAGTGTACAACATGTATCTTTATGCCCAAATGTCAAAGCTAGATGAATGGGTTTTCACAAATCCATTACAGAATGAGGAGGAGAAAACACCATTGCTGTAAGATGAACAGTACTTCGAGGGTTTCTTACTTCATTGGGACTTTAGTGTCATCTATGTCAAATTAACTAAATATTAACTTCCAACCCTGCCCGGCTTTCTGTTCTTGCCAGATCACTTCAAGCTTAATATGACCCCACCAGAGATGATCTTTTCTGACTTGGCTGGGAAGAGGGAGGCTGTTCTAGTTATAGCGAATAATCTGTAAAAATGACCAGTGGTAAGCAATAAGGAAGTCAGGTGTATAAAATTTACCTCTCCAGAGTCATGTGTGTGTGAATTAAGGACATAAATTAATGAGTTCTGCTGTCTATCCTTCCAGCCATAGGCATTTTTGTGAAGGAACCAATTCTGTCTCACATTGTCAGAGTCGTGGCAGGATGGTTTAACTTTTGCTCTGTGTTATATCTCTGCAGCCTCTCCACATATGACATCGTGGTCACTACCTACAGCCTTCTGGCCAAGGAGATTCCCACAAAGAAGGAAGAGGGAGAGATGCCAGGTGCTAACCTCAGTGTGAAGGTGAGGTGTGGGTGCTGCCAGGGAAGTAGAGTTGGAACCACGGATCGTTTAATAGGAGTCTTTTCACAGCATTAGAGATGGCAAAGGTACCCTCCCGTAAGGTCATGAACATTCGAACTGTTCCACCTGTGGAAACAGAGAGTTCTTTCCTCTGTCCCTTCTCTTTTAACTCTAGACAACCTCCTCAGCAATAAAGGTGGAGATGGTACAGTAGTTTGCTGTGTTTTAGAAACAATAACTACATTGCAGTTGCGGTGGTGGTCATATCTCATGAATAAAGGAAAGCTTCACTTGTTACAGTGTTTATTTGAGAGTTCTGGGGGTATATTCTCAGGATGTGTTTTATATTTCTTGTTAGGACTAGTATTTTTATATGAAGCCATTATTCCCTGCCTTCCTCCACTTTCTAGGAAAAGGGTTGCAAATAATAAGGCTACAGTGGGCCAGAAGCTAAATGATAACCAGGGGAAAAAACCTGAATGTTTGTTGCTGTGTCCAGGGTAGTCTCAGTTACATAGAGTAGAGGCTTTATTGCATAGATATTGTGGGCTTTTTCCCTCTGAAAATACAGTGTTGTCCCAAGAACTACTCTTTTGCATATGCTTTTATTCTTAGTACAATAGGATATTCACAGCTTTCTGTATTTGGGGAGATCTCTAGAACGCTTCTCTATCTCATGACCGACTCTGCCTTCTCTTGGATGAATAACTTTTCAGATTCCTCAGTAATTCCTCTTAGCTTTGAGGCTAAAACCCTCATCCCTTTAAATGATATATTAGGCCTTTTACGGTCTTGCCCTGCCTGTGTGGCCTTCTTCCCCCACACCCCAGCCCTCCCAGTGGCACCCCATGCTCAGCTGTACCAAAGATCTGTCCTGCTCTTGTGCCTTTGTTCTCCCTCTGAATGGAATGCTTTGCCTCCCCCTCTGGTTAAATGCATCTCCTAGCACCTTGTGCTTGCTTACGTCACCGCGCACCCCTTTAATTCCCCAAATATTGAGTATCTGCTGATGCCAGAATCTTGGCTCTCTGTGCACCGATGTCGACTAGAAGTACGGAGACAGAGTTTGGAGGAGAAAAGAAAGGGTAGTCTTATTCTTTGCCAGGCAAAGAGGGAACACAGCAGGCCAGCACCTCAAAAACGCCCCCCCCCAATCCCTGGGGAATCAGGAAAAGTCTTATAGGTGGGGCTCACAGTCTGGGGTAGGTGATAAGGATCAAAGTAGTGAAGGTCTTGCATTTTTCTTCTTCCTGCATTATTTCAAAACAGTCACAGCTGGCATCAGGCAACCTGGTAATTGGGTCCATTCTTCGTCTCTGGGTTATCCACCCGCAACCTTCTTTCTGAAATGCAGAACGCTACAAGGGGTGATTTGCTACAAGGGAGGGTAGGGAGTGTGAACACCAGGTACAGGATGTAATTCACATGGAGATGGAGAGTGTTAGGTGCAGGATGTAATTCACACAGTCAGAGAGTGTTAGGGGTTAGCTTTGTGAAGGACAAATCTAGTTACAGACACTACAGATTAGTAACAGTTAAAATAAAACTAGGATTGGTTAACTCTTTCAGGCCAGTTTATGCTCCTTCTCCACCCTGTTCATTGTTCCCTTTATTTTCCTTGTTATCAGGAGAGGAAAAACCTCATTTCTATTTTTGTTGTAACACTGCCCCATGCCAGATGCTATTTCAGGTATTAGGGATACTGCAGTGAACAAGACCAACTAGATTCCTACTGTCCTGTATTGAATTATCCAGTGGGATTTACTATATATACATTGTGTGTAATGATCTTTATGCTTGTTTTATTTTTTCTCCCCTGCTAGATTGTGAGCTCCTTGAGAGTAGGAAATGTTCTTTGTGTCTGGCTTAGTATTTTATATATAAAAGTAGACTTATGTATGTACCACATCTTCTTTATCCATTCCCCTGTTGATGGACATTTAGGCTGCTTCCATGTCCTGGCTATTGTAAATAGTGCTGCACTGGACATTGTGGTGCATGTATCTTTTTGAATTATGGTTTTCTCCAGATATATGCCCAGGAGTAGGATTGCTGGATCATGGCAACTCTATTTTTAGTTTTTTAAGGAACCTCCATACTGTTCTCCATAGTAGCTGTATCAATTTACATTCCCACCAAGAGTGTAGGAGGGTTCCCTTTTCTCCACACCCTCTGCAGCATTTGTTGTTCGTAGACTTTTTGATGATGGCCATTCTGACGGGTGTGAGGTGATACCTCATTGTAGTTTTGATTTGCATTTCTCTGATAATTAGTGATGTTGAGCAGCTTTTCATGTGCCTCTTGGCCATCTGTATGTCTTCTTTGGAGAAATGTCTATTTAGATCTTCCAGCCATTGTTTGATTGGGTGGTTTGTTTTCTTGATATTGAGCTGCCTGAGCTGTTTGTATATTTTGGAGATTAATCCCTTGTCAGTTGCTTTGTAAATATTTTCTCCCATTCTGTGGGTTGTCTTTTCATTTTGTCTGTGGTTTCCTTTGCTGTGCAAAAGCTTTTTTAAGTGTCGTTAGGTCCCATTTGTTTATTTTTGTTTTTATTTTCATTACTCTAGGAGGTGGGTCAAAAAAGAGCTTGCTGAGATTTATGTCAGAGAATGTTCTGCCTAGTTTTCCTCTAAGAGTTTGATAGTGTTCAGTCTTACATTTATGACTTTAATCCATTTTGAGTTTATTTTTGTGTATGGTGTTAGAAAGTGTTCTAATTTCATTCTTTTATATGTAGCTGTCCAACCACTCTTGGTTTCTTAAGCTTATTTCTTATTTCAGTGTACCTGATCTAAGCCCTCAGACTTGAAGGTAAGAGCGGGTCTTCGATACCTGCTTGTTATTTTCCCTTATCTTCTTGATGACATGCACGTTTTCCCATACTCTTATTGGATTTCACCTGTGTTTCTTCCAGGGTGTCTCATCACCTTTGCTTCGAGTAGTCTGGGCTCGAATCATATTGGATGAAGCTCACAATGTTAAGAATCCCCGAGTGCAGACTTCCTTGGCTGTGTGTAAGCTCCAGGCCCAAGCCCGTTGGGCTGTCACTGGAACCCCCATTCAGAACAACTTGTTGGACATGTATTCACTGCTGAAGTGAGTAAAGCTCTTTGGATTATGTAGATGTGAACCCTGTCGGTAACGCTTCATAATTATTTCATATCTCATATCTCCAGTGTGTACCAGACTATCTTGTGTAGCAGGTGGCAAGCCTGTCAACCTTTAAAGGGAAGAAGAATTAATATTTATGAGATATAATCTGTTGATTGGCTGATATAGGACTTTGATGACATCCAGCCCCTATATATGGAAAAATAAGGGACCAATTAAATTAAAGGAAACAACAGTCAACTTTCTTCAGTCCCAGGAATGTTTGGGGCTACTTCTGCTTTAAAACATATGGCCTGGGGACAGGACTACAATTTATTTGAAGCAAACAGAAAGGAAGGCTGATTTTAAAATACTTGTTTTAATTCAAGTCAGCTCATAAGAGGATACAGAATTTCTTTACTAGCCTTTGAAGTTTTAGGAATGAATGCTAGCTATTGGTTATATGTCCTGTTGTGACGATATAGACGTTGTTAATGGGAAAATTCACATTTTTATAATGTGGTTATTGACTTGGATCCTTTTGCTCTGTCTAGCAGAGTTTTGCTATGAAATTGACGTTTACAAATGATTGGATGGCATGTAAAATCTGATTTGCTTTTCACCTTATGTCTGTCTTTGAACCTTTCCTCCATCCTCCCATGCTTCTTTCCTATTCTCTATCCTCCTTCTCCAATGAAAAAGATTTCTCCGTTGTTCTCCATTTGATGAACTCAGTCTGTGGAGGAGTCAGGTTGACAATGGTTCAAAGAAAGGAGAAGAACGGTTAAATATTTTAACCAAGAGCCTTTTGCTGAGGAGAACAAAAGACCAGCTGGACCCCACCGGCAAGCCCTTGGTAATCCCATTGACACATGTCCCTGGGGGAGGCCAGGAGGGAGGGCCACCATGTCCTTGACTCGGCTTGAACCGCCATCTGCGTTGCTTCAGGAGCCTGAGTCTCCCATTTTCCTAGGAGGAGGCCCTCGGGTTGCTGTCCTGCCCCTCGTGTCACAGCAGTCCCGTGTGCAGTGTGTCAGAGCAGTCCTGTTTTCAGGGAAGGGTGGGAGCTGCTGTCCAGAGCCTGACTAGATTTCTGGTGCCAACTCTGGGGAGTGTCCTCCCTAACGTTCAGTTAATTTGTATAACTTCATCCCAGCTGCTTTTTTCTTTTACTCTTCCAGGTGGTGCTCCCCCAGCGTAAATTTCAGTTGCACCATTTAAAGCTTTCTGAAGATGAAGAAAATGTTTATAGTGTCCTTTTTGCAAGATCAAGGTGTGTGCCGTGAAGAAGCACCTTCTCACATCTATTTTATTCTTGTTCTTGCTTGGGAGTGAGTCGAGGGTCAAGGTTCCTCTAACTGTAATTACGGTATATTGACAAGTTGGATATCTGTGTTCCTTTTTTAAAAAACCTCCCTTTCTCTCTCCTCAGCTCACCTTTGTCTCACATACACATTGAACCTGTTCTCCATTGGCTTCCTTGCATAGAAGCTCTAGGGTGTGCACACTGTACACCAGGTCTTTCTGTTCCTCATGGGGCTGTATTAGGAAAGTATATCTCTTTGACCTTTGACCTGTTACCCAGCCTCTCATTGGAACTTTTAAAAAACTGCCCAGTAATCCGTCTTGTCATCTGTCCTTTGCACTTGCTCTAAAGCTCTTATCCTTCCCTGAATTCCAGATTTCTACTCTCCTATTTATTTGGTACCTCTCACTTCCAATGTAAATACGTTTTTTCTCTTTGTATACCTTATACTTATTAATAAATATTATAATAGTATATTAACTTATACTAATTAATAATATGTTACTGTATTACATGTTAATATTAAATTGATATTAAATATAATACTAATATTTGATATTAATCTTTGTTAATATTTATTAATCATTTTTAAGTGGTTTGGCTTTTAAAGTAATTATTTTTTATTACCTTTGCCCAATGCTTGCTGTGAGCCTACCTTCATTTAACAAGTTCGCTTTTACAATTTTTCAAGGTCCTTCCGCAACCACAGTTAAACACTGACCATTGTAAACCTGTTTGGTCTTAACGACCATTTTATGTGCATTTTCGTTTTCTATCTGAGGCAGGTCAGCTCTGCAATCCTATCTAAAAAGACATGAAAGTGGGGGCAGCCAATCTGGAAGAAGCTCTGATAATCCATTCAGTAGAGGTAAGCAGTGGGACACTTACAAATACAGAAAACTCATGACAATGTGGATGCAGATTTGGTAAACTTACAGAAATGGGGGGGGAGGGGTCATGCATTCTTGATTGCAGAGACTTGACCTTAGCTTGGAACCTCAAACCAAAGTAAAATCTACTGACGTGCAGGCACCAGACCTGGTGATCTAAACTTCTTTTTAGATATTTTCAAAATCTGTTTGATTAAAATACAAGTCGGTCTATAAAGAAAACCAGTATTTCGTACTTCTCTAATTGGCAGAGAGAAGTAAGCTAAAACTATATGATTGAACCTCAGATCAAAGAAGTTTAAAATCTCCTCATTTAGTTCATGGTTCTTCCCCATATTTCTGTTTTAAACCCTGTACTGTTTCCTGTGTCTGTTTTCCTTCTTGGAAGTGGCCCAGGAGTTTGGGTCCAGTGGGCCTGGGCTCTCCGTGGCAGCAGACTCGCAGACATCTAGCACCGCCCATATACTGTCACAGTTGCTGAGACTCCGCCAGTGTTGTTGTCATCTTTCTCTACTGAAGTCGGTAAGCAAAGTCACCTGTGTGGGACCCCAGAGGGGCTGTGGAGAAGTCCACCTCAGTCTCCTGAAACTGGGATCCAGTCTGCTGGATCAAGGAAAATGGGGTTTGAGTGTATTTTGTTTTCTGGTGGGATAGGAAAGAGAAGACTCTTTATTTTACTTTATTTTATATTAATCTTTATTGACCTTGAGATAATTCCCATGATGTTGAGAACAGTTTTTATTATTTGTTTTGTTTATTATTTTTCTTTAATTAACTAATTAATTAATTAATTGGCTGCACTGGGTCTTATTTGCAGCATGTGGGATCTTCGTTGCAGGGTGTGGGATCTTCTTAGTTGTGGCATGCGGGGATCTTTAGTTGCAGCATTCGGGATCTTTAGTTGCGGCATGCGGGATCTAGTTCCCTGACCAGGGATCAAACCCGGGCCGCCTGCATTAGGAGCATGGAGTCTTAACCGCTGGACCACCAGGGAAGTCCCTGGTTTGTTTAAATAAGCTTTATTTTAGAATAGAAAATGGCGTCTTGTTAAAAAGGAAGCCATATATGAATACTTCGGTATTTTAGGATGTCATAAAGCTTATTTAACTACTAGTGTTAAGTCTAGGTAAGAATACTCAAGTATTTAAAGTTGTCTTGATATTGGATAGAGGCACATCTGTAATTAAGAGGAATATGTCATAGGCAGAACACTCTGACATAAATTGCAGCAATATTTTTTTGTATTTCTCTCCTAGAGAGATGGAAATAAAAGCAAAAATAAACAAATGGGACCTAATTAAACTTAAAAGCTTTTACACAGCAAAGGAAATCATAAACAAAATGAAAAGACAACCCACAGAGCGGAAGAAAATATTTGCAAACAATGCTACCAACAAGGGATTAATTTCCGAAATACACAAACAGCTCATACAGCTTAATAGCAAAAAAACAAACAACCCAATCAAAAAATGGGCAGAAGACCTAAATAGATATTTCACCAAAGACATATAGATGGCCAAGAGGCACGTGAAAAGATGCTTAGTGTCACTAATTATTAGAGAAATGCAAATCACAACCATAATGAGGTCCTCACCTCACACCAGTCAGAATGGCCATCATTAAAAAGTTGACAGACAATAAATGCTGGAGAGGGTGTGGAGAAAAAGGAACCCTCCTACACTGTTGGTGGGAGTCTAAATGGGTGCAGCCACTCTGGAGAACAGTATGGAGGACCCTTAAAAAACTAAAAATAGAGTTACCATATAATCCAGCAGTCCCACTCCTGGGCACATATCTGGAGAAAACTAATTCAAAAAGATACATGCACTCCAGTGTTCATACTCATTACAGCATTATCTACAATAGCCAAGACATGGAAGCAATCTAAATGTCTATCAACAGATGGATGGATAAAGAAGATGTGGTGCTTGTGTGTGTGTGTATACACACACATATACATATAACGGAATATTACTCAGCCATAAAAAGAGAATGAAATGATGCCATTTGCAGCAACATGGATGGGACTAGAGATTATCATATTAAGTAGTCAAAGGCAAATATCATATGCTATCACTTATTTGTAGAATCTAAAAAAAATGATACAAATGAACTTATTTACAAAACAAAAATAGACTCACAAACATAGAAAGCAAACTTATGGTTACCAAACGGGATAGCAGAGGGTGGTGAGGAAGGGATAAATAGGAGTTTGGGATTAACATATACACACTACTATATATTGAATAGGTAAACAACAAGGACCTACTGTATAGCACAGGGAACTAAACTCAATATCTTGTAATAACCTGGGAATTCCCTGGCGCTCCAGTGGTTAGGACTTGGTGCTTTCACTTCCAGGGCCTGGGTTCGATCTCTGGTCAGGAAACCAAGATCCTGCAAGCCACGTAGTGCAGCTAAAATAAAAAAATCTTGTAATAACCTTTAATGGAAAATAATCTGAAAGAGAATATATAGGTGTGTGTGAGTATGTATGTATAAGGGGATCACTTTGCTGTACACCAAAAACTAACACAATATTGTAAATATACTTCAATTTAAAAAAAAAAGGGGCATATGTTATTCTTTTTTTTTTTTCTCTTGGCAGTTAAAATTTATTTTCTCCTTGGTTATCAAGGATTCTTACTTTCTTTATACTCTTCTGAACTTTTCCAGATTTTCTAAAATGAGCATATGTTATTTTTATGAACAGAAAAAGAACTACTCCTGGTACTTGAAAATTTTTTCTTTTATTAAAAAAATTTTTATTGAAGTATGTTATTCTTTTGAGGTGCTATAGTAATGTATCTTTTTTTGGTAGCAAATTGCATCTTGATTATCAATAACTTAATTAACTGTTCTGTTCTAGCTGGGGAAAATAGAAAGATCTTGCAATCTGGCAATTATCTAAGAAGTTCCATCATTTGATTGATTGATTTATTAAATGGATTCCTTTTTGTTTTTAATTATTTTTGATTGCGTTGGGTCTTCGTTGCTGCGCATGGGCTTTCTCTAGTTATGGCGAGCAGGGGCTACTCTTTGTTGCAGTGCGTGGGCTTCTCATTGCAGTGGCTTCTCTTGTTGCGGAGCACGGGCTCTAGGCTCTCGCGGGCTTCAGTAGTTGTGGCGCACGGGCTTAGTTGCTCCGCAGCATGTGGGATCTTCCTGGACCAGGGATTGAACCCATGTCCCCTGCATTGGCAGGCGGATTCTTAACCACTGCGCCACCAGGGAAGTCCTTTGATTTATTTTTGATCTGGTGAAAAAAGCTTGCAAGATTACATTTTAATCTGGGTTTACCCGAGGAGATACTGATGGTAAATTACGAGACATTTTGCCATGTGCTGTGTTAAACAGTTAGCACTTTGGCAGGTCACATGCCTTGCTGCCTCAACCGCCCATCTGCTCTTTCCCCTGTCTGATTCTGCTCAGGCCCTGGATCTGAAAGAGCTGAAGAGTGAAGGCCTGGTCCTTTCCCTGGAAGAGCAGCTCAGAGACTTGACCTTGTCCGAATTCCATAACTCAGAGCCGTCTGCCTCCATTTCCCTTAATGGCAAATGCTTCAATGTGGAGCTTTTTGACGACAGGAGAGAGAGCACCAAGGTAGTATGATGACCTCTATTCTAGTAGAAAGACTTTGCCTCCTTATACATTTCCCTGAGTGAGAGCGCCACATTTGTCCAAGCGAGCCCAGCCATTTGACAGCAGAGCTGGAGCTGTTAGATGTTGGCTGGTCAAATTCTCCCTCCAGTCTTAAATTCTAGTTTGATTTGATGAATAAAACTGAAGTCTTACTACATAGTGGGCTTTCAGAGAGTGGCTTGGACCGACCCGGCATCAGGGCAGATTTCTGGCATGGATTCCTCGGGAAGGAGCCTGTCAGGTGTATGCCGGCCACAAGGCCCAGGCAAGTGAGCAGTTTGTTTTGGGAAAACAACGAAGACCTGAGCCTCAGACTGTGTAATACGTCTGAGCGCCAGTTGCTTTGCTTTGTTGAGAGGCTTCCATCTGCCGGGTTTGTTTCCTACCAGCCTCTCCTCGTTAGTCACTCTGTTCTGTTTTCATTGAATGTTTTAAGAACTGAAGGGTTCTATCAGAGGAAGGCCGGGGTGTGTGTCCTGCCTCTCCACTGGCTCACTTGGAACCTGCCCATGGTCTCGCCTGCCCTGAGGGCTGGGTTCCCTCTCTACTGCTTTCTGAGGCTGCCTCAGCCTCTCTTCAAAGGCTTTAAAAGATGTAACTGGAAAGGAGGTCACTGCTAGGGGAATGGTTTTACCAAAGAATTACTTTTAATTAGATTTTAAAAATATTTACCTAGGTCTTCACCATCAGTAAACGAGAGAAACATAAGAAGGGCACCACATGTGGCCAGACTTCAGGCCCTAGCACCCTCAGTTAGCTATTGGGTTAAAATTCATGTTCCTAATAATTTGTGTTCCTAACAACTTGTCTGATACTCAGGTCATCATTCACAAGGTTCTTAATGTGAACCCATTAATCGTAGTTCAAACCACTTAAGGTGGTTTCATGTGAGGAAGGGAGTTTTGTTTGGTAGCACAAACCTAAACTCATACAGAACGTTATTAGAATTTGGCCCCAGCTCACAGCCCATGAATCCTGCTCTCCCACTGCATTTTTTCAAAATACCTATCACCAGGTTTTTCATGAGGCAGTTCGAGAACTTTCCACAACCTTGAGTTGCCAAGACACCAGGCACTTCGTGTACCTGCTTTTTTCCTTCCTACTAATTCAAAATGGTACGGTCCTGTGACTGTCTTCCTGCCCAGGCATCAGCGGGTTTGTTCAGGTGGGAGCGCTGCCTTACGCGGGGGCCTCAACAGGTTGCCACTAGCACCACGACGGCGTAGAACGGAAGAGCTAAGGGCACCTCAGTTCCTCTGACTCAGCCCCTTTTTACTGATGAGGAAGCTGTGCCCTTAACTGGGAGTTCCAAGGTGATCCAGCCCTGTAATGGCAGAATAAGAACTCTCTTCATCTCCTGATTCTTGGTCTAATTTTCGTCCTCTTCCTCCATTCTGGGATGAACTTTAGAGCCTTTGGAAAGGTCATTCACATTAGCGGTCAGGAAGAATGAGGCCAGCTGCTCTCCAGAGTCCTGCCCCTGTGTTCTTATTGCCTGCTCCCTCATAGACTTGAATATGCCCTGAGCAGTTTTGGTAAAGAGAGCTTGTCGTGAAGCTTGAGCAAGTATTCCTCAGTCTGGACAGGTTCTCTTCTTCAACACCATTTGCAGCAGGCTTCAAACTGGGTCAAGCTCTTTCACTTTCTCCTTCTGCAAATGTTAGGATAGTATCTTCTCTGGTCCAGCAATATGCCGAGTGCTAGGGGTGCAGAAATGAACCAGACATACGCTGGCTCTGCCTCTTCGGAGCATCTCCGGCCATGAAAGCAAGAGATGACTAATAAGCAATTAATATATAGTATGAAAAAGACCATGATAATAGAAAGAAAAGGTGGTATAGTAGCATGTAGGCAGTGCGCTTCTGGGATTGGAGAGGACGTCCAAGAAGCTGGCACGTAAGGCTGTCCTAGGCAGAGGGAACACAATGGACAAAGATGAGACAAAGCGTGGCTTAGTGGAGGGAGAATGTTGGTATCACCCGAGCATCATTTGAAGAGCGTGTAGTGAGGGTTGAGGCTGGAGATGTGAGCGGAAGGCAAGGTAGCAAGGACCTGGGAGGCCACTGTACGGAGCTTGGGCTTTATTCTCAGCGGGAAGCCACTGCAGGGGCTTCAGCCAGAGGAGGAAAATAAGAAACTGACATTTTGGAAATAGCACTCTGGCTGCAGAGAGGAAAGGGAACTAGAGAGGAGTAAGACCAGAAGCCGAGAGGCTCTGGAGGAGACCGATTCTTTAATTCAGAACATGGAGAAAAGCAAATTTGCTTAAACCTCCATATGTTAATTCCATCTTTTCCCAGATTTCATCTCTGTTGGCAGAATTGGAGGCAATCCGAAGAAATTCAGGGTCCCAAAAGAGGTAAATGTGTTATTTCATTATCCAAGCATTGCTTGTAATTACGCTAGAAAATTTAATATTGCAGATAGTTATAAATCTTCGCTTTTTATATCAAGGACCTTGAGTCATGCTTAGTAGAAAGCACTCAGGTTACAGCACAGATTCCCTTTGATTTCTAATTAAAATGTTTGTGGCACTGGTCGAAAAGGCAATCCCTAGAGGATCCGAGTAAACTGAGTAAGAGCAGAGAAGAAGCATCTCAAGAAAAGCAAGAGAGTAATAGGTGGGCGAGGGAGGGAGAAGAGTGGGGTCAGACCGGGAGCCCCCATGGTGCTGGGGACATTCCTAAGCTGGGGACGTGGATATGGGAGGTTCATTCGTTGTTTGACTTTACTGTGTGCTATTCAATGCATTTGTAGATCGGAAATATTTTGATCTAACCACATAAAACTCTAATTAAAGCGCAGCATGGGGGGAACAGAGAAGCCCTAGCAGCTTGTGTTCTGACTGGCCAAGGGAGGGGCCTCTACCCCTTTGCAGGAGTACAGACCTCCTGTGGGTAAGCACTAGGCCCCAGATAATCAGAGGCCGCAGCCAGTACTTCAGCTTAGCCACCACTTTATTCTGACTTCATTTTGCACAAAATAAGTTGCAGACTGGATCTAGAAATAGCTGGAAATATTGTAATCTTATAATGTCACCGAAGTGTGTACGCTTAGGTAGCAGAAGGCCTTTCCTCGTCCACATTTGATAGCTGAATTGTACGAATAGCAGGCGTTAAAGCCCTGCGGATGAGTTTGTTTCATCTATTCGGGGGCATTGGTTTTCTGTTTTATCCTTCCTTCCAGTGTCATCGTCTCTCAGTGGACCAGCATGCTGAAGGTTGTAACCTTGCACCTTAAGAGGCATGGACTGACTTATTCCACCATCGATGGCTCTGTTAACCCCAAACAGAGAATGGACTTGGTGGAGGCATTTAACAAATCCAGGGGCCCTCAGGTACAAGCTGATCAGAGCAGAGCTCTGTAATCAAGAGCAAATTGTTCCCAATTATACAGAGAAAATTTTAACATAGCTCGATTCAAAAATAGTCATAGCTTTGACCCCTCCAGGTGTTTTTGATTCCTTTGACATTTATTGGGGGGTACATATCAAAGTGTGCAAATACTCTAAGAGAATAAACTATGAGGGCTAAAAAGAGAGTAAGAACATAGCTGGTTAGGTTCAAGAGACTCTTTGTGGAGGAGACAAGCCTGGAAGGACGGGTGGGATCTTGATATGAGGAAAGATGGAGGGAAGTGGGAGAACAAAGGCATCTAATTATGGATAATGCAAATTTGGAAAGCATTAGTTGAGTGATGGCAGGAGAATCATGGCAGTGGTTGGAGGACTGATGGAACAGACAGAATCCGGTTGATGGAAAGTTTATTGAGCCAACCACCCCTGGTGCTCTAAATGGTAGTATTCATATATTTCGGCAGGTGCACAATTAATGTTTTAAGAATGACTCACCAAAAAAAGGTTAAATGAGAATCTTCTCAAAGGTGAGGCATGGGAGATAGGATCTCAGAGTTTCGAAACAGTGCCTTTATGACAGCAGAAGGGAATTTGATAAGAGCGTGTTGCTAAGAAGGAGAGGTGATTGATGAGACCAAGTCTGTGTAAAGTTAATGGTGTGCTTCCTTTTGAAGGTTATGCTAATCTCTCTCTTGGCTGGAGGCGTTGGTCTAAACCTGACTGGAGGAAACCATCTTTTCCTTCTGGACATGCACTGGTAACGATTCTGGATTTTTCTTGAGTTGTCACAGCATAGCAGGGAGACCAGAGGGGCAGTAAGGCCTGACTTCTTATATTGAGTGTGTTCCTTTCATATCATGGAGCTGCCTCTGTGCATCCATGTGTATAAGATACAGATCAAAATGGTGTAGGGCTGGGGACTTTCCTGGTGGCCCAGTGGTTAAGAATCCGCCTGCCAATGCAGGGGACACAAGTTCGATCCCTGGTCCGGGAAGATCCCACATGCCGCGGAGCAGCTAAGCCCATGCACCACAACTACTGAGCCTGCGCTCTAGAGCCCGTGAGCCACAACTACTTGAACCCATCTGCCGCAACTACTGAAGCCTGCGTGCCTAGAGCCCGTGCTCCGCAACCGGAGAAGCCCCTGCAACGAGAAGCCCGCGCACTGCAACAGAGTAGTCCCCTCTCGCCGCAACTAGAGAGAAAGCCCGCGCACAGCAGCGAAGACGCAACACAGCCCAAAATAAATAAAGTAATAAATAACTTAAAAAAAGGAGAGAGAAAAAAAATTGGTGTAGGGTTAGTTGCCGGCCCTGAATTCCTGAGCAAGCAAGGCTTCAAATGACTATTTAAAATAGTCTGTTCACTATTTATTGTTAATCTAACATCTGTTTCCATGGAAACTGAGAGCGGAGTAGGGGGTGCTTTCCCTTATGGCCAAGAGCTGCTTCACTCAATGAAGAGTTTTATCTCTTCAAAACACCGTATTTCAGACATACTTGTTGACGTCCAAGGAAATCTCAGCCTTGGTGAAGAGGGAGAACTGTTACTCCAAAGGGAAAAGGCAAAGGAATTTTTTAATTATGTTAGACACACACTTAACACATAACCTTGGACTCACTGCGCATAGTGTCAACCCGGGAGTATGGCAGCATCCTTCCTAGAAACGAAGTGAATGACTCATGTATTGCTAGGAGAAAGCGTCATAATTTGTCCCTGTTTTGAGTTTTCAGTGATGCCAGTCAGGGATCGCTGCACCAGGCACTGGTGCCAGAGATTGTCATTTGTTAATTCTCCAGGCAGCCCAGATGGGCACAAACAGGCCAACCTGTTATTATCTTCCTGGAGAACGTGGTTAGGTCTTACTTGGGACTCCCCTATACTCGTGAGTGAGGAAAGCAGAATGGGGATCATGCTGGTTTCTGAATTGAGCAATGTTATCCAAGATTTTAAAGAGGTAAGATGAGAAACTAGTTTGGAATTGATAATGAGAACCTAGAAAGAATGAAACAAATTAAGTCTCCTTAGTTGAATCTAGAATATTAAAGTTGAAAAAGGCATTAGAGATCATTTGCCAGCCCTCCGGTTTCCAAGTAGCCATCTGAAGTCTGGAGGGTTGTGGTTAGATGACTTGCCCAAAGTCACTCGACTAGTTAGTGACAGGATTTGAGCATTGGTTTAACCTCTGTTACTTAAGAGTTTCCAGCTGATGGTGGTGCTAAGAGTTCCTATTAGCAATCTGATCCCGGTTTCTCATGAGAGGGCAAGAAGACATCTGGGGCTTTCTGAGTCCCACATAGACTAGAACAGAGACCTACAAATTTTTTCTATAAGTATTAGGCCAGATAGTAAATATTTTAGGCTTTGCCAGCTACATAGGTCTCTGTTGCATATTCTTTGTTGTAGGTTTTTTTGTTTTGTTTTGTTTTGCAAACCTTTAAAAATGTAACAACCATTTTAAAACACAAGAGCCATACAGAAACAGACTGTGGGCTGCATTTGGCCCATGGGATTTGCCCACCCCTGGTCTAGGATGTCATTACCTTTGAGCTTTACTTGTCTTCTAACAGGAATCCGTCACTTGAAGATCAAGCTTGTGACCGAATTTACCGAGTAGGACAGCAGAAAGATGTTGTCATACACAGGTAAGTAAGTAAAGGTCTCCAGGACAAAGGTCTGCTTTCATGAAAATTTTTCTCGGGTAATGTTTTAATAGAATGTGTAAAGTATTTGATGATCACTGTACTAATGGTGCTTGTGGGGCACATCCTTTTTGGTACTCACAGTCAGGAAGGGAACACAAGCAATTTGTGGATAACCTTGGAGTTGGTCCTGCAGAAGAAGAAAAGCTTATGAACAATGCTGAGCCTTAATGCAGTCAAGGCTGCCCATGAAAGGACTCTCCTCCCTCCTTCCTCTCTTCCTCTCTCTCTCTGTCTTTTTCTTTCAACTTTTATTTTGACATAATTCCAGACATAGAGAGAAGAATGTAAGAATTCTTACAAGAATACCCCAAAGTTCTTGATTGCAAGAATAATACCAAAAAATTCCTGTGCACTGTGACACTTGTGTGTGTGTGTGTGTGTGTGTGTGTGTGTAAGATTTTTTCTGGACCATTTGACAGTAAGTTACAGGCATGATGCTCCTTTACCTCTAAATAGTGAAATATGCATTTCCTAAAAATGACATTCTCTTACATATCTATAATAAAGTTATCAAAACCAGGATGTTAACAGTAATACAATACTCATATCTGATCTATGGACCTTATTCAATTTTGCCACTTGTCCCAGTGATGTCCTTCCCAGCCAAAGAAAATTCTAGGTCCTGTGTAGCATTTGATTGTCATGACTCTTTTGTCCCCTTTAACTGGAACAACACCTCAATCTTTCTTTGTGTTTTATGACAGTGACATTTTTGAAGTGCACAGGCCAGTTATTTTGTAGAATGCCCCTGTCCTTGAGACCCTCTTCTCTTTAAAAACAACAACAGAACCTGCCTTAATTGTACAATACAGTCTAGTTATGGACCTCTTTTTCTCCTTCCTTTTCATGGCTAAGTTTTCTGAATAATTAGAAATCCTTGTCTATCTTTACTTACTTCCCATTCATTCCTCAACCTATACAAACTGGCTTTCACCCCCGCCGCTCCATTGAAGCTACTCTTGCTAAGGGACACCAATGAATTCCCAAATTCTCCAAGTACAGTGATTATGTCAGTTGTTTTGTCTTTAGCTCTCTTCTCAGCTCACTTTGTATGCACCTCTCTTAAGTGCACCTCTCCACTCCAGTAAGTCCAAAATCTATACCCTCTGTTCCAAGGTTTCCTAAACTTCAGGCCCAGATATCCAAACCCCCACGAAATATCTGAATCTGAGTGTCCACATCCACACCCATTATTCATTCACTCATGTATTTGTCTCATTCAGCTCAAAAAACGAATGAATACGTGTTGAGGAGTCCCCAGGTAGCAAGTACTGTTACATGCTCCAGGGACTCACAATGTCATAAGCTGAGATTGTTTCTCCCTGCTACCTCATATCTACTGATTCTTCTGAATTTCTCGTCTTTGTGAATAGAATCACTGTTTATCTAATCATGGAGCCAAAACTAGACTCCCCCTTCTTGCTCACGTTTCACAAACCAAATCCATTCATTTTATTTTCTAGGTGTTTCTTGTAACCATCCCTTTCTTCCCATCCCACTGCCATTTCCTCCTTTCAAAACCAAGTTTCTTAGCATCACAGGCAGAGTCACTCATGATCCAGCCCCCGCCAGCCTCTTGAGCTTCTGCTGTTGTAGTACAGCATAGTTTTTGACTTTTGCCCTGGCCAGACTCTACGACCCCTGCAGCAGACTGTGTTCCAAAACTCAGTCATGGTTTTACACATGTTCCCATTTCCTGGGATGCCCTCCCCACTGTTCTATCTGGCAAACCCTTGCTCATCCTACAAGTCACACTAAGAGTCAAGTTGTCAATGGAGCCTTCCCTGAAGACCCCAGACAGATTTCTTTTCACTCCTTTTGTACGCTGGACATACTTCCGTTATAGCGCTTTCCAGGTCATATTATTATTGTTGCTGTTTATTTTCATGTCTTTGTTTTGTGTTCTCTTTGACTGCAAGACCATGTTCAAATCTCCGTTCCTACACCTAGCATAGTGCATGGCATATAGTGAATCTTCATCAGCACCTGTTGAATGAGTGAATAAAGGACAACAGTGGTATTTCCTTGGTTTGTAAAACCTGTTTTCAGTGTGAATTAGCCAAGAGATAAGACACTCTGTACTTAAACCAGCACACATATTCCTGGCAGAAGCTTGATAAGCTTTAGGCCTTCTGACCTTATCAGGATGGAGCGTTTTGTGTAAAAGCTGGATCTCTACACTTTTTTTTTGGATCAGGATATCTTTTGCTTTTTTTGGCACTTCTCAATTATCTCAGCTTCAGAAGGAAAGAAAAGGCCAATTTGAGGTCAGATCACTTTATTTTTAAATTTTTATTTTATTTATTTATTATGGCTGTGTTGGGTCTTCGTTGCTGCACGCAGGCTTTCTCTAGTTGCGGCGAGCGGGGGCTACTCTTTGTCACAGGGCGCGGCCTTCTCACTGCGGTGGCTTCTCTTGTTGCGGAGCGTGGGCTCTAGGCACGCGGGTAGTTGTGGCTCACGGACTCTAGAGCGCAGGCTCAGTAGTTGTGGCGCATGGGCTTAATTGCTCGGCGACATGTGGGATCTTCCTGGACCAGGGGTCGAACCCGTGTCCCCTGCATGGGCAGGCAGATTCTTAACCACTGCGCCACCAGGGAAGTCCAAGGTCAGATCACTTTAAATGGATATATATTTAGTCTAAGTTGTTTAGATCTCCTAAACATAGAGTTCTTAATCAAACCTAAGAAAAAATAAAGGAAGAAATCTCATTTAAAAACTAAAGCATAGGGCTTCCTTTGTAGCGCAGTGGTTGAGAGTCTGCCTGCCGATGCTGGGGACACGGGTTCGTGCCTCGGTCCGGGAGGATCCCACATGCCGCCGAGCGGCTGGGCCCATGAGCCATGGCCGCTGGGCCTGCGCGTCCGGAGCCTGTGCTCTGCAGCGGGAGAGGCCACAACAGTGAGAGGCCCGCGTACCACAAAAAAAACCCCAAAAAACTAAAGCATAAATAGATGTTTGAATATGTCATTAGATATGCTGCTTTGGGTTTTTGATTATTTGCTTATCTTTTTCAGATTTGTTTGTGAGGGAACAGTGGAAGAGAAGATCTTGCAGCTCCAAGAAAAAAAGAGAGATTTGGCCAAACAGATTCTATCAGGAACTGGAGAAGTTGTCACCAAGCTCACCTTGGCCGATCTCAAAGTCCTTTTTGGCATCTAACTTCCTGTTTATGGAGCTCAGAATAGTGCCATTGTTGGTTTGTATTAGGATCTGGGGAGAATGACCTAACCCTGGTCCTTTGAGCTCTCGTTGGCATTCAGTTTCACCTTCAAGCCCTCCTCAAAGTGAGGATCAGTTACCATGTTAACCACTTGGTTAACCAGTCATGTTAATCAATCAGCGTATTTAATGTGTGACATAGAAACCAATAAATTACTTCAGATAAGAGAAAATGCTTTAGAGTTAGAGAATTTGGAAAACAGCCCTGGGAGAGTTGTACCTAAGCTTCAGTAAAAGCTCAAAAAGCCCTCTGTTGCTTTTCTCTTCTCAGCTGGTGGGGACCCAATGTTACTGCCTTTTCTAACACAGGCTCCATCCCATCTCTTCATCTCCTGCCAATGAGGCTGCTCATATAACCATCTCTTTATGGGCTGAGCAGAAGCAGCTCTCTGCGTAATATGTAGATGGTTAGTATTTGTATCATCGTATTATTTAGAATTTGGTATCATATCATTTAGTATTATTTTATATTGCTATCATATCATGTGGTATTTGTGTCATAAATTTTAATTTTTGTATCATTTTTCTAGTGTTTGTATTTTTACAAATTTACAGTATTTGTAGCACTTAGTATCATTGTTTCATTTAGTATTATTGTGTCATTTAGTACTTGTATTATCATTGGCATAATCCAATAAACATGTGTTTGACAGTGTAGCAGAGATAATGCTTTGTGTTCACTAACCCCCATTTCCTTTTCCTCCTGGCCACCAGAGACTACATTTCCTAGTCTTCACTGCAGTTACATGGGTCCATATTGCTGAGTTCTAAGTCAGTGGAATATGGAGAGAAGTGATGTAAGTCATTTCTTATCTGCCTTTCTGAAACCTTGCAAGTGATTCTTTGTGCTGTTTCTTCTCTTGTTGGCCCACTGAATACAAAGGAACTGATGGATGACTGCAGGGCCCTAGAGACTTGTGAAGCCACTAGGTCAGAGATTCTTAACCTACTGCTGGCCACGGACCCCTTGGCAGACTGGTAAGCCTCAGTTCCTGAACGACATCGGAACAAAGCTTCCTGTGTGTGCCTCCCTTCTCACCCTAGCTCACCTACATTGGACTATGACATGATCAAGAAATAATTTTTTTTAAAACCATGAGACTTGGGTGTTCGTTTGTATAGCAGTTTGTATCCTGACTAATACAAACTCTTGAGAATTTCTTACTTTGGGAAACTATTCAGATTCCCTTCTTCCCGTTGGCACTTACTCAGCTAATTTCTGCTAGAAAGAATTGTATTTCTTCCTAGATAGAACTGTTGCCCTCCTTTGAGTTAGGATTAGGTGACAAAGCCCTGTGTTAAGCCAGTCACAGTATGGGCTGAGGCACTGGGGCCTGTTTAAGCAAAGGTGCCCTCTGAGGACATGGTCTAAAGGCCCACAGAGGCAAAGACAGGTGGCCTGGAAGGAAGAGTTCTGACTTAACTCTACTTCCAGGTTCACCTTAGCTGGGGTGTAGCCTTGAAAAAATCATTAACTTCTCTACACTTTGGTTTCCGCATTTGTGGTAGGCATTGTTTTTAGAACTTCGGCAGCTGTAGTGAAGTCCTGGTAAAATCGGGAAATGGAGGATGTAAGATTACCCTTCGGGAGTTACGCTGTAGGATCAACACACCAGGGCAAAGGGAGTGTCACCTGAGAAGCAGTGGCTCCCAGGCCAGCAAGAACGTACAAACCCTGCCTCTGCTGTTTGCTGACTGTCTGGTGTTCAGCTAGTTGCAGATTCCCCAGGCACCATCTGTAAGATGTGAGGATTAGCATACAGCTCACTGTGCTTCCCTGGCAACTTAGCAACACACCTACACACCATAGCCCATTCGACCAGATCGACAGATGGGTCATGTCAGTCAGAAGGCATGTTAGGTGAACACTGTCAGTGTCCTTTCCAGGTACTGTTTAGGAGAGAGGCAGTGTCAACTTCGAGGTTCAAGTATTCTTGCTTTTAGTCTGAAGATGGTTGCAGGGATTATAACCTACAATCTTCAGATATTCAGAGCCCACTGACCAATATAATCTACTCTGATATTCCTTCTCGTATCTTAAATAGTTTCTCTAGTGTTCCTCATTCTGATTCTAAGCTAGCAAAGCCACTCAGTCTTGTCTTGGGTAGGTGTTCCTGTAACAGGGAGATGCTATCGATGTGAGGCGGATACAGCAAAAATTGGAACCACGGTCATACCAGACATGCATCCTTCAGTCCTAGCCCTGGGGTGGAAATGTCTCATGAATTATAATATAAGTAGCATTCTGGCGTCTGTCTCAGGCTCACGTTCATTTTAGTTACCGTGAGTCCATTTCTTAAGGTCAGGGCATGACAAGGTGTGTCTCTGCACCCTCTAGCAGTGGGCAGCATCCCACTATGTAGTGATCTAATTGAGGTGCTGCCCTATGAATTCTGCCAGTGTCAACCAGCCTTCCCTTATGTGACACCGTAACGGTCAGATTTTCTTTTTACATCTCTCTGCCTAACTCAGCAGACTTAGGCAAGAACAGTAAATGCTTTGTTAGACACGAAGTGCCATCCGAACGCTAGTGTTATTGCTGTGGGACCAGGTCTCGGAATATGAGAATAAAATTGAAGCATGGGTGCAGCTGAAAGAGCCAGATGGTGAACATCTGTCACCAAAGTGCAACATTGCTGAGCACCCAGTTTACAAGGTATTTCTTATGTGACAGAGCTGCCTTCATGGAAGGTTTATAGTTTGACTTCTCTTTGGCAGTGTTAATCAAAAAAGGGCATCGTGCGCGCCATGCCTGGATGGAACCTGGGCCCTTTAAAGCCTTACCAAGGACTCCTGTTGCCATCCAATTATTATGAACACAGTAGGTAGAATGATGTCTTTGTGGGACATGACCCCTTCCTCTAGCAGTCATGTATGTGATCTGGAATGGCTACGTATAAATACTGGGCTCTTTCCTCTCTCTGATTGTCTTGTGCAATGAAGTGGCTTCTGCAGGGCTGAAAGATGAGGCCAGATTATCCTGCACAGGTAGTCATGGAAATGCCAGTGCTCGGTGTGGCCCCTCTGGTGTTCTGAAATCTTGATATCTACCATAATGCCTTGAGAGAATTTGGGTTTACAGAGTGGGATATGGTACTGCTATTTGCTATGTAGCATCTAGCCCTAGAGAAAGCCAGAAAGAATTAAAAGGCATTCCTTCAAGCACAAAGAGAATTACAATAAGAATTTAGAATTTGTAGGCATATGACCTCGATTAAAATGTTTTCATAGGTAAAAATGAAATTAGCGTCAGTTATAGTACAAAGTACCAGTGGAGTGAGTAGCCAGGGGACGGGGATGGAAATGAAAGAACGGCCTAACCCTTAGCAGGGAACAGGGAAGATGATATCTTCGCTAGCTTGAGTCCTTTTTACCAGAATGCTTAGCTAAATCTGAGTGTAGGAAGAGATTACATATGAAAGGAAGGATGGGAAGAATACTTTTGCTGCTTAATTATTCATACATTAATTTAAAAACATATATTAAACATGCCAGGGCACTCCTGGGCACTGAAAATGTAAGGATAAGCAAAACCCCAAACAGTCCCTGTCCTCCTGAGGCTTCCAGCCTAGAAGGGGAGACAGGCATTAATCAGATCATCACGTGTGGCTGCGAAGTGGCCATTGTGATGAGTGCTACAGTGGCGGGGGAGTCCGCGTGGCTGGGAGGGCTTAGAACAGGGATTTGACCTAGTTAAGGGGGACTTCTCTGAGGAAGTGTTGAAGGAATTGAAATCAATACGTAGAAGCTAATAAGGCAAAGAGTGAAACACCTCTTCCTATATTCTGCCTTTAATTAGCATTCACTTCACCCAACCACCTCTTAATTGAGAAAAGCCTAGCACATAGGTATACATCCTCTGGAGTAAAGCTGAGTGACTGCTGCATTTTAGAGATTAGAGAATGGGTGGGCTGGCAGGTATGTGTGTATGTTTGTTATCCAGGATGGCCCAGGTGTTTATCCAGTTACAACATCCCAGGGGACGGAGGCTGTAATTTGCGGCCCGTTTTCTCCTCCCTGTAACACCAGAGATATAGCTTACGTCCTGCTGCTGCACCTTGTTGATGCTTCAGTGCTCACAACTCAGAGGTGGTTTCTGAAGCACTTTGTTACGCTGGGGGCAGTTCCTAAATCGTAAGACTTCTTTTTGTCCTCACCTTGGAATATGGGGCTCTGCAGATCAGTCTTGCCTTGCCAAGTCTTTCAGCTAGGTTTACACTCCACTGTAGCACAGATCAAATAACAGCCCCACTCCACCCACCCCCCACCCCACCCCCCGCACAAACTTTAAATATCTGTAGTGGAACTGTTACCATTAATATTGCTTAAAGGCTAGGGCATTTGCCAGAACCTAGGTATCTTATAGATAGTTTCTGTTGCAATAGAACTTCAGCTACAGTAGAGTTATCCAATTACCAAACGCTTTTTCCAACTGAAATAAATGATAAGCTTTTTATCCTCAGTTCTGAAATCTGATTCATTAAAAGACACATGGGGCAAAATGATGTAAAACAACAAGCTTCTTCATGGCAAGCAATTCCCTAGATGTCTGAGGTAATTGGAAAATTCAAGGCTGGTGCATATAATTTATCCAAATTATGCATAATTTATGCATATAATTTATCCTAAGGTGCATATAATTTATCCAACAGTTTTGAGAGAAGGCTGAGGTTTTTTCCCAAGTGGTATTTGGTTGAAGGGAAAATGTCAGTCTGAGGGAAGGGAAGTCTGGCCTGTAGAAACAGATACCAAGGAGATCCAAACCAAAAATTCTACCAATTAGATCTTTATTCATTCAACAAAATATTGATTAAGCCTCTACTATGTGCCAGGAGCTGTCTTCCATGGGGATAGTATAGTGGTCAATAAATGTCAAATCCCTGCCTTCATAGACCTTACGGTCTAGGATAAGAGGACAGACAATAAAGAAATAGAATATATATATGTTAGATGGTGATGAAGCAGACTAAGGATAATACGGAGTCTTGGGGTGGGGAGTTGCTATTTTATACAGGGTAGTTAGGGACCTCTCCAATAAGATGGCGTTTGACAAAGGAGCAGAAACCTGAGGAAAATGAGAGAGTGAATCATGTAGGTATCCGTGAGAAGGGCATTCCAGGTGGAGGGGCAGTGATTGTAAAGGCTTCAAGACAGAGTTTGAGGGGCCCCAAGCAGTCCAGTTTGGCTGGAATAGAGTGATGGGGGTGGGGGGATGGGTAGGAAAGAGAGAAGAGCGAGGATCCAGGTCCTGCAGGGTCTTACATGCTGATGTAAAGGCTGTTCTGAGTAAGATGGGAGGCCTTTGGAGGTTGTCGAGCAAGACGAGTGACACGATCTGATGTATTTTAAAAGGACTGTTGGGTGGAGAATAGACTGTAGACAGTTGAGAGTGAGAGCAGAGAGACTAGTTAGAAGGCCATTGCAAAAGTCCAGGTGAGAAATCATGGTATCTCGGACTGGTGTGGTTAGCAGTGTAGGCAGAGAGCAGTGCTCAGCAGATGTATTTTGAAGGGATGGCAGATAGGATTTGCCAGTGGATTGGACGTAATGCCTGAGAGGGGAGTCAAGGATGTTTCCAAGGTGACTGGCTCCACCCCCTGTAAGAGTGGATTTGGACATTCCTTTCAAAGAGATGGAGAAGACTGCAGGAAAAACACTTTGGTGCTGGTGGTCCGTTGGGCAGTGAGAATTGGAAATTGAGAGTTCTGTTTTGGACATCTTAAAGATGAGGTGCCTATGATCCATCCAAGTGGAGATGTTAAGTAAGCTCTTGGATATAACCATATGGAGTTTGGAGCTGGAGATAAATCTAGGAGTCATCAGTATATAAAAGGTACTTAAACTCATGAGAGGATGAAATCACCTAGGAAGTGGGGGGGAAGATAAAAATGCAGGAACTAATCCTTGGAGCTCTTAAATGTGTAGAGACTGGAGAGATGAGGAACTAGAGAAAGGAAGTCAATGAGATAAGTGATTAAGAAGAGTGATGCGGGACTTCCCTGGTGATGCAGTGAATAAGAATCTGCCTGCCAGTGCAGGGGACACGGGTTCAATCCCTGGTCTGGGAAGATCCCACATTCCACGGAGCAACTAAGCCCGTGCACCACAACTACTGAGCATGTGCTCTAGATCCCGCGAGCCACAACTACTGAGCCCTTGTGCCACAACTACTGAAGCCCACGCGCCTAGAACCTGTGCTCCACAACCACAACAAGAGAAGCCACCGCAATGAGAAGCCCGCGCACTGCAACAAAGAGTAGACCCGCTCAGCTCAACTAGAGAAAGCCCGTGCACAGCAACAAAGACCCAAGGCAGCCATAAATAAATAATAAATAAATAGATAGATAGATAAATAAATAAATTTTTTTAAAAAGAAGAAGAGTGATGCCAGATAAACCAAGTGAAGAAGATCTTTCTCGGAGGGGAAAGTGATCACCTGTGTTAAATGCTGTTGATAGGTCAAAGAGGATAAAGATCAAGAACTGACCATTGGATTCCATAACATGGATATTACAGGTGACCTTTACAAGAGCTGTTTCAGTGGAGTGGTGAGGATTAAAGACTGAGTTAGATCCAAGAGAGAATTCAAGGAGGGGAAGTAGAGATAGCAAACAATTTTTTTTTTTTTTGAGGTCTTTTTAAAGGGAAGCAGAAAAACGGAGCAGCTGTCAGAGGGGGATGAAAAAATTCTTATGGACTGATCTGTGTTCCCTGCAAATTCATAGATTGAAGTCCTAGCCCCCATTGTGACTGTATTTGGAGACAGGGCCTTTAAGGAGATAATTAAGGTTAAATGAGATCATATGGGTGAACCCTAATTCAGTAGGATTGGTGTCAATAAGAAGAGGGAGAGACATCAGGGATGCATGTGCAGAAAAAAGGCCACGTGATGACACAGGAGAAGGTGGCCATCTGCAAGCCAGGGAGAGGCCTCAGGAGAAACCAACCCCGCTGGCACCTTGGACTTCCAGCCTCCAGAACTGTGAGAAAAGAAATTTCTGTTGTTCAAACCACCCAGTCTGTGGTATTCTATACGGCAGCCCTAGAAGTCTCATATAAAAATCAAGGGAAATTTGTTTTTTAAGATAGGGAATATTGTAGCATGTTTATTTTCTGAAATTAGCAATCCAGTAGAGGGGGAAATTACTGGAGCAACGTTCCTGGGTTGTAGAGATGGAATGAGAGCTCATATAAAAGTTTGCTTTTGATAGGCATATAGGTAGATTTGTAGATATGGTGGGAAGGTCAGGAAATTCTCTTCTGAATTCTTCTGTTTTCTTGGTGAAATAGGAAGCAAGATCATAAGTGGAGAGGGGAAGTGCAGTACAAATTGCAATTTGAGGAGAAGAAAGTAGGAAATACAATTGTCTAGAAGAGTGGAGAATAAATGGACTAGAGACATGTCAGACTACCGGGCAATGCTAAGAGCCCATCAAGATCAGTGGTCATAGATTTAAAGGGAGACTAGTCATCATACATTCGTGTTCTGCTCCAGGATCATTCAGTTGGGTTAGATGGAGATCTGGATGTAATCTGGGGTTTTGCCAAGCAAAAAGGACGGGGAGACTACGTGCAAGGGTGTGATGATGCTCTGTACAGTCTAAAGTGAGTGAGGATGAAGGAAAGGACATGAGGCTGGGGAGGGTAAGAGTGGGAAGGTGGTCACTGCACTGGGGATTCTAGGGAGGTAGAAGAATTAGTAGAGTCAGGTGGGTGAGCTGGAAAGATGGGAGGTCATGGTTGCAGGATGCTTGAAATTGAGCTTATGCAGAGGGATCAGCTGGAATCGAGGTCTAGGGTATGACTGACTGCTGCGTGAGGGAAAAAAGAACCTTAGAGTCATGGAGTTAAGATGTCTTCGTGGCTATTGAATTATTCTAAGACTGATGAGGAGGAGTACTGGAGTAGCAGCAAGTTTGGTGCTAAAATCTTCAAGGAAGAAGGGGGAATGACTCGGGGCTCTGTGGATGGCTGAACCACGTGGGGGTAACAGCTTGCATAAAGGCCTGAGCTTCAAGGCTGGCCTTTTTTAAAGGAGGCGGAATAATGGTCTAGAACGGGATTTCTCGACAGCAGCGCTACTAACGCTTCACACTGAATAATTCTTCATTGTGGGAAGCTGGCCAGAACTGAGTATAAGCAGCATTTCTGACTTCTACCCAAGAGATGCTAGTGGCACTGCCCCCAGCTGTGGCAAGGAAAAATGCCTGAGACTTTACTAAACATCCTTGGGGGACAAATTCACATCAGTTGATAACCACTGATCTTAAAGCAGCAGTGCTGAGCTAAAGGACTCCTACCTGACCTCTGGGCCCAGTGATTATGAGGAGTGAGGAAGAGCAAATAATAATTTCAGAGGGTTACAGGGCCATCAGGGTCTTCTGGGAATATCAGATTTTGGTCAGAGAGAGGGCTGAAGGGAATCTTTCCAGAACATATAAGTAAATATCTTCATATTTACAGCTACAATGTAGCTCACGTCTATCAGCCTTAAGGAGGAAATGTTTCCAGGATGACCTGACAGTGTGTTTTGTCTAATTATTTCACTTCCTTTGCCTGACCCAATTCACCATTCCAATGAGTTACTTCTTAATGGATCTTACATTGCAGATTTCAATAATTATATTTAATACATGCTGAGTTTTTGCTATATAAAAAATCAAGTGTCCCAGAAGAACACACAAACTATATACAGTGAAGACCACGGCAGGGCTGGGGCACCAGTGCTGTGTACTTCCTCTCCCAAGAATCCTCTTCAGTTAAGCAGGCATGCTCTAGGAGTCAAAACTTCTAGTTAACTTCCTAGGTATACAGACAAAACTGAAGACGGTTCTTTAAAAGACAAAGAGGGTGAGAGATGTGAGGACGAGGAAGGTATCTGGATCGCCTGGCATGAGTACATCTGCAAGGAATTTATGAGGTCCTATTTCAGCAGCATTCCCCTTTATTTACTGACTACGTGTCTGCCCCTGACCACACAGTAATCTTCTAGGCTCTGGGGTTACGAGATGAACGTGGTGTAGAGGGGAAGTGGCGGACCTCCACCTAAACAGCAATATCACATTATAATCCATTTAAAGTGTGCTAGCAACAAGTGGATACGAGGAAAGGAGGTTTTTATTCTCTGAGGGAAATATCTAACACGTAGCTCAGGGAGAAATAAGAAAGTTATACATCAAAAAGTGAGGAAATAAATTACCCCCGTGAGCGCTAAATTCCAATGGCATGGGTACCTCCATGTCTGTACAAAACAGAAAGGAGCCTCCTTGGTACAGAAAGGACATTTTTTTTTTTTGAGGGGGTGATACAAAGTTTATTCAATTAGATTTTTCTGTTTACAACGGAGATCACATCTACAAACTATATTGCTAGTCTACATGAGTACAGTTTTTCTAACAAGTTTATTAGACTTACAATGAATGGGCTCAGTCATACAAAAACATGCACACACTGACACTGTTTTAAAACAGTAATGCATACATTATACTCGTCCTATAAAGCCAGCTTTGATTAACAACTGCTAGTTTCAAAGATCTGTCTGCTTTTGAAGATGTACTAAGATAGACACTGTATGATTCTCGAATCTATTTTAGCCATTTTGTACAGTCGCTCTCCTACTGGACTACAGTATATATGTTTTAAAAGGACACTAATGAGGGGCACCATCTGGTATTAACTTTAACCAGACAGCTGACTGCCTCCCCTCCCCCAAAGACCTTTGGCCACGAAGAAGAGAAACGTAGCGTGGTCTCTGGTGCTCGACCACCTGGACGTACAATCAGTGAGTAACTCACAAAAAGGTACTTGGACTCGAGGGTATAACATAAGGCACTTTGTTTTTAATTCCATCAGTTTCTTCAGAATTAAGGTCAGGGGTTCTCTGGTGATCTGAAGCCGTGACCACAGACCCAGGAAGCCGTCAGAGGGCCGCCGTCAGAGGGCCACCGTCCTCAGTACACTCCTCGCTGCGCTCTGCCCACCTGCCCATGCGCATTCTGACTTCTCGGTAAACTTCCCACAGCACGACCAGTGGGGGCGCCCCGGGTGGCCTTTGTGTCCGTGGCCACAGCCTAGGTACCCACCTGCATGGTTCAAAGAGGAGAGGGGAGAACCACCATTAGAGGAAAGTCCAGCAGTTACCACGGAAATTAATGCTCCTGGCGACATTCAGACTCATGGACGTGAAAACGTCTAATAAAAACCCGTAGAGAGGAACAAGCTATTCGGTGCCTCTGTAGTCAGGAGAACTCACAAGACTGATGACAGCAAATCAATTAAGGTTAGCTGAAGTTCTAAGAAGAGTGTTATTTTAACACTGCTAACTCAAGGAGAAGAACTGGTTTGGATTTTAACTGTAACATAATCTAGATGAAAGGGAAGTGCAGAGTGGTGGAAATAAACAAAATAGATCCTGAAGTGTTTATGAGAGTTTACAAGAGCCTATCTTAAGGCCCACCACTGGAGTAAGGATACCACAGAATACTGAAAATAATTAGATCTCTTGCCTGAGCTGACCCTCTTGCCCACCCACCCTGTCCCCAAGAAAAGAGCCAGACCTGGTTCAGTTAATTTATTCATCTGTTCTCCCATCCCTGCCTTGTTTGGAATTTCTCTAAGGTTTTAAAAGGAACAGAGCGGGTTTACATCTTTGACACCGCTCAGGCTGTTGGAAAGGGTACAGGCTGAAATCGAGCATTCTAGGAGAAGCACAGGGCTCCTAGGATTAGTGAACTGTATCAAAACTAAAAAACTCAGAACTTTGCAGCTTGCTATTTCAGTTTCCAGAACAAGAAGCTTTAAATGAAACTTTTAGAACTGTGATATATTTATACGCACAGACTGCATTCCTAGAAACAAAGCCTAAGTCTGAACACCCCGAAGCTGGTCGCTGTGGTAGTTGATCCCGCCGCCGGGAGACAGCAGCAGAGGGAGAGCGAGGGCTTTCAGGAGCGACTGGTTCTCCTTACCCGGCATGGTGCCTCCACATGCGCAGCGAGCAGTCTTCTGGCCTCCGCTGGAGCAGAACGTGCAGCAGTGAAACACGCCTGGGTGTGAGCGGTGCCGTTTCCTCACGGTCACAGCGAATGGTGAGCCCTTCAATGTTCAGACCAAGAGCAAAGAACAGCACCTTGTGAGTCAACGGGTGTGCCGAGCATCACACATACTAAACGGAGTGTAAGTCGCAGGGCCTGTCCCTGGAGGGACGAGGACAGCAGGAGGGAAACAGCGACTGGGGGACAGCAGCCAGCTGGGCGCTGAGCTGGATGGGGCCAGATACAAATGCAGTGAGAGGGGGAGTCAAGGAATCCGTGCTGCTCTCCCAGCATGCATGCCACCTGATGCACTAGGAAACCCAACTGTGCTTTCACGTCACTGACCTTGGTCTCTATCTCCTCCATTCCTGAGCAAGCTTGGGTAACTATAGAGCACACAACCACAAGGTGAGGACATCTGTGGTCCTTTCTCCAGTTTCTCGGCCACACACCCCCTCCCCTCACATACTGAGCCAGCTCCTCTCCTTCCATCCCTCCATCCTGGACACAACTGTTTACCCATCCCCTTTACTTTGGGTTGGTGAAGATAGATGGAAGGGAGGAAGGTTAAAAGCCTGTGGTTAATAATTCTCAGATTGGGCTTCCCTGGTGGCACAGTGGTTGGGAGTCCGCCTGCTGATGCAGGGGACGCGGGTTTGTGCCCCGGTCCGGGAGGATCCCACGTGCCGTGGAGCGGCTGGGCCTGTGAGCCATGGCTGGCTGCTGGGCCTGCGCGTCCAGAGCCTGTGCTCCGCAACAGGAGAGGCCACGGCAGTGAGAGGCCCGCATACCGCAAAAAAAAAAATCTCAGATTAGAAACTCTCCTGCCTCTTTTCCTTCAAGGATAACTTCCATTCTGCAATTTCTACCCTATGTTAAACAGTAAATATTTAATAACTGTTGTTATGTGCCTATCCCTGCATGAGAACTACACGTTCTGCAAAAGCACAAAGCAGAGAGGCTGGCACCTTAGAAGCCTTTCAAATGTTAAATCTCTCTTCCTTTAAAGAGTTTATGATCTGTTTTAAAAACAACCTGGAGTTCAAAGCTATGGGTTCAAATTATGATTTTTCCACACAGGTACTGTGTATTGTGGCAAGTTTGTTTCTTCGGTCCAGTTGGATGATGATCCTTATGCCTCAGTGATTTGGAGGAAAAGTGAAATAATGTTTGTAAAAACACCTAACCCAGGCTTCCCTGGTGGCGCAGTGGTTGGGAGTCTACCTGCCAATGTAGGGGACACGGGTTTGAGCCCTGGTCCGGGAGGATCTCACATGCCGCGCAGCGGCTGGGCCCATGTGCCGCAACTACTGAGTCCGCGCGCCACAACTACTGAGCCTGCGCGCCACGGCTATCAAAGCCCGAGTGCCTAGAGCCCGTGCTCTGCAATGGGAGAAGCCACTGCGATAAGAGGCCCGCGTACCACAGTGAGGAGTAGCCCCCACTCACCACAACTAGAGAAAGACCGTGCAGAGCAATGAGGACCCAATGCAGCCAAAATAAATAGATAAAATAAATAAATTTACAAATAAATAATAAATTTTAAAAAAACACCTAACCCGTCTGACATCCTGTAATTAGGCAAGCAGCAAGTGGCTATTGAATATGAGTCTTCCTGTGGCACAGACCACAAGCCTAACACATCATGATGCTCTATGGTGTTTTATTGTCCTTGTCAGTGTTGATTTCTGGTTGGGGGAAACCTCTGACAGCTCGAATGTCAGCAGAGATTCTGCCGGACGTGTTGAGTATTACCCAATTTTTAAAAATTCATAATCTCTACACCAGAAAGTGTTACATGTATCTGTGGAGGTAACAGACAAGCATATACGTATAAACAGAGTAGAGAATTATCTGGGCAGATGGTTAGGCAGAGAGATGACTGGTCAGTCAAGAAGAGAGGGCATAACTCTCCCAATGGTGTTCCAGTAAGCCCATGTCTGGTCATAGTCTGAAAAAGCTGGAATATCCTGAGCTAGATTATATTGCTCGAACGTGTGTATGCTTGTCCGCTGGTAGGCTGGCCCCTCTGATCAAGGCATCTTTCCCAAATTAAGAATTCCAACAAACTGGGAGAATGATAAAATACAAGCACAACTGCCAGGAGGTAAAGTAGGGATAGAGAGTTCTTAATCGTCACCAGCATCCTCTCGTAAGAATAAGAGCTGCAAAATCTGGGCCATTTCTAAAGTGAGATGAAATAAGAAAGAAGAGAATCCTGTTCAAGGCCTCTATACAGCTGATCCTGTGAGAAATGTCTCCACATCCTAAGATGACAAAACCCAGGGGGACCAGGGTGAAAGGAGGTCAGTGAAGCACAGGTAAAGTCTCACTCACCTGCACGTGTTGTTCCTTGACACAGACGAACACAGTATAGATGCCAGGTTCCTTGGGGGTATAGGAAACGTAGTATGTCCCATCCTTGTTATCGTGGACCATCGTTTTGACTGGACTGGATGGAGGTGAGAGTTCAAAAATATCACTCATTCTCACAAGCCTGCTTCAGTTGCCCACTATTTTAGGATGTAAACTCTGCACCAGTGGTCCCCAACCTTTTTGGCACCAGGGACTGGTTTCGTGGAAGACAATTTTTCCACGGATGGGGGGATGGTTCGGGCGGTAATGCGAGCGATGGGGAGCAGCAGATGAAGCTTCACTTGCTCACCCGCCACTCACCTCCTGCTGTGCGGCCCGGTTCCTAACGGGGGCTGCAGACCCCTGCTCTACACCATAAATCCAGTATTAATTTTAAATGTCCCCCAAGCAGGATGTGTCTTCTACTTGTCTCGGAAATTAATTTTACAACAGAAGGTAAGCAACATAAATGCTGATTTAATCTGATGTTCTGACGAATTCCTTGAAAGCGTCACTGTGTTCTCTCCCCTCAGCTTCTGTTGTACCCTCCTGCCCTTCGTCCTCCCTCCTCCCTCCTCTAATTCCAGTGACGTATAACTTTGCTCCCAGAACAGTTTAGTAGCAAAGTGAGGCTGAATTTTGAGAAGGGCGCCATTCAGTCTAACATGGAATATTTTTCAGTCTATTTGAAGCTTGGGATGAAGACAGTCTGAGGGGCAGATCAGACCTTTGGGAGAGAATTGAATACAGGCCTAAAACCCACACAAGGAAACACATCTGGTCCACTTGGTCCTATTGCACTTTTCAATGGCATCATGGGGAGGTAGGCTGGAACTACTGCAGTTACAGCCCCACTACTGCAAAGGACCTCGGGTTTCCAGTCGCATCACCGCTCATTACCTGTGACGCCTGAGTGTATAATACAAACCTGTCTTTCTTATCTTTAGGGACTACTGCGACTTGAATGTTCTCTCCTCCCCTGCCCATGCTCTCTCCTGCTGCATCCTTACAAATGACGGTGAAAGAGACTGTCTGTTTCTCGCGGGCTCTGTGGAGATCTGCGGAAGATAAACACTCCATCCTCACCTCAAAGGCCAACTGCGGTGACTGTATCCCCAGATCAGACACCATCTTGCCTTTTCTCTTTAGAACAAAAGGTTGTGTTTCCAGTTTCCTCCCTTTCTGTTCTCCCAGGCATACCTCTTGGGAGTCGCTCCCGGTGAGCCTGCTTCTGTCTCAGCCAGCAGCTGCTCTTGGATCATATAGGATCCTGGACCTTAATTTCAGCCTTAAGGAAGCTTTGAAAATACTCAGGTTTGATGTATGTATTCAGAGAAAAAAACCTCTGGACACCGTGAGAGAGGCTGGTAACCCCAAACTACCCTCTCTGAGCTGCAGATCCTGCTGGAAGAGGCGGTGGGTACAGGGTGACCACCTGGGACTCTTCATGCTGTGAAGTCCTCCACAGCGTGGTAGCTGTGCCATGGTGTTGGGGGCATATTCAATAGCTACAGCCTCTGGTCCGGAAGTCAGATGAAACAGGCTTCTTAACCTGGGGTTCGTGAACTACTGTGAGGCCTTACGAAGGGTCTAAGAATCTCCTGAAATTGTATGCCCAAATTAATGGGTGTTTCTTGGGGACAGATCATTCTCAAAGGGATCTGTGACCCCCGAACAGGTAAGAATTCCTGTGCCAGTTAGGATGACTCTACAGTAGAGTCTTCCTGTGAGGACTGATCTGTGAAATACATGTTTGATCAATGTGGTCAAAAGAAATTGTTTTTCCCCTCTGCTGACTGAAATGCCTACCGTTTCCTTCAAATGCCAACACGTGGCTTACATGAACCAAAAAGGGCATAGAAGAAAGCAAACCATAACCCTGTCATCCTCACTCCTCAGAAACTCTCTTCAGAACTTGGTCCAAGCCATCCTCTCTGAACAGGCAGGATTCTGCCCGGCCCTGAGGCCTATGCTGTTATCTCCTATGGGCACTGCCTCTGTCCTGTCATCTGAGAGAAACAGCATGATCCTTGAGTTCCTTGGTAGTTACTACTTTTCTCCACTGGAAAAGGGTCAAGCTTCACCCCTGTAGGGATCTTAACTGTACCCTGACCAGAACAGATCAGAAAGAAAAGGACACAGGTGGGGTCACCGTCCATCGGATGCATATGTCTCTCTCCCTAGCTAAATGAAGGCCATGGCTGAAAAAGCCACATGTCTTTAACACCAGGTCCTGTCCACTGTCCTCTCAATGCCAGTGGGAAATGCCTTCCTACCTTCCCCTTGAAGGACACATTTGGCTGGATCGACCTCTTTGGTATTGATGGCCCCATAAACTTCATAGCCGCGGCACAGGCCTGCTTTCTCCTTAGGAGAGAAGGTGATCTTCTCGTTCACTCCAGGACGGGCACTGTATGCCACTTTGTTCAACTTTGTGAGCCGTTCCAGGACCACCCCTTTGGTGATGAGGATCTCCAGGTCGGAGCCACTGGTCAGCAAGTGCTCGGTGAACTCCACTCCGGTCCGCATGTCTGCCAGCAGCTGCTCCAGCTGTGCCTTCTGCAGCTGCAGGGAGTTCTCCTTCTGGATCCGGATGGCTTCCAGCTGCTTCAGCAGCTTGTCCCGATGCTCCTCGATGGCCTTGATGTAGCCCTCGGAGAAGCTGCGGACCTCGGCGGCCACGGCCTCCACCCGTTCCTGCAGGGCGCGGTTGGTCCCTTTGATCTGTGCCAGCGCCTTCTCCAGGGCCTCCACGTGGGGCTGGGTGCCTTTGAGGAGCTCCCGCACGGAGTCCCCGTGCTTGTGGACAACGTTGCTGGTGAGGTCGCAGGGGTGCTCCCGGTGCCCCCCCACCATGCACTCCCGGCACACGGGCTGGTCGCAGAGCTCACAGAACAGCCTCAGCTCCTCCGCAGGGTGAGCGGGACACAGAATGGGTTTCCCAATCTGGCTGTAGCCTTTCAAGTCTTTCAGGTCCACCATGGTGTGGTAAGTCGTCTTCTTCTGCCGCCTAGGGGCAAACAGAATCGGGGACGGGAAATGAGGGGACAACTCTACTTGGGAAACAGTCCGGCAGTTTTAAGAGCACGGGCTCTGAAGTCCAGCAAATCTGGGTTCGATTCCTCATTCTAACCTCTTACTAACCACATGACCCTCTAGGATTCCAGTTCCTCTTCCGTACCGCGGGGAGAATACCTACCTGAAAGGGCTGTTGTATAGGATTAAATGACAGTAGGCTAGGGCTCTCTGACTGGGCACCTGACTTTGCCAGAGGTTGCAATGCTAAGGCTACATCCTGGAACTTTCCCCGAAGAATTAATTTGTCAAGTTTAGGCAAGACCCTCAGCCTACTCCTGCAGCAAGCTAGAGGGGAGAGCACAGTGGAGACCCAGCAGCAAGAGACCAGACCTGTGCCAGATGGCACAAAATGAGCCTCAGGCAATTAAAAAGCAGCCGGCTGGCCACGACAGTCTCCCTCAGCTTCCACCTAACACTCCGGTAAAGCATTTCCTTTGACTAGCGCCTACATCACCCAAAGCAGCAAGCTAGAATTTTCCTCAACAAGAGTCATCAACATTATTAGAGAGAGTGGTCAGTGGTCAGTAAAATCAAACCTCTAATTCCCCTTTTCTGTAGCCCTCTAGAGATTCAGGGAAATCCCTAGAAACCATGGCTACTGTTCAGATTTTCCCCGTTAGCATTATAGCAACATCAAGGTTACATGCCTGTGCCGGCACCAGAAGAGTGGTTGTAGACAAAATAGGGCCAGCTGTTTAGCTGGCAGCAAAGTAGTCCAAATACAAGTTAAAAATAGAAAGACCGAAGACTATTAACTTGTTCTGTTGGTGAGGCCAGAAAATACATGGAAGGCAGAACTTAAAAACCACAGTAGGCTAATCCTAAAACCTTGGCCATCTTACACTGTGATGTTCTGGAATGGGGGAAGGGGGTCTGAAGGGGACAAAGTGATTTATGTGACAAACTGTTCACCACACACCCTTAAAGACATAATCTGCACCCCAATACGCACCTACCAGCCCACCTCACCAAGTTCCAGAGTAACACTAGGGTACAAGGCAAAGGCTGAGGTTGTGCCCACTAATCAGCACCTTATACTGGGAAGGCAGCAGAGATTAGTAGCAAGAGCATAGAAGGCAGTCAGAAGATCTGGATTTTAAATTCAGTTCTGTTAGACACTGCTTACCAGCTATGGGACCTTGGCAAATCACATGCTACTGAGCTTCAGTTTCCTCAAATAATAAATAGGGATGAAAACATTGCCTGCTTTTCTATGAGTTGCAAGGATCCAATGAGATGGAGGGCAGGGGCTTTGTCATTATACTCATTCACTTTCTCTAGCACCCAGTACAATTATTCACTATACAAATGATTGATGATCCAAGGAAAGTGTAAATGTGCTTTGTAAACTGAAAAGGACTCTGCAAACCTTCGATGCTATAATTATCATGGGTATTATATAAAGGCTGCAGGAGTTAACTACTGTTCTGGAATATCTGTAATCACACTGTATATTGCTCTCTGACCTTCCATGGAATTCAAGCTTTCCTTGCCATCTGCTCACCAAGGTTATTTCTCTGTCTTGACACCTCTTTGTACTCCGTTCTTAAGCCACACCAGGTGGGGTATCCCATCTTTACCTATGAGCCTGGCAGCAGAAGTGGCAGAGATTGGCTTTGCAGGTCTGACACCTCTTCTCCACTTCCCTGTCGCTGCACAGGTCACACACCAGGCCCTGGCCTTCCCCACGCAGACTCTCCAGCATCACATCATTCATGGCCAGGTGGTCTATGGTTAAAGCCTTCACTCCACCCATGGGCAGGTCCACCTGAGCATCACATACCGGACAGAGGATGCCAATTTGCGGCTGCAGAGTGCGTGGCTTGAGTTCCTGGAATACTGACCCCTCAGAGCTTGTGTCAGAGTCTCCCCCTCGGATGTCCACTACTGAGAAGGGTTCCAGCTGCTCCAGACAGGTGGTGCAAACTGTGTGCAAACAAGGCAAGAGCCTGGGGGCTTTGAAAAGCCCCATGCACAAAGGGCAGCGAGTCTTGCCTGAGTTTCCAGGTGTGGTCCCACTGGGGAGTTCGCTCACGAAGCCCAGCAGCGGCTTCCTTTTTTCTGCCATATTCCCTACGTTTGTGCTCAGTATCAGAAAAGGCCCTGGGAAGTTCTATAATGAAGTAGTATGTGATTAGGCCCACCCAAAGAGAAAGTTTCCAAAACTTGAACAGAGACCACGGGGACTCTCCCTTTGGCAAATCAAAGGGCAAAAAGGAAGAAAAGGATTCCTCAAAGGAACCACCCACAGATCTCAGCAAGGCCCCCTCCTTTGCAAGGCATCCCATACCAGACACGCCCACGCCCTCCTCTGTCTCCCCAAGTCCTCCTCCCCGGAAGCGCTTACAGATTTAGGTCTCCAGCTAGGCCTTCTGTCGACTCCTGAACCCCTGCACCTCCATCACCCTCCACTACCAGCCCCCTCCCACCGCCCGCCCCACTGGTCCCGCGCCCGCCCCACGACAAGTGCCACGCCCGCCCCCGCGTGATGAGGTAGGGGCGCCTCCCACTCCTTCCCTCGACTGGGCCCTCTGCGGAAGGCACGCGGCGGACGAGGGACCTACGAGACCCCACCGGCTCCTCGGTTGCCACCGCCTCCCCACCCTTAGGTCCAAGTTGCCCGACGACCCTGGCCCCTCCTCGCACCAATCCCAGCCCGGGGCTACTCAGGCGAGCCCAATCACCGTCCGAGAGGGGCGGCCCTTGCCGCTGCAGGCCCCGCCACCCTCCAGAGTAACACCATCTGCATCCAATAAGCTTTGGAAATTGCACATCTTCGCCTGTCCTCTCCGGGGAGGGGCGGGATCAAACTAAGGGCGGGAGGCGGGGCGGCCTGAGGGCTTAGGGCTCGGAGGAGAAAAAGAGTAAAGCTGGGAGTGAGCGGCATAGTATAGCCAGTGTCACCATTTCACGGCGACTGTCTCCCTCTCTACGGCTGTGGCGACCAGAGAGGCTAGAGTACCACTTAAAAAGCCGCGCTGATGTGCCACGGGTACGGCCTCCTTTGCGCCCTTGGATTGGTCCCACCAACCCAGCCTGCGCCCTCTCATTGGTGGGTGGTGCTGTCAGGTGGTCCCGAGCTCTGCCCTAGGGCTTGCTGGGAGTTGAAGCAGGAGGAGATTTCCTGGTTCCCGAGGCCTCGGGCCCAGCGACTGGCGTTTTTTCCTCGGCGCGGCTGAGAGCCTGCGAGTTCCCCTCTGGGCCTCCCAGCTTCTTTTAGTTAAGGAGTCCTCGAGGCCTAGCGTGCTGGTTACCAGAGCTTCTAGAAGCGGCTTGCCGGCTCCTGGCATTTTCCGGGCCAGACTGGTTCTGAGGACGCGTCAGGGAGACCCGTTGGACCCAGGTCTAGCGTTGCCTTCGTTCGGCCAGCGCCCGGGAGCTCGACTCCAGATTCCCTGGGGCTGGAGAAGCCGTTGTTTCGTCCGTCGGGGCCAGAGGTGCAGATGACTAAGGGGTTGTTTTTCGTCCAGAATTCTACAGTTTGTGTAAGAGAAGCAGGGCAAGTTTGTCCGCTGTTTTTTTTTTTTTTTTTTTTTTTGCGGTACGCGGGCCTATCACTGTCGTGGCCTCTCCCGTTGCGGAGCACAGGCTCCGGACGCGCAGGCTCAGCGGCCATGGCTCACGGGCCCAGCCGCTCCGCGGCATGTGGGATCCTCCCGGACCGGGGCACGAACCCGTGTCCCCTGCATTGGCAGGCGGACTCTCAACCACTACGCCACCAGGGAAGCCCTGTCCGCTGTTTTTATCAATCAGGGGCGGCCCGTGACCGGTCCCAGTGGGATAGTGGAAGATGTCAAAGAGGGATAAGGCCTTTGTGGGCTCACAAACTAATGGGAAGATGAACACACCAGGCACTGTTTCCTTCACAGTTTCTTTGTCTTCTTATAGTGTCCTTACGAGGAGTCTCCTGATTTGGCCTTATGGGGGATTTGCTACTCCTGGGATCTAGGACCTGTATCTCTAGAATTACAGAAACGGTAACACTCTGGCTCCTTACCCTCCACTTGTTCTCCTTATCTTAAGCCCGTGTAGGATGTCTGATTATCTGTCTCACTGCTTGCTTTGTTAATGGCTTTCCCTACTTGATTTGGACCCAATGGGCAACTGTCTCATTGATGTCTTCATTATCCATTTCGTGCTGTAGACACAGAGCCTGCAGCCTAAGCTTTAAGAAATATGGAATCTGAAACAAACGAACAAAAACTTGACTCTGAAATATGAAAAGAAACTGTAAAATAAAAAGTGAAATGTTTGGCCATATCCAAAATATAACATGTCAGTGAGTCAAATGCCACTTTTATATGTAAATTACATGTTATTTCCCAAAGTACTGCATGCCTACAAAGGTCTTAAAATAGTCCTTACCTAGATTTCTTCAGTTTCTTGTCCTTCTCCATACCTACTGGCTCAGAATCTGCTTTCTCCTCTCCAGTATGCTGGGGTGAGTCACAAAAACTGTGCAGACTTGGGTTTGCTATATATTCTTGCTCTGAACTCCATCTCAACCCTCCCTGATGCCTGGTCATGCTTTGCTTCATCTCTTATTTATGCTCTATCATATTTCCCATGGTAGATGTTCCAAGCTTCTCTTGTTTAAGAAGTGCTTTATAATTTACATGTTTATTATCTTACTTAATCTTTTAACAACTCTCTGAGAAAAGTCTCAAGTTTGGTGGCCAGCCCACGGTAACACATCTCAGACTTGAACTCTGTCTCATGACGCCACGTTTAAGATTCTAGCCCAACCACCTCTCTTACCCTTTCCTTTCCCAGCTTCTTAAGCATTGAATCCTTTATATACTCAGCAGGTAACTGCCTTTAATTGAGTAAGAAAAGCAACTCCCTCACTTTTTTTTAACATCTTTATTGGGGTATAATTGCTTTACAATGGTGTGTTAGTTTCTGCTTTATAACAAAGTGAATCAGTTGTACATATACATATGTTCCCATATCTCTTCCCTCTTGCATCTCCCTCCCACCCTCCCTATCCCACCCCTCCAGGCGGTCACAAAGCACCGAGCTGATCTCCCTGTGCTATGTGGCTGCTTCCCACCAGCTATCTACCTTACGTTTGGTAGTGTATATATGTCCATGCCTCTCTCTCGCTTTGTCACAGCTCACCCTTCCCCCTCCCCATATCCTCAAGTCCATCCTCCAGTAGGTCTGTGTCTTTATTCCTATCTTACCCCTAGGTTCTTCATGACATTTTTTTTCCTTAAATTCCATGTATATGTGTTAGCATACGGTATTTGTCTTTCTCTTTCTGACTTACTTCACTCTGTATGACAGACTCTAGATCTATCCACCTCATTACAAATAGCTCAATTTCGTTTCTTTTTATGGCTGAGTAATATTCCATTTCCCTCACTTTTTACTAAAAAAATCTGTGATTCATCACACCTCCTTTTAGACCTCTCCTGACTGCTTTTCTTCTCTTCCAAGTTTAACCCCACAGGACTTTTGCTCTTGATTCCAACCTTTCCTGCCTTCTCAAAACCTTGCTATTCCTACATTTTCAGTCAGTCCTTTACTAGCGTGTTCTTCTACCAAATCCTCCCTTGACTAGGCTGCCTGTCAACTTACTGACCTTTGTGACTCTCACCACTACATTTCAGAAGAGTAATCTCACTTTCTGCTTTCATCATGGTCTTCTCATTATCACCATCGCCACCCATTTTTTTCCTCCCCCAAATAAACTAACTCCTCTTTCCTGTTGAGACTTCTCTTGTGGATCACAAGTGACCATGTCACTGGCCTTTTCTCACTACAGTCTCTTTAGTATTCACCATTGTTATGTACTTCTTCATCCTTAAAACTTGCTTTCCCCCTTGCCTTCTGAAATACTCTCCTGGCCTTCTTGTCTCCTGGACTGCTTCTCACGTTCTCCTTCCTCACTAGTTCCCCTTCCTCCACTTTACCTTTTCTTCTTATACAGATGATCCTCAGATTCACACTTTTCAGTACTGACCTCTCTCCTGAGCTTTGGTCACAGCCATCTGTTATAAACCTGTGCTCAAATGTGGCCCCATCACCTTAAGCCCTGCATAGCTTAAACTTCATTGAGCTTCTTTATTCACCAAACTGTGCTCTTTGAATTTTCCTATTTTATTCTCTCAAGGATATCATCCTTCTCCCTTCCCTCCAGCTTGAAACCTTATAGTGCTCTTGGCCTCCTTTCTCTTTTTCCATATCCAGGCAGATACCTTTTCCATCCCCACTGCCAATACCTTACTGTGTAGAATTTTCTGATGATAAGGACATTATCACCCTTACTTCAAGTATTAGACTAGTCTCTGAATTATTCCTACCCTCCATTTTTACTCAGTTGAATTTATACAGTTTTTCCAAATTAATTGTAAAAATATGATATAAATCAGTCTTCATTCTAAAAGCTTCAGTAGCTCCCAATCCCCATAGGATAAAATCTGGATTCCTGAATAGATCCATAACACTTGCCTTTTCGTTTACCTAAACATTGCCAAGAACACTTCTTGGCCTTATCCAATTTTGTCTTCAGAATTCTTCCACCTTTATTATTTAAACACACCTTCTCTTTTTCTTTTTTTTAAATTAATTTTTATTGGAGTATAGTTGCTTTACAGTGTTGTGTTAGTTTCTACTGTACAGCAAAGTGAATCAGCTATACTTATACGTATGTCCCCTCTTTTTCGGCTTTCCCATTTAGGTCACCACAGAGCATCGAGTAGAGTTCCGTGTGCTATACAGTAGGTTCTCATTAGTTATCTATTTTATACATAGTATCATTAGTGTATGTCAATCCCAATCTCTCAATTCCTCCCACTTCTTTTTTTTAATTGACTTTTTCTTTTTTTTTTTATTGAAGTATAGTTGTTTTACAACGTTGTGTTAACTTCTGCTGTAGAGCAAAGTGATTCAGTTATACATGTATATACATTCTTTTCCATTATGGTTTATCACAGGATATTGAATATAGTTCCCTGTGTTATACAGTAGGACCTTGTTGTTTATCCATTCTATATATAATAGCTTACATCTGCTAACCTCAGCCTCCCACTCCATCCCTCCCCATCCCTCCCCAACCTATCCTCCCCCTTGGCAACCACAAGTCTGTTCTTTATGTCTGTGAGTCTGTTTGTGTTTCGTAGATAGGTTTCATTTGTGTCATATTTTAGATTACACATATAAGTGATATCATATGGTATTTGTCTTTCTCTCTCTGACTTACTTCACTTAGTATGATAATCTCTAGTTCCATCCATGTTGCTGCAAATGGCATTATTTCCTTCTTTTTTATGGCTGAGTAGTATTCCATTGTATTATATATATGTACTGCATCTTCTTTATCCATTCATCTGTCAGTGGACATTTAGGTTGTTTCCATGCTTGGTTATTGTGAATAGTACAGCTGTGAACATAGGGGTGCGTGTATCTTTTTGCATTATAGTTTTGTCTGGATATATGCCCAGGAGTTGGATTACTGGATCATATGGTAATTCTATTTTTAGTTTTTTGAGGAACCTCCATTCTGTTTTTCTATAATGGCTGCACCAACTTACATTTCCACCAACAGTATAAGAGCGTTCTCTTTTCTCCACACCCTCTTCAATATTTGTTATTTGTAGACTTTTTAACAGTGGCCATTCTGACCAGTGTGAGGTGGTACCTCATTGTAGTTTTGATTTGCATTTCTCTAATAATTAGCAGTGTTGAATATCTTTTCATGTGCCTATTGGCCATTTGTATTTCTTCTTTGGAGAAATGTTTATTTAGGTCTTCTGCCCATCTTTTGTTTGGGTTGTTTGGTTTTTTTTGTTGTTGAGTTGTATGAGCTGTTTGTATACTTCAGAAATTACAGAGATTTGGAAATCTCTTGTCTGTTGCATCATTTGCAAATATTTTCTCCCATTCCGTAGGTTGTCTTTTCATTTTGTTGATGGTTTCCTTTGCTGTGCAGAAGCTTATAAGTTTGACTAGGTCTCATTTGTTTATTTTTGTTTTTATTTCTATTGTCTTGGGAGACTGACCTAAGAAAACGTTGGTATGATTTTTGCCTATGATCTCTTCTAGGAGTTTTAAGGTTTCATATCTTATTTTTAAGTCTTTAAGCCATTTTGAGTTTATTTTTGTATATGGTGTGAGTATGTTCTAACTTCATTGATTTTCATGCGGCTGTCCAACTTTCCCAACACCACTTGCTGAAGAGACTTTTTTCCATTGTGTATTCTTACCTCCTTTGTTGAAGATTAATTGACTGTAGTTGTGTGGGTTTATTTCTGAGCTCTCTATTCTGTTCCATTGATCCATATGTCTGTTTTTGTGCCAGTACCATGCTGTTTTGATTATTGTAGCTTTGTAGTATGGCCTGAAGTCTGGGAGGGTTATGCCTCCAGCTTTGTTCTTTTTCCTTAGGATTGCTTTGGCAATTCTGGGTCTTTTGTGGTTCCACATAAATTTTAGGATTATTCTAGTTCTGTGAAAAATGTCCTGGGTAATTTGATAGGGATTGCATTAAATCTGTAGACTGCTTTGGCTAGTATGGCCGTTTTAACAATATTAATTCTTCCCATCCAAGAGCATGGGATATCTTTCCATTTCTTTGAATCATCTTTCAGTTTCCTGTATTAGTATTTTATGGTTCTCAGCATATAAGTCTTTCACTTCCTTGGTCAGGTTTATTCCTAAGTATTTAAATTTTTTTTTTGGTGCCATTTTAAAAGGTATTGTTTTTCTACATTCCCTTTCTGATATTTCATTGTTAGTGTAAAGAAATGCAACCAATTTCTGAAACATACCCTTCCTTCTATGTTATGCTGCTTCACACTACTTCTGTGAAACTTTCCCTGTTATTTCAGAGCTCCAGATTTGACTCCAATAGCTCTTCTGCCTATACTTTTCACTGCTACATTCTGGTATTAAGTGTTTTTATTTATTATGCATGTATTGATATATGTATATATGTATAATATATATACACATACACACATACATTCTTTGTTTATTAAGATGAAAAACCCTTGGCAACCAATCCTTTGCCTACACAGTAGACATCTAATAGACTTATTAGTGATGAGGCAAATAAATGATCTCAAAGTAGAACAGGGCTTCCCTCGTGGTGCAGTGGTTGAGAATCTGCCTGCCAATGCAGGGGACACGGGTTCGAGCCCTGGTCTGGGAAGATCCCACATGCCGCGGAGCAGCTGGGCCCGTGAGCCGCAATTACTGAGCCTGCGCGTCTGGAGCCTGTGCTCCACAGAGAACAAGAGAGGCAGCGATAGTGAGAGGCCTGCGCACGGCGATGAAGAATGGCTCCCACTTGCCACGACTAGAGAAAGCCCTCGCACAGAAACGAAGACCCAACACAGCCGTAAATAAATTAATTAAAAAAAAAAAAAAAGTAGAACAAATGGGATGACCTGCAACCAAGAGTTCTGTGGATAATGCAGACCATAAGTGATATGGGGTGAGATTAAGGGAGAGGATTATTTAAGGATTCTACTTTCCCAGCATTAGTTAGTGTTTTGTTCCATGCTCACATACTGCTTCATCTTTCTGGGGACCTCAGGCAGAAAATAGTTACAGGGAAGTGCAGAGTCATGGGATCAGAGGAACAGGACTGATGTAAATGACCAGGTCCATCAAGGTGTCTAAGGAGTTTCAGCCCACTCCTATAGCCCAAGAAAGACAAGAAGACTAGGAAGGGAAGATGACCCATCAGGAAACTAGACAGTATGCCTGATCATCACCACCAGCCATGGAGTGAATGTATAGAAAGTGAACCAGAGAGCCATGTCAGACTTATCTTTCAACATTATAGCTGTTTCTGTCAACTCACCATCCTTCCTCCTTCCTTATTTCAGAGCAAGGACAGTCATTTCTCCTAAGATCTGTGTTCTGAAGCCCAGTCTCATCTGCCTCCTCCTCCTCCTCTCTCTTCATACTTTCTTTTTTTAATTAAATTTAATTTTCTAGCTTCATTGAGGTATATTTGACATATAATATTGTATAAGTTTGTATCAAACTTATTCATTCAAACTTACCAAATCAAACTTGTTGATCTGATACATTTATGTATTACAGAATGATTACCAACATAGCCAACACCTGCATCATACCCCATAATTACCATTTCCTTTTTGTGGTGAGAACATTTGAGATCCACTCTCTTAGCAACTTTCAAGTATACAACACACTATTGTTAACTGTAATCACCATGCTGTACATTAGATCCCCAGAACTTATTCCTCTTATAACTGGAAGTTTGTACATTTGATCACCATCTCCTATTTTCCCCTGCCACCTACCCCTAGTAACTACCATTCTAGTCTGTTTCTATGAGTTTGGCTTTTTCAGATTCCACATGTAATTGATATCATACTTTCTGGTGGATTTTCTTTCAGCTCATACCCATGCTTCACTCTCTTCTTCTACCCTACAACCTGTCTTGAGCTCCTGATTTTGCTCTGCCTCTTAAAAAGAATAGTCTACACTTGTTTCTCTAATTCTCCTCACATTTTACTCCTAAACAGAGTACAGTCTGGCTTTTCCTCTCACCATTGCCTGAAATTGATGTTGCCAAAGTCTCTGATAACTTCCCACTTGCTGTATCTAGTGGATACTTTTCAGTTATTATCTATAGAATTTGCTATAGCTTTTGACATTGACAATTTCTTCTTGAAACTTTCCCCTGTTCGGTTGCTATAACACTCTTCTTGATCTTCTCTCCTCTTCCTGCCCCTCTAATCACTCATTTTCTTTCTCCCTGCGGTGTACTTCTTCCTCAATGTGGCTTTTAAACGTTGTTATTTCCCAGGGCCCTTTAGCCCCCCTCCACCCTTTAAAAAACAAACAAAAAAAACGTTTCATCCTCCCTTGGTTGTTGTGGGATTGGAGGTGAAAGCACCAGCCCACAGCAGGGAGCAGCTCCCTCCCTGCTCTTCCTGCTTTACTTCAAATTCTTATCATACTTTGTTTGGATTACGAATGTGTCCCTATTTCCAATCCATTCTCTATAATCCTGTTAGAGATCTTTCTGAAACTACGTTTTGATCATGATCTTCAGTGGCTATTCAGTACCTTCATTTGTTCATCAAATATCATTTAAGCACCTGGAATATGTTTTCCCCAAATGCCTTCGTGGCTTGCTCTCCACTAGAATAATCAATTCTGTGAAGGGAGGGACTTTGGACTCTGTGCCAGGATTTATCATTGTGTAGAACAAGCAAAAATCCCTGCTGTCATGCAGATTATCTTCTAGTAGGGGCTTGACTCTACCTCTGCCAGCCCAGCCAAGTTCATTTCTTGCACTGCCCCACCCTGACCTCAGTATGCACCCTGAGCTTCTGCCTCTTTCATGATTGTACAAGCTACTTGCTCTGCTTAGGACACCCTGCTCATTCTCCTTGCCTAGTTAATTCCTACCCATTGGTCAAAGCTCACTTTTCAGACGTCAGCTTCTCTAGGAATCCTTCATTGATCAAGTCTTTATTACGTGCTGCTCTGTGTGCTACCCTTGGTACTCTGTGATGACCTCTAGTAAGTTTTTAACATTCTGCATTTAAATTTTATACTTGCTTGTCTGTTTCTGCCCTCACTACACCCCACCCCTCCCACACTAAGAACAAGGAACAGTGTTTTATTTCTGCATTCCCAACATTGGGCACATGTCTCAAACATAGTATGGTTTAATAAATGTTCCATACGTGAATAAATGGCCTAGATTCATGTTTAATTTCTAAGAAACTGATCATAATGATAGGATAGATGACTGGAGAAATTTATTGTTTATTTCAGTAGGTCATTTTTGCCTTCTGATTTTTTTTTTTCCAAGAGCCTGAGTCTTTAGTGCCATCTAGTGGAAGTAGCTGCAATAAAAAGCTATGCTACTGGTAAAGCTTGGACAGTGCATGCTGTTCTATCTTGTTTATTTTGAACAGAGCCATAGAAGGTAGAACTTGGTCTCATTGCATTATTGGCGCTTTGATTTACATCTAGAAATTCACTGTACCCTGAGATGATTCTAATTGTGAGATCTAGCAAGTATAAATACTCCCTTATAATGGATATTTTCTGATAAATGGGAAACTCCTCAACTTTGAGGTGTACGATGCAATGGCTAGAATGATCTGAGCTTTGAGGCTCTCCTTGTGTAACTGCTTTTAGGTCAGACTGGAAGTAAACAAGAACTAAGTTCCATTATTACTTAACTACCTACCTTTTCAGAAAAAAAATTTTTTGCTGTCTTATCCAAGATCTTCTGGCTCTTCTCACTTGACTCCTAATCATCTGACCAAATTCTCTGCCATGACCCCAGACATTCTATAGTTGTTGTAGTCAGGAAGCTGCACCCAATCTTAATTGGTTTGGCATAAATATTAACTATTCTTAGACTATTTATACATTATTGCACACTCTATTCATATCTTTGTGTAAAGTCCTTTGCTATATTATGTACTAAAATTCACTAACCTTTTAAAACGCATCTGTTACATTATATTAAATTAATGTGGATAAATACTTTGTGATCATGTCTCATAAATTTATCTTCTATATAAAATATACATGATTAAATTAAATCAGTAATAATATAAAGAAAATGGCATATTTGGAGATTGGTGATGATTCTCGTGATTCAAATTAGAGCAGCAGTTGTGGAGTGCTCATTCTGTTATATTAGAGAATGGATCATAAAAGTCATGCTTTGCACTCTTTATAATGTTGCATTATAATTTAACATATGCTATTTTTTTTCCTTTTAGGATTCTTTTGTGATTTATATTTAATGAGCGTGTCAACTTCAAGATTAATCATGAAAATTTTGATTTGGAAGAGACCCTTTGTTTGGAATATGTTTGCCCTAGATATCTTCATGGCTTATTCTTTACCAAAATGGTAAGTCTTTGAGGGCAAGGACTATTGTCTATTAAATTCTATGTCTATCCACAGTATCTAGATGCATGCCTGTCCCATAGTTGGAGCCCAATAATTATTTATTGAATGGATGTATGAGAAGATTGAGGCATGGCTAGGTAAAGACATTGGCTTAAGGTCACTTAAGACGTTAGTGGTAGAACTGGGCAAGAATCCATGTTTTCTGACTCCTGTTCTGTTGAGTGATTCAATACAACACCTCGTCTCTAATCGGTGCTGCTTTTAAACCAGGCCCCTGGGTCCCCTGCCCTGGGTCCTTTGCTTTGAAAGGACCCACTGTGGCCCTTCTCCAGTTACATCCCTTCCCAGGGGCCAAGATATTCTAAGAGTACGTCTCCCCACTACTCTCCACTCCGCCCCACCGCCCATTGACACACACACATTCCAGAAGATACTCTAGCTACCAGGGATTCTTGAAATTCCCTGACAGATAGCTGGAAGCCCACTTCCAGGGCCTGTGCTGGCTCTTCTTCGGTTATAGACAGGATAAGTGTGCCCACACCTAGGCCTCAGGAGTGGTAAAGGCCAGCTGTTGTGGGTGGTGGAGCTTGATCAAGTTTGTTGGGATAGCCACACAAATGTGTGTGAGGCCCCTCTGTTGGGTGGAAGGAGAAGAACAGGTCATGGGCTGTTTGCGTCTGTTTCTCCTCTTGCTCATGGTCCCTCAAATGTTAGGGGCAGGCCTACCTCCATAATAAATCTGGTTCTCCCCACATATTAAATGTCATTTAAACCAGCGCTAAGTGAATACCTGTATTGTGCCAGACGCTGCACTAGGCATTTTCAAATGTATTTTCTCATTTATGTGTTACCCTTAGGAAGACTCAGAAGTGACTTGCCTAAGGACCCACAGCTGACTAGGTGCAGAGCTAAATGCATAGCAGTATCTTCAGGAAGAGTTCAATGCTCTATACTTAACAAGACACACACACGCATGTGTATATAATGTGATTATATATATAATTATATATTTTACATATATATTATATAAAAATGTATATGTATCATATATATGCACGTGTATGTACTTGTCTGGGGGTGTATGTGTGTTACATACATATATGCATTGTATGTATATAGACTTTTTTTCATTGATAAAATAATGTTTGATAAAAACAGGTGAACAATTAAGAAAGCGTAAGTAAATAGTAAATCTCCCATGCCATGCCTTGAGTCAGAGACGACCAATTAACTTTTCTGTTGTTGCTGTTGTTAAAGATACTCATATATTTTAAAACTTACCACCAACAATTTTTGAACTTTTTTTATCTGGGCAACTTTAGATATAAGCTGTGTACAAGTGGAGAGAAAAGTATAACACAGCCCCAAGTAACCATCATTCAGCTTCATCAGTTAATGGCATTCTGTCATTCTTACATATTTCTCCAACTTTTATTATCATTTTTCTTTGTTGGAGTATTTTAAATCAAATCCCAGGTAATCATGTCATTTTATTAAATTAAGATACTTATTTGAAAAGATTTAGATATAAAGATGGAAAAATTTTGACTTTTCATGTAGACTTTTTAGTTTTAAAAATGCCATATACAGTTAAATACCAATTTTATATATTTTTAAATTTCTTCCTTTATTTCAAAGAGGACTCAGATGGGAGTTAAACATTTAATAATGATTTTTGTAAGTATAAATAAAGCTTACGTGATATGTGCATTCTGCTTTATGTCATGCTCTTTTTTCTTTGCAGGATTCTGTGGGACTGCCCTTTTATTTTGTTATAATTGGTCCACTTTCTGGTTTTTTCCTTTCCCTTCATTTGGAAGAGCTGTTAGAAATGGTAAGCAAATAAATGCTTTTTTTTCCTCATTTCTGTGAGTGATAGAACTTGAAAATGATGAATATGAAAAGGCAGACTGATTTAACATAGTGCCTTTTCTAATTCAAATGACAGCTAACTTTTCTGAGCTAAAGTGCACCGCATCTTGGCAATAGCATGTAGAGCATGAGTAGATTATAATGTTTCATGGCATACAGAGAGGTCTGTACATTAGTTCCAGGAATGTTGCTAGGAAATATAAATAAATAATGTTTCTAGTTGCAAGGAAATATAAATAATCCCCACTGAGGCAAAGCCTAGTTTAAATGACAAAAACTACTTTTTTTTTAAGTACCTATTTTCTAGGTAGCATTTAAATCTGCTGTGCATTTTAATAAATTCTACATTTTCTTGCACAGTGTACAGGACTTGAAAGTTTTTCTCCCATTATTAATGAGGAGTACACCTAATATTAATGAGGTATTTTCAGGAAACTCTGGTGTGGTAAATTCCTTCTATTCTTCAGTGTTCCGTGCCTCTCTTTTAGACAGAGTCCCATAAGAGAAAGTCTTTGGAGTGATACTGTCTGGAGGGCTGGACTGGGGAGGGGACTCTCTGGCAAGATGCTCCTGAATATCTATGTGAGAGGAGCTGAGAGCCAGCAATCTGGGTGGAAAGAAGATTCAAAGGGTTGTTTGGAAGCTGCAGTTGCAGAGCAGAACACTTTTTCTTTATATATGTATCCAGTGTGGCTTGGTGCTGCCACTGCTTTAGACTTAACGCTATCCAGTATGGGAGCCACTCACTATAAGTGGCTTTTGAGCACTTGAAATGTTGTTAGTATGAATTAGAAATGGTGTATGTGTAAAATACGTGCTGGTTTTCAAAGATTTATTATGCAAAAAATGTAAAATATCTCATTTAATATTTTATCTTGATTGCACATTAAAATGTTATATAATATATATTTTAAATATAGACTATTTTTTAGAGTAGTTTTAGATTCACAGAAAAATTGAGCAAAAAATGTGGAGAGTTCTGTATGTCCCCCCCACCGCCAGCCTCCCTCACCATCAACACTGTGCACTAGGGAGTTACACTTGTTATAACTGATTAGTTATAATCGATACAAATTATCACCCAAAGTCCATATTTACATTAGGGTTTACTCTTGGTGTTGTACATTCTATAGGTTTTGACAAATGTATAATGCCATGTATCCCCTATTATAGTATCGTACAGAATAGTTTCACTGTGCTTCACTTGTTTATCTCTTCTCCCCAAACCACTGACAACTTTTGTCTATAGTCTTGCCCTTTCCAGAAAGTCATACAGTGAATAGCCTTTTCAGATTGGCTTCTTTCACTTAATAATATTCATTTAAGATTCTTCCATGTCTTCATGGCTTGATAGCTCGTTTCTTTTTAGCACCGAATACCATTCCAGTGTATGAAATGTACTATAGTTCATTTATCTAAAAGTGATAATATTTTAATTAAAATCCATTAAATAAAATCTTTTATTAAATTTATTTTCACTTGTTTCTTTTTCACTTTTTAAATCTGCCTTCTAAAATAAAATTACATAGACTGCTCACATTAAATTTCTACTGGACAGCACTGCTCTAGACTGTGGTAAAACAGTGTTACTGGTAGAGTTTTTCTTCAATACAACATTCTCATTCAAACACCTAAGTTTCTCTGCCTCCTACGAAGAGCATTCTCCTTCTCCAGCACTTGCCTTGATTAGGTCCTTCTGTTGCCCCCAAACTACTTGGGATTGCAATGCTCCTCCCCTAACCCCTCCCAACAGGGACTTATGTTATTTAATTCATTTTGTCAGGACCAGATGATAATTGACTTATTAGGTCTTTTACCACCATACTAGGTTCTCTGGAGCATATAAATACGGGGTCTATGGCCAAGTGGCTTACAATAAAAAAACATTTTCTTAGAAGAACTGAAATAAAACATTAGGAGTTAACAACTTTTTTGTTAGAAATCTTAGGGTTTATCTTACTGTAATTTATATAAGTGATTCATATGATAATATTGTTTCTAAAAACTAATTGAAATAGGAGTTTATAATCTGATTTATTCCTCTTTTGTGTTCTCAGTGGTTGTGACATTGCCTGTAAGTGGGCTGTTTTTTCATTCTTGGGGTATAAAAAAACTTACTCTTTAATGTATAAAGAGAGAGAGAGAAAGAGGGACCAGATATATAGTATATCTGTGTATTAAAATTTCCTGAGGGAGGCAATTAGAAAATAAATGTCTGAAAATGTTCCTTAGGGGGTTGGTCACAAAAAACAGTTTGAGACACACTGGTTTACTGGACTAGGTATTCCTAGAGTATGCATAACAGAATGTTTTTATAACCAATTAATCTCCAAAGTTTCCAAAGAGTGGAGAGGAGGAAAAAATAGAGGAAAGATAACTGAAAGATGTACATTTATAGGTTGGGGGAAAAGGAGCATCTCAAGAATGTTAGAATTCTCTACCACTAATTGATTATTAACATTTTGCCAAATTAATTAGTTCATTCATTCATTCTCTCTTCCCCTACCCCAACCCATATTATCTAGGTGAACAGAATATAGACACTCATTGCACTACATTGCACTATTTTCTCAAGTGTTTTCTAGGTGTGAACATTTTTGAAATAAAAGTTGGGGTTAAATGCTATCATCTCCACATCCTATCTCTGTCACTCCTGTACCCTAATTCTACACTGGGGCCCTATTGAACCACAGTTTCTTGGTAACATGTTTTCTCTCACCTTTGGTCTTTTGCATGCATTGCTCCCTCTGCTTGGAGATATCATCTGGCCTCCCCATCTTCCTTCACACACAGCCTTTCCCTGGATAACTCCCAGAAGTCTTCTAAGGTTTAACTTCCTCCAGGAAGCCCTCCCTGACTACTCAGCACCACTCAAGCCTAGGTTAAGAGTCCTGCATTTATTCCCTTTGTTGTGATTGTCCTTATTATTGCCCTTGCCATGTATTATTATACCTGTGCATTAAACTTAATCTGTCTTCATTGCACTGTGAGTTCCTTAAAGGCAAGGATTATGACTTATTTTATTCATCTTTTTGTCCTCTGTGGTTATTATGGGGCCTCACACAATATTTATTAAATAAAGCAACAGTTAATTTTTCTATGAGATGCATACTTGTTTTATATAATTCCATTTAAAAGGAAAAAAAACAAGAAATAAAATCTTGATGTTTTATTTATCTTGTAAAGCTTTACTGCTGATAACAGTATAATTTCAGGTTAGATTTTTATAAATATTAAATGTAGCTCCCAGATCCCCATTATTACCCCTGTAAAACTCTTGGTGAAATGTCCCTGACAATCCCAGGAGAAATTGGTTTGTTATTTCTCTCAGCTTCAACAGAACTGTCTTTCTGCCTCTGTATTATAGCATTCTGGGGGTGGGGTGGGGTGGGGAGATACCAAGATAGGAAGTTTGGAGTTTGGTGAGAGACTTATGAATGATATTAAGCATTTTTCCTGACATTTGTATCATTTTTTATAGTTTACAGTACACTTACTCCTCACAAAAGCCCTGTGAAGTAGACATTATTAACTCCTTTTTAAGGATGCTGCTAATAAAAGCCAGAATGTGTTATGAAGGTAAGAGAGTCTCTTTTTTTATTTTCTTGACTTTAGGCATTTCCCCCAAATCTGGGGTCCACTAATTTTAGATCTACAGCGCCTTACCAAATTCTGCACTTCTCTTTTGTATAATATTGTGTAGGTACAACCCAAGCTGCAACTTCACTCTTCAGCAGCAGGAACTACTCTCTAATGTATGATGTACTCCAGATTGAAAATTCCTCAAGTGAAATGCTTGAGATTAAGTAAGGTCAGTTGTTTTTCTAACTTATCAAATCTTTTGGTATATAATTCTATATATTTACCCAAGATGAAGGCTATGATTGCAGCTGTGTGTGCAGTGGACAGAGGCTGGAAAGGGCATGCACAGACATAGGAATCATTATTAGGGTGGTGGATTTAGGAGTAATTTTTTCTCTATAAGTTAAAAATTGTATATAATATTTAGAGTAGGTACGTACCCAAGTTATTTTGCACATTAAGGGAAGCTAATAGCCACCCATTTTGAATCTTATTAGATTCTTAGCTAATTTAACTCACTCGTTGAGCAGCCATTTTCCCTCTGTCTTTCCATCTCCCATTAAGAAATCTCCCTCCCTCTCCTCTCAATAACATGCATAGTACTCTGCCAGAATCATTGGATCAAACCACAGCATCATGCCACATTGACCCGGAAAGACTTGTTCCTCTATTTCTTAACTCTGTCGTTCCTCTGTTGCAAATCAGGCCTAATGAATTCTTGCTTTTCTCCTCCTGAAGCAAATTACTTTGTTCAGAAGAAGTCAGTCTTAAATTCTACCATGCCTCAAAGGGGTGGTTCAAAAATCAAAAATTAAAATGAAACTGGAGGCAAGAGGATTAGTTTAGAGGCTGGGCAGTTGTTCACGTAAGAGAAGATGCTGAATTAGGCATGAACAATAAGGATGAAGAGGAGTAGATGGATTATAGAGGCATTTGGGGAGTGTAATTGACAAGAATTGATGACCAATTAATAAGGATGTGTTAGGGATCAGAGATGACTCTGAGACCTCTAGCTTGGATGACTTAAGTAGATACTGCAGCTCACAAAAATGAGTTTGTTTTGGATATGTTTAGAATGAAATAACTTCAGATGGAGGTACTCAGTCAGTAGTTGGAACATGTCTGTATCAAGAGAAGGTGATGAAAACTGGAGATAAAAATTTGAGAATTATCAGATTTTTTTGGTAACTACCAAAAATGTATGTGATCTTTCAGTTAAAATGACCCTCTTCCTTTGGTGTAAATTACATCTGCTCCATAATATATGTTTGAGACATCTTTACTATTTTCATACTGTTAATGGTAGGATTCTGGACCATCATTTGCCCAGAGAGCAATTGAGTATCTGAAGCAGAGAGGAAAGTCAAAGGGAAGGAATTGATCATTTAGTGAACTCAGAAGCTATCTGTGCTCTGGGAATAAGAGACTGTGGGTGGTCTTCAAATGACAAGAGAACTTAGAGATCCACTTTCATGGCCCTTTCTGGCAGTCTAACTCCAGAGGGGTTTTTTTTTTTTGTTTGTTTTGTTTTTGTTTTTAAATCACAGCTTGGGTCCTAATACAAACCTGAGCAGAGTCCTGTAGGCCTCTTCTTTCCACCCCTGGCAGGGAGCTGGCTCAGTGTGGCCACACCCGTGTGAAAGCTCTTAAACAAAGTTGGTCACCCTTTGTGCTGCCATTTCAACTGACCAATAGTCCAATGACATTTATACGTACTGAGGATTGCCTGACCCTCCCAACAATGGCTGATAGATAGGTAATGTGATTATTCTTTTTCCTTGACTGAGCAGGCTGTACCTCTGGAGGGCCCTGGAAGCCCTTGACAGGAGAATGACCTAGTATAAGCTTCTGAGCTTTGGAGGATACCCTTTCTAACAAAGCCATTTCCTCAGGGGTCTTCCATAGCATCATAGTTGCCTGCTCTTTCTTTTCCTACAAATATATAGAGCATTAGTGTGCAGAAGTGTCACTCTGTACTGTAATGGGAGTTGGGTGACTACTCTCTACTTGAATGCTTGGCCCTGGTGAGTCCAGTGCAGCTATGCCCAGCCTAAGCATTCTACTCTAACAACAGCTCAGAGGATTGCTCTGCTCCTTCAAATCTGCTTGGAAGTTTGTTCCCCAAATAAGCCCTCTTTTTTTCTTAATTCAAAAAATTAAAAAAAAAATTAATACAATTTTTAAAGGTTACTTTGCATTTACAGTTATTGCAAAATATTGGCTACGTTCCTTATGTACAATACATCCTTGAGCCTATCTTATACCCAGTTGTTTGTACCTCCCACTTCCCCACCCCTATATTGCCCCTCACCCCTCCCCACTGGTACCCACTAGTTTGTTCTCTATATCTGTAAGTCTGCTGCTTTTTATGATATATTCACTAGTTTGTTGTATTTTTTAGATTCCATATATAAGTGATAGTATTTGTCTTTCTCCAACTTATTTCACTTAGCATAATGTCCTCTAAGTCCATCCATGTTGCTGCAAATGGCAAAATTTTATTCTTTTTTATGACTGAGTAGCATTCTATTGTATATATATACACCACATCTTCTTTATCCAGTCATCCATTGATGGACACTTAGGTTACTTCCATATCTTGGCAATTATAAATAATGCTGCTGTGAACATTGGGGTGCATGTATCTTTTCAAATTAGTGTTTTTGTTTTTTTTGGGTACATACCCAGGAGTGGAATTGCCGGATCATATGGTAGTTCTATTTTTAGTTTTTTTCAGAAACCTCCATACTGTTTTCCACAGTGGCTGCACCAATTTACCTTCCCACCAACAGTGTATACGGGTTGCCTTTTCTCCACATCTTCTCCAACGTTTGTTATTTGTGTTCTTTTTGTTGATAGCCACTCTGACAGGTGTGAGGTGATACCACATTGTGGTTTTGACTTGCATTTCCCTGATGATTAGCGATGTTGAGCATCTTTTCATGTGCTTGTTGGTCGTCTGCATTTCCTTTTTGGAAGAATGTCTATTTAGTTCTTCTGACCATTTTTTCAATTGAAATATAGTTGATTTACAATGTTTTGTTAGTTTCTGCTGTACAGAAAAGTGATTCAGTTATACATATATATACATATTCTTTTCCCTGATGGTTTATTACAGGATATTGAATATAGTACCTTGTGCTATACAGTAAGACCTTGTTGTTTATCTATTCTATATATAGCAGTTCGTATCTGCTAATCCCAAACTCCTAATTTATCCCTCTCCCCCCATCTCCCTTTCCCCTTTGGTAACCATAAGTTTGTTTTCTATGTCTGTGAGTCTGCTATTGTTTCGTAAATAAGTTCATTTGTGTCATGTTTTAGATTCCATGTATGAGTGATATCATATGGTATTTGTCTTTCTCTTTCTGACTTACTTCACTTAGTATGATAATCTCTAGGTGCATCCATGTTGCTGCAAATTCTTCTGCGCATTTTTTAATTGGGTTTGTGTTTTGATGTTGAGTCGTATGAGCTGTTTATATATGTTTAATATTAATCCCTTACTGGTCATATCATTTGCAAATATTTTCTCCCATTCAGTAGGTTGGCTTCATTTTGTTGATGGTTTCCTTTGATGTGCAAAAAGTTCCCTGGTGGCGCAGTGGTTGAGAGTCCGCCTGCCAATGCAGGGGACACAGGTTCATGCCCCGGTCCGGGAAGATCCCACATGCCGCGGAGTGGCTGGGCCCGTGGGCCACGGCAGCTGAGCCTGTGCGTCCGGAGCCTGTGCTTCTCAACAGGAGAGGCCACAACAGTGAGAGGCCCGTGTACCACAAAAAGAGAAAAAAAAGAAAAAAAAGCTTTTTAGTTTAATTAGGTTCCATTTGTTTATTTTTGCTTTTGTTTCCTTTACATTAGGAAATGGATCCAAAAAGATATTGCTATGATTTATGTCAAAGAGTGTTCTGCCTCTGTTTTCCTCTAGGAGCTTTATAATATTTGGTAGTACATTTAGGTCTTTAATCCATTTTGAGTTTATTTTTGTATGTGGTGTCAAATAAGCCCTCTTATATTTACATTCTGTAGCGCTAGAGTTAGTGTCCCTTTTGCATGACTTTGTTTTGTCTGTGTCCCTTTTGCATGACTTTGACCAACACACAGATGTTTCACTCTACAAGGACTGCGAAAAGGATTTTAGTGAGAAGGATAGAAAAAAGAAAAAAGCTGTTTTCTATCCTCAGAGCCCCAGGACAGAAAAGATTGTAGTCTACATCTAGACCAAAGACAGCCTTAGTTCTCAGCAATTTAGTTTAGTCACATGGAGCCAAACTGCCCTGTCACTCAATTCTACTTGTTTGAAGATTGGACCCACACTGGTTTTATTTTTCATCTTTTCATGCTCCGTGGTCTTTTGTGACATTTAAAATAGTAACCTGTGGTTTGCGGAGGCCATTAGCCAATTCAGTTCCCTTAACAGCATCCACCTGCTGAGCCATTGTGCTCTAGTCTTCAAGTGTCCTCTGACCTGGTTTGAAGCAGTAGCTCTTTGGACAAGGCTTTCTCTTGTGTCCCAACTGTTCAAATATTAAACATCTATTCTTGGTCAAACAGGGAGAAAAAAGCTAAGTTGGTCACATCTTTCCTATTATGGTTGCCTTGATATTCAGTTGCCCTTCCCAACCCATATTTAATACTTAATAATAGCTAATTTTATTAGTTGCTTCTTCTGTGCCAGTGTTACGGACTGAACTGTGTTCCCCCACATTCATATGTTGAAGTCCTACCCCCAGTACCTCAGAATGTGACTGTATTTGGAGATAGGGCCTTTAAAGAGGTGATTAAGGTTAAATGGAGTAATATGGGTGGACCTTAATCTGATATTACAGGTGTCCTTATAAGAAGAGGAACAGACGCCAAGGATGCATGTACACAGAGAAGAGACCATGTAAGGACACATTGAAAAGGTGGCCATCTGCAGGCCAAGAAAAGAGGCCTTAGGAGGAACCAAACCTGCTGACACTTTGATCTTGGATTTCTAGCACCTAGAACTATGAGAAAATAAATTTCTGTTGTCTGAGCCACCCACCGCCATCTCCAGGGAATAGCTGGGTGAATGTATTTGCAAGTATTCTTTTTCCTTTCCTATATATACTGGTTAAAATTGTAGGTCTCACAGGTTATCAAAAGTTCAGAAACAGATATAAGTATACATATAAGAACATGCAATATAGTAAAATATTTAAAAAGTCAGTAGGGGTAAGGATGAGTTAATTAAGAAATAGTATTGGAGAATCACTTGAAAAAACAACATTTAACTCCCTTACCTCACAGATTATACAAAAAATTAATGGATGGAATAAAGATTTAAATGTTGAAAAAGAAACATGGAAATACTAAAATATAAAGATTAATATTTTAATGTAATCCAGGGTACAGAAGCCATGTTTAAACATATGTAAACATAAGTACTAAAAGAAGAAACTTTTAAAAATGGAAAAAATTGATAGATTTGATTGCATAAAAAGTGTGGTTGGTCCTGGCAGAGTGGACAGGACCATTTGTGGTCCAGTGCTCAACATTTGTGAATTCAAGGAAGAACTTATAATAATTAAACATGTTCTTTCCAGGTATATTTGAGGCCAAACAACATGGAACATATAAACTGGTCTCAAGAGACATTTTGGATCATCTGGTAAAGACAGTTATAGCAGATTACAACCATCTTCTGAAGTCTTGGAGACAGTCCCCAAGGAACTTTTGGGAACACATGAAGGTGACGTTAGAGTGAGTTAGGAGGAGGCTTACAATTTCACTGCCAGCCCCTTTGTGAGTTAGGGAAGGGCTTTGGTGGAAATGCCTAAGTGTAATTTAGGAATCATTGCAGTCTCCTCCAGGGAGAAGGGCCATCTTCCTTACAGATGGCTTCAGATCTTCATGAGCAATGAAGCTGAAAGCTCCCAATGAGTCCTCATAGTTTAATGTATATAATAACACAATAGCCAATATTTATATAATGTTACAGATATTTATAGCACTTTTACACATGACCATACTTTTTCAGAAATAGTATGGGTTGTCATGAGAGATTTGAGTTTGAATGCTTTTTCAACCTGTTGGCTTATATGATCTTTGGTAAGTTACTTAACCTCTCAGGACCTGTTTTCCCCTCTGTAAAATGGTGATGGTACTAGGGTCAAGGTGATACCCACCTTATAAGATAAGGACTGAATGAGACAAATACCTAGTATGATGTTTGAGACCTAGGAAGCACTTGATTTCCTTTCTCTAAAGATGGTTATTTGCGTCAGTAGACCTCACATTTCCACAGTAGTTATATGTTTATGAAGGTAACATATTCAAATATGTCTCACGTTACACAGTGATTCTTAACTCCCGCAATGGGGGTGGACGTGGTGATGCCTGTATTGTTAAAGAGCACCCCCGCACCCTCAGTGAGAGTCCTTGGTCTACACTTGACACCCCAAGGATCTCTCACTAGTTGGATATTTTAACTCCTGCTTTACTTCAGTGAAGTGAGGATTATTTACCTCTGTGGGAAGACAGTACATTAAGCTAATGAAAAAGGTAGTCGAGAAATTACCTTCTCATGTGTGGCTAGATGCCAGGGAGCATTGTTTTCTTGGGGTGAGGGGGTGCCTGTGGGGAAGTTGTGATGGAAAGAATGGTGGAAAGACAGAATACTCAGGGTCTAGAGGACCGTTGATTGGGCTGTATGGGAGAAAATGGATAAAAGGGAAGGTGAGAGGAACTGAAGACAGTTGTCATTTTTCTCATAGATCCTCATTTAGCAGTCTGTGACTTGGCTTCTTCTGGGGTACCTACTGCCTCTAAATAGGAACTGCTGTCTTTATGCTATAAACTTGTCACATTTCCAGCCTCACCTACCCTAGGTATGAGACCTGGACCTACCACTTGGGTCGTATACGGTTATCTGACTCATCAAAGTCATACTAAGTACCATAAGGTCCTGGAATTTTATCTTTCAAAGCCTAATAGTTCTCCTTATAATGATACATAATGGTTACAAATAAATTTTGGGAACTACAAATAAATTTTGGGAACTGCAAATATGGAAGGCAAAGAGAGAAAGGAAATGGTTTCAGTTTGCTATGAACTGCTTACAGGCTAGATTAAGTGAGCATCACTTTTGGCTTATTGTAAAGAAGGGATATAGGTCTAAGCTATCCATAAAGTTCTTATTCGAAGTATCCTTTAGAGTTTTGGGTAAGGGACCTTATAATTGAAAATGCTAAGGATACTTCTTAGGCCAGGCAATTAGATTTGAACTGAAGAGATAAGATAATGCTGCAGGTGAAATTATGACTTTGAGAAGAGAGAGGCATATCATTATCTGGGGGAGCCTTGCCGTTCATTAGACACAGAGGCTCCTATAGTGGTAACTACAGATACCCCCCTTCTAAGTTGTGACTTAACTGCTTTGGCCCAGAAGATGCTATCAGTAAACAAAGCTTCCTGGGAATGTCTGCTTGATCCTCTTAAGAGCAAGTTTCCAAAGACTGCCTAGGCCCCCGTCCTTATTTTGTCGTCATCTTCAAACTGTCCAAGTGCTCAGCAATGAGGAGCAATAGACAAAAACAACGTGCGATTTTGTGTTAAATTATGTATAGACTAGAGAAGAGTAAAATCATAGTGCACAGGACCACTCCAAGACAGCTTCATGGGAAAGAAGAATTTATGCTCGAGAGAGATAGAATTTAAAGAAAGACAAGAGAGCATCTCTAAGGTTCTGTTTTTGTGACTGTTAATTTTTACTCATGGCTCCCATACTGAAACTCCTGGAGATGATTGATGTGAAAGAGGAAATAAGACAGTGTTAGAAGGAGCAAGGTGCTCAGGCGTGTAGTAAGACAGTCTGAATTAGAGCAGCTGGTTGGATGTATGGAGACTTTACCAGCAGGAGGGAGATTAGGAATTACAAATTTCATTAATAGAACCAAAGCACATCACAGATGCCATCAGGCAGAAGCCTTATTATGCAGTAATGACCCCCTGCACGCCCCATCCCCCAATTGACAATGCACAGATTGCGGTCACTGTACACTTCCAATAAATCTGGGTATAGCTGGTAGCCAGTACTTCTCCTTGAAGTTTGACTTGTTCCCTCAAATTGTTAATACTTCTGAAATGTTTTAGCTTTTGGCAGCTGGATTTGAGCTTCCCTAGATGTTTGTGGTGTACATCATATTCTCGTCTTTGTACTTCAGTTAATAGCATCTGGTGTCTAATGCCTCTGCACGTATCACTGTGTGGTCATGGACAAGGCCAAAGAATTAACCTGGGTTGGGAGTCGTTATGCTTTCAGTTTACTTTCTCAGTTTGGTTCAGCATTATTCTCTTCTTGCAAAAGGCCGTTTGGGAACAAGCTGGGAATGCAGCAGTTATTTCAGAAGTCCCCTGGGAATTTGCTCTTTAGCAATTAAATTATCTTTAGACTTTATTCCAACTACCAGTGTGATTTTGAGCAAGTTATATAGCCTGAGGATAGCCAGTTACCCACACTTCACCCTGGGCCTCTGGGTCTTCACCTGAAAAGTGAAAGGACTAGGAAAGAGGATTTTGAGGTCCTTCCACCTCTAAGATTTTGAGAATTTGATAATTCCTGACTAGTAAGAATCAGATTGTTTTGATACTAGAGCAATGGGTTTGTCCACCCGTGTGTATTCTCCCACATTCATCTGCCTCAAGTCTACTGTCACCACTTATTTTCCCAGATGGAGACTTGGCAGGCTGGTAAAGCCTAATGTAGTTCCCTTAAGAAACTAGACCCAGCCACCTTGCCCATACTCACAGGCTCCTGTCGTTCCCTCCCATTCATTTATCCATTCATTCATCCGTTCATTCAACAAACATTTATTGAAGGCCCGTTATGTGCTTTGTACTAATCTTTAAAACCTGATGTATGGCTTTTTATCCATTTTCCCTTATACTCGCGTTCTTTGGCAAACTAGGCAGACAACAGCATAGGAAATGTATATTCAATCATTCTTTTGAATGGTCAGAACTCTAAAATGAAGTTTTCTATAACAAAATGTAATACAGGCACAGAAGGTCCAAAGTGCCAGGGAGGAAGTGGTCAACATGCAAAAAGTGTGGGAAGGGGCCTGGCAAGAAAACATTCTTTTCCATCAAAGTTTCATTCCTCAGGGCCTCACTTCAAAGGTTCATTGCCCCTGCTTTCAGAAATCTCTGTTTCAAGGAAGTTACATGTTTTTGCTGCCTTAATTTGAATTTTGACTAGGCAGAGTGCTGAGATCTAAATTCAGCCTGAGAGAACTTGTGATGGAACTCAGGCAGCTCTCTCACAGGACTTGATTTGTAGAGTAAAGAAAGGAAAGGAACGTAGAAGCAACCAGCTGAAGATAATCCATCAGGAATTCCTGGTTGCCTGAAACTGAGTTCTGGCTCTCTGTGCTGAGGCAGCAGCCAAAGAGAGAAACTAATGCCTAATTTTAGGAAGCAAACAGGTTTGTTTGCTCCCCTGTTTTCTAGATCCTTTTCTACTCTACATGAGGGTTTCTTAATCTCAGCACGATTGACATTTGGGGCTAGATAATTCTTTGTTGTGGGTGGCTGGCCTGTATGTTGTAGGATGTTGAGCAGCATCCCTGGGTTCTATCCACTAGATGCCAGTAGCACCTCCAAGTTGTGACAACAAAATTGTCTCCAGAATTTCCAAGTGTCCCCTGAGGTGGTGCAAAGTCACCTGGTTGTGTCCCACCGCTGTAGATGCTGATGAAAGCTGAGGTCGTCACTGTCCATGCAGGATATGAAGTAGAAGCCTCAAACCCTGTGATGGCAGGATATCACACACAGTGAAGATGAGAGGTCTTCTTTTCCTGGACCATTCAAGGATGAACATCATCTGAGAAGTAAAATAGCATTAGTTTGTTTTAAAAATCAGGTGTTCACATAGTTTAGAAAATCAGTGTTGCCCAACTACATTTTTTATGTTAAAATTATGGTGATTTTCCACATATCTTAAGCATGTATCAGCTGGGAGGAGATGCCAGGGCACTTTCTCATTGTAAATGAAAAGTGAATCATTTGACCCATCACTAAAATACAGCTACCTCTGAATTGTGAAGTGGCAGCTGATTAGCAGCTTCTTACTGAATCCACCAGTGTAATTTGTGGATTATAAAATGTGGATATATTGCAATCAAAACTTTCTAGAAACTTCCTCAGAGCAACATTACAGCAGTATAGCTAAAGATTCTGAGACAAATGAGATGCAGTAGCCCATTCTCTCACTCCCTGGATGGGGATGGGGAGGTCCCTGAGATATGGGGATATACTTGTCTCTACATTCACTTTACTTCAGAGTCTAATACACTTCTCTAGTTCAGATGAATTGTTTCCCAACTTTTCATATATGTCTTTGAAGATAAATTTATCTTCTTCATATTGAAGTCTTCTGTGGGTTGGTTTTGGCTTCTTCTTCTTGATGTTATTTGTTCACTCCTGAGTTTTAGACATAAATTCATTTCTCCCCAGAACTATAAAACTAGGTCATATCTTGTGGTGAAATAGTTCTGCAGATTCCTGGAATTCTGAAAATAACAGCAATAGGATACCATTATAGCCATTCAACAAACATTTATCAAGAACTGAAAGTCTCCCTTCCACTTGTTTTTCTGTATTCTGATGATAGTCTATTGAGGCCACATGGTATCATGGGTTGCTAGGGGAAAGGAGATGGCTTGAATCTTCCCTTAAGGAAAGGGATCATCCTCAGAGCAAACAGGAACTGAGAGAGGAACTATGGGCAGGCTCCTAGATAAAAGTGGAAAGGTGGCTTCTATCTGAGTTCTCAACCAGGCAATGTGTGTGACCTAAAGTGTCATGATCAGTTATAATGTGTATCTCAAGTAATGATCTCTTCATTTATTTTTTTAAAATTGATTTAAGGTTATCCCTCTGTAATTCTAGAGAGAAAGAGATGGAACTGCAGCTAACCAGGTAACAGTATATAACCCTTTGTGTACTGCATGTGAACATGTATGTCTTGGTTTATTTAAAAAAAAAAAGACTGCAAATTTTACTGCTCTAAGGGAATACAAGATAAAGATGAATAAGCTATAATTTATAGGTCAGATTATCTAGTCACAGTATATTAAAAACTCATTTCCTTGTGGGAATCAAGGAAAGAAGAAAGGGCTCCTTCTACTAATGAGATACTCAAAGGATAGTTTCCTTAGGGAAATCTCCCTCCAGTGATAACCATGGAGGTCGGAAATGATGGAAACTGGCAGATTTCCTTACAAAGAATCTGTTTTGTGCACTTCACCATAGTGTTTGGAGAACAGGAGAAAGAATGAAAAGCAGATGAAGAGACCCCCAGCCAAGATGGTGGAGTAGAAATACCCTGAGCTAACCTTTCACAGGCACACCAAAATCACAACCATTTGCAGAAAAACCATCAATGAAAAAGACCGGAGCCTACCAGAAAAGATCTTCTACAACTAAAGACATAAAGAAGGAACTACAGTGAGACAGGTAGGAGAGGCAGACTCAACGATAGAGTCAAGTCTCATACTCAGAGGTGGGTGACCCACAAACTGGAGGATAATTACATTGCAGAGGTTCTCCCAAAGGAGTGAGAGATCTGAGCCCCATATCAGGCTCCCCAGCCCAGGAGTCCTGCACCAGGAAGACAAGCCCCCAGAACATTTGGCTTTGAAGGCCAGTGGGGCTTACTTTTAGGAGAGCTAAAGGGTGGGAGGAAGAGAGACTTCACTCTTAAAGGGTGCACACGAAATCTCACATGCTCTGGAACCCAGGGCAGAAGCAGTAATCTGATAGGAGCCTGGGTCAGACATACCTGCTGATCCTGGAACGTCTCCCAGAGAGGCAGGAGGCAACTGCATATCACCCTAGGAACACAAGCACTGATGGCAGCCATTTTGGGGAGCTCCTACCATGTGGACACTGGTACTGGCAAATGCCATTGTGAAACTCTCCTTCTAGCTCATCAGCACCAACACCTGGCCCCACCCAACAGCCTATAGTCAACAGTGCTGGGATGCCTCAGGCCAAGCAGCTATCTGGGCAGGGACACAGCCCCACCCATCAGCAGACTGGCTGCCTTAAGACCACCTGAGCCCATAGCTGCCTCTGGACATGGCCCAGGACCCAGCTCCACCCACCAGTGGGCAGGTACCAGCCCCAGAATCCCCTGGACCCTGATGCTGCCCTCCAGGAAGCCTATTCTAGCCTCTGGGCCAGCTTCATCCACAAGGGGGCAGACACTAGATGCAAGAAAACCACAATCCCAGAGCCTGAAGACCTAGCCTGCCACCAGTAGGCCAGACCCTGCCCTGGGGAGCAGCTGGGCCCCAGCCCTAACCACTAGCAGGCCAACGCAAACTTTGAGACACCCCAGACCCAACTGTGTCAGGAACCGCGCCCACTCCCCCCCCACCCCGACCCGCAGCAATCCAAGACCAGCCCTAGGACCCCTGGGCCCTGCAGTTGGACTCTAGGACATGGCTTTGCCCACCAGTAGACCAGCACTAACACCCTTGCTTCACCCATCAGTCAGTGGACAATATTACCAGAGTTTTCTGGACCCTGACTCCGTCCACTCATGACCCAGCACTATCCCTGGGTCCCCGTGGGGTTCCGCAGTCAGCTGCCTCTGCAGCCAGCAGCCTCCACATGAGACAGGGCCTGGCAACGTTGGACCAAGGGCTAACCAAGCTTACTAGACCTCCCACATAGTCAGCCTGCAACAACAGGAGGACCCATGCAATCCTCATATGAAGAACTAGGGCATACAGCTTGAGTGACGAGAGAGGAGTGTGCTGTTGGGACGCATAGGAGGTCTCCCACAAAATATCACTTCTCCAAGGTCGTAAAATGTAACCAACCTACCAGATACATAAAAATACAAACAGCAAGGTAGCAAAATGAGGTGACAGAGGAACGTGTTCCAGACGAAGGAACAAGATAAAACCCCAGAAGAACAACTAAGTGGAGATAGGCAATCTACCTGAGAAGGATTTCAGGGTAGTGATTGTAAACATGATCAGAGAACTAGGGAGAAGAATGGATCCAAAGAGTGAGAAGTTAAAAGTTTTTAACAAAGAGTTAGAAAATACATATTGATAGAACAACCAAACAGAGGTGAAGAATACAATAACTGAAATGAAAAATATACTAGAAGGAATCAACAGTAGACTAAATGATGGATCAGTGAACTGGGAGACAGTAGTGGAAATCACTGACGCTGAACACAAGAAAAAGGAATGAAAAGAGGACACAAACCTCTGGGACAACATCAAGTGTACTAATATTCACATTATAGGGGTCCCACAAGGCAAAGAGAGAGAGAAAGGAACTGAAAACATATCTGAAGACATAATAGCTGAGAACTTCACTACCCTGGGAAAGGAAATAGACATCCAAGTCCAGAAAGTGCAGGGAGTCCCATCCAGGATTAACCCAAAGAGGAATACACCAAGACACATTGTTACTAAAATGGCAAAAACTGAAGATAAAGAGATAATATTAAAGGCAGCAAGGGAAAACCAACAAATAACATACAAGGGAACTCCTATAAGGCTATCAGCTGACTTTTCAGCAGAAACTCTGCAATCTGGAAGGGAGTGGCACAATATATTTAAAGTGATAAAAGGGAAAAACATACAACCAAGAATACTCTAGCCAGCAAGACTGTTGTTCAGATTTGATGGAGAGATCAAAAGCTTTACAGGCAAGCAAAAGTTAAGAGTTCAGCACTACCAAACCAGCTTTTCAAGAAATGTTAAAGGAACTTCTTTAAGTTAAAAAGAAAAGGCCAAAACTGGAAACATGAAAATTATGAAAGGAAAAAGCTCATAGGTAAAGGCAAACATAAATGTAGGAAATCATATCATGCACAAAGCTAGTAAGAAGGCTAAAAGACAAAAGTAGTAAAAATCATCTATATCCTCAGTAAGCAGTTAAGGGATACACAGAACAAATAGATGTAAAATATGATATCAAAAACAGTAATCATGAGGGAAGGAGAGTACAAATGCAGGGTTGTTCAAATGCATTTGAAATTAAGAGATCAGCAACTTAATACAATCATGTATATATATAGAGATTGCTATATAAAAACCTCATGGTAACCACAAATCAAAAACCTATGCTAGATACACAAGTAAAAGGAATCCAAGCATAACACTGAAGATGGTCATCAAATCACAAGAGAAGAGAAAAAAAGAAAGGAACAAGAAAGACAGAAACAAACCCCAAACAGTTAACAAAGTGGCAACAAGAACACATACATATCAATAATTACTTTAAATTTAAATGGACTAAATGCTCCAGTCAGTAGACTTAGAGTGGCTGAATGGATAAAAGAACAAGACCTGTATACATGCTGCCTACAAGAGACTCACTTCAGATCTAAAGACACACAGACTGAAAGTGAGGGGATGGAAAAAGTTATTCCATGAAAATTGAAATCAAAAGAAAGCTGGGGTGGCAAAACTTACATTAGACAAAATAAGCTTTAAAATAAAGACTGCTATAAGAGACAAGGACACTGCATAATGATCGCGGGGTCAATCCAAGATGAAGATCTAACAATTGTGAATATATATGCCACCATAGGAGCACCTAAATACATAAAGCAAATGTTAATGGACGTAAAGGGAGAAATCAACAGTAACACAACAATAGTCGGGGACACCTCACTTACGTCAATGGACAGATCTTCCAGACAAAAAAATCAGGAAGGAAACACTGGCCTTGAATGACACATTAGACGAGATGGACTTAATGTCTATATCTATCTATCTATCTATATATATCACATTTCATTCAAAAGCAGAATACACATTATTTTCAAGTGCACATAGAACATTCTCCAGGATAGATCACATGCTAGGCAACAAAACAAGCCTTGGTACATTTTTAAAAATTGAAATCATATAAAGCATCTTTTCCAATCACAGTGCTATGAAACAAAAGAAGTCAACTACAAGAAAAAAAGACTGCAAAAAAAAAAAACACACCGAAACATGTGGAGGCTAAACAATATGCTACTAAACAACCAATGGGTCAATGAAGAAATCAGAGGAAATAAAAAAGAAATACCTAGAGACAAATGAAAATGAAAACACAATCCAAAAATCTACGGGACACAGCAAAAGCAGTTCTAAGAGGGAAGTTTATAGCGACACAAGCTTACCTCGGGAAACATGATCTGACCTGAGTCCACAGCAGCCCCATAAGAAAGGGTTTCCTCTGATTTCGTTGTTTGCATACCACCTTCGCAATTTTTACAATATCCATGTACTACCTTTTATCTAAGTATACAACTTTATATTTGTATTTCAACCACTTTTTTTAATACATCTTTATTGGAGTATAATTGCTTCAAAATACCATGTTAGTTTCTGTTGCACAACAAAATGAATCAGCCATATACATACACATGTCCCCATATCCCCTCCCTCTTGAGCCTCCCTCCCATCCTCCCTATCCCACCCCTCTAGGTCATCTCAATCACTATTTTTTAAAATAAATGTAAAAATTTTTTTACCACACTCAAAAAAGCAAAGCAGATCAACAGATTTTTGTCTGCCCTTGAGGACTTAACAATCTAGGCAAGGAATATATGTGCCTTAGAGAGTGTAAGATATTATAAATTATACATGCTCGCCAAGGGGATGTGAGATAAAAGGACCAGCAGGAAATGGGTGAAGGAAGTGTGGACCTGAATTAGCACAGAGTAGAGGAGATTTCCAGGAAGGGGCAGAGAGAGAGGGAGCAAGGCCAGAGAGCAGTAGTAGGTAGCTGAGAGAAGGAGGAACCTTAGGGAGAGAAACTTAGAGAGCTGTGACTGCATAGCTGAGGACTTTAACTTTGATATACTAGTGCCCAGAGAGTCACTTTAGGTTGCAGAGTAAAGGACTGCTGTGATGAAAATAGCATTTGAAAACTTTTATTCTGGCACCTTGTTTCCTATCACCTGAAACAGAGGGAGGAGCAAGTACAAGGTTTTAGAACTAGTCGGGGCATGAGATGATTAGGGGCAATCTGAAAGACCACATGGGCAAATACTGTAGAGCTTGGTAACAAATTGACCTGAAGGACAGAGGGGGACAAAAATAGCTCTAAGGTTGTGAGCCTGGTGCATGGTGGCAGTGCCACTGAGTAATGTGGTAGTGTTGACTGTAACTTCACAAGCTCAGTTGTATACAAATTCCACATGCAGAAGAATATTCAGAAAGAGATGTCCTAGCAGTAATTAGAGCCAAAGGAGTGAAGTGAGAGTGGGAAGTCTTAGCAAGAGGGCTAGTTGGTGAGTGCTTTGTCAAGTCTCCAGTCAACAGGGGCTTTGTTGAGGGGGGCTGGGAGGAGGCCACTTATGTGAGCGATTATGCTCATGTCATGATGTTTCATTATGAAATCCAGAGTAATGAGTCAGGGCCAAATATCTCTTTGTCTTCAATAAGATATATTTGCCTTCAAGGATGACTGAATAAATGAAAAGGTGTTTGAATTTACACAAATATTTGAATTGCATAGAGTTGTTTTTCCTGTACGTCTGTCAATGAGGTCTCTACTCTTTGTTAACAAATGCTTACCTTTCACAATAGCAGTGGAAATAGTGCCTACTGCCCTGACGTTATTAAATGTTTCTCTCTGGGGCTGGTGCTGGGAGCTGCTTGATTCCTGTTAGGGACACAAACACACATAGTGGCTCCCCGACACCATTCGTGATTCATCTCACCTGTCGTACCAGTGACTCTGCATGTTTCTGTGTAGCCAAGGTGCATTATTTTAGCATCAGGTAAGGGCAGAGAGGCAGGAGTACCCAGGTGATGGCAACAGAAGAGACACACAGGGAAGCCTTTGAGTTCAGCAGCTGGAGGTGACTTTGCCTTTTAATCTCAGAGTCTGTAAAGGGAGAGAAAAAAGTTCAGGGTCATAGAGGAAAAGCTGGATGTCTCCTTCACATGGCTGGTTAGCAAAGAAAAATACCCCCCAAAAACAGAACAGATTGTTCCTAATATAACTTGTGCCCTAATTTGAGGGCAGTTTTGTACCCCATTCTCTACCTTTCTGTAACTAGCTTAAAAGCAGAGCTTTCCCTTTCTGCAAAGAAGTTCCATTCTCTCGTCCACTGCAGTGAGCCCTCAGCCAAATGAAAAACGATTCCAATAAACACACTGCTGTTGGTTACCAATAAAGAGTAGGCTAAACCAACAGCCATGGCCAGTCCTGGGTGTCAGACAGATTTTTCTTCCTCTAGGCAGTGACCTTTACAGGTTCTGTGTCATTTGCTTTCCTCACACCACTACAGAGTAATGAGAAAGTATTGTTCTCATTTTGAAGTAGAGAAAGGCAGAAGTGAAGAAATTAAATTACTCTTTACTCTATTTTCTCCCTGGACAGTCCAGTGTCATTTAGCTCATTTCAGCTCTGATACTTACTAGCTGTGTGACTTCAGGCAAGTTTAGGCAAGTTACTCTGTATGTGCTACAGTTTCTTCATCTATAAAATAGGGCCAAAATAATAATAATCAACTTCATAGGATTCTTGTGAGGATTAATGAGTTAATACAAGTAAAGCACTTAGAACCTGGCACCATAGTAAGCATTCAGTAAGTATTAGCTGTCAAGACAATAACAGTAACCCCACTCAAGCCTAGTAAACATTACTTCCATTAAGCTGATCATTTTCCAAATCCACCTCCTTAGCCCGAATTCTGTCCTAAATTCCACATCTGTATTTACAGTTGCTACTATATGTCAGTTAAAAATATAATTATTCAGCAAACATTTTTGAGCACCTGTTGTTTGAGTTCAAAGGAGTCCAATAAACACCCTCTCCCCAGCTGAGTTCTGAACCAATTAAAGAGCAAGACAAAGTGAGGCAACTGGAAGACTAAAATCACCTTTATTCCTGATAAATCTGATAATAAAGGATTAAGCTTTGTCTGCAGGGAAGTGGGCTGCAGCCCAGACTTCCCCAGTGACAGGCAGCACAAGACTGGGGCAGGCTTCCTCCCACAAGGGCAGATTCTACCCCTGAAAACTGTTGGCTTAGAGGAGAAGAGTAGAATGTATACTTCTGGTTAGCTAGAGAGAAAAGGAAAAATGAGGAGCTGGGCTATTTATACCCAGCTTCTCCTAATAAACTCACTAATTGGGAAAGTTAATTTCTCTTCCTCTGGGGAAGAGTGAAAGAGGAGAGAAGAGAGACTAGAAGGGTTACGTTGGTGGGGATCTCTTCCCATGGAAGGAAACATGTGGAGGAGGGATGAAGCAGTCTCCCCCAGACTTGGTGTATGCTGGGTAATGTGCTAAGCATTGGACATCTCTACCTTTGTACATAGTGGGCACTTTCAACTCAACAGCTCTAAAATCTTCATCTTTTTACCTGACGTGTTGCTTTTCCTACATTTTCATATTTGTTGTTGGTAGCATTACTAACCTCCTAAGCAACCTGGATATAGCAATATCAGACCCCTTTTGACTTGTTCCTTCTCTCGTCCTTCACATTTGTGTCACCAAGCCCTGTAGGTTATTTTCTTCATTAACTTTTGATTCTCCCACCTTTCCTTCCCATTGTCGCTGCCCCAGTTAAGGCCCTCATAATTTCTCCCCTGGACATTGACATAGGCTTCTGACTTCATGCCTTCCTAGTCTATCAAAACCATTCTTTTTCTTCAAAACCCAGCTTGAACTCTTCCTCATCTATTGAGCCACTACAGTCATAATTAACTACTCTTTCCTGTGGGTACCGTATCCACACTGATTAACTTCTCTTATGACAACTGTGCTATTCATCTCTGTGTTTCATGGGACTTACAAATTACTTTGTATATATTTGGCACTAAATAGATACTTGTTGAATGAATGACCCAGATTAGCAGTATAGTTAGAGAACACAGGATATAAACCTCATGGCCTCATTCAGTTGTTTAAAAACTTACTTTGTGCATGGTAAGAAGGAATTATGTTATTTTATCTTAATTTTGAGCTATGTCATGCTTCTAAAAGTTGGATATAGTCCTAGTACTGGTACATGGAACACTTGTTCTGATGTATCCTATAAGCATGTATGGAAAAAGAACCTGCTCACTGAACAAAAGCTGTGCCCAATTTCTGTGGTTTGTTCGGTTATTGCCATTTCTATTAGAAGACATTAGTTACATAGTTGGAGCTTTTAATTGAGATGTAAACTGAAATACTGTTGTTAACACTCATTGTTTTAAATGCCTAATGCTTATTTCCCCCTTCTCTTCTGGGAAGGCCTTCCATCCAGGTACTGCCTCATTGGTCTAAGTATGGGCAGCTGACCCAAGTGGAGCTGTTCTGGGAATATATTCAATAGAATCAGACTGAGGGATTGAGCTTCAGTCTAGTTACTCTCTTGAGTGAAAGAGACTTTTAAAGGTAGGAGCTCTTGGCAACCATATTCTGCCCTATAGACTAAAACAAGAGAGAGTAAATTAGAGAGCAAAGAGAATAAAGTAGAAATGAGAGACAAAGAATGGAATTTAAGTTCTTGGATCCAGCTGTTATTGAAGCCACACTGCACTTTCTGTCCTTGGTTTCATGAGACATCCTAATACCCTTCTAATAAATTCCTTCTTTTAGCTTAGGCTTCAGTTGGTTTTGTTTTCTGTTATAGGCAACTAAAAGTGTTCTAATTGGTACAGTCACCAGTTTGTTTCACAGGATAGTGGAAGAGCTCTTTCTCATATATATGATTTTTTATTAGATACTTTTTTTATTGTGGTAAAAAATGTAATATGAAACTTACTATCTTAACCATTTTAAGTGTACGGTTCAGTAATGTTAAGTATATTCACATTCTTGTGAAAAAAATCTCCAAAACTTTTTCATTTTGCAAATCTGAAACTATACCCATTAAACAACAACTCCGTATCCTTTCCCCTTGGCCCCAGCTCCTGGTAACCATCATTGTACTTTGTTTCTATGAATTTGATTACTTTAGATACTTTATAAGTGGAATCAAATGGTAGCATCAAATAATATTTCTCTTTCTGTGACGGGCTTCACTTATAGCATAATATCCTGAAAATTCATCCATGTTGTAGTATGCAAAAGGATTTCCTTCCTTTTTAAGGCTGAATAATGTTCCATTGTATGTATACCACATTTTGTTTATCCATTCATCTGCTGGTGGACATTGGGGCTGCTTCCTCCTCTTGGTTATTGTGAATAATGCTGCTGTAAACATGGGTGTGCAAATATATCTTTGAGACACTGCTTTCAGTTTTTTTGTACATAATACACAGAAATGGGACTGCTAGATCATTTGGAAGTTCTATTTTAAGTTTTTTGAGGAACCTCCCATACTGTTTTCTATAGTGGTTGCACCATTTTACAGTCTCACCATCATACACAAGTATTCCAATTTCTTCTCTTCCTCACCAACACTTGTTGTTTTCTGTTGTTGTTGTTGTTAGTAGCCATTCTAATTAGTATGAGGTGATACTGTGGTTTCCGTTTACATTTCTCTGATGATTAGGGATGTTGAACATCTTTTCATATACTTGTTGGCCATTTTGTATATCTTCTTTGGAGAAATGTCTGTTCGAGTCCTTTGCCCATTTTTTAACCAAGTTATTTGACTTTTTCATTGTTTAATTATAGAAGTTCTTTATGTATTCTGGATACTAATCCCTTATCAAACATATGATTTAAAAATATTTTCTCCCATTCCATAGGTTGCCTTTTTGTATATATAAATTTTAATTAAAAAATAGCTGATGAGGAACTTCCCTGGTGGCGCAGTGGTTAAGAATCCACCTGCCAGTGCAGGGGACACGGGTTCGATCCCTGGTCCAGGAAGATCCCACATGCTGCAGAGCAACTAAGCCTGTGAGCCACAACTACTGAGCCTGCACTCTAGAGCCTGCGAATCACAAGTACTGAGCCCACGTGCCACAACTCCTGAAGCCTGTGTGCCTAGAGCCCATGCTGTGCAACAAGAGAAACCACCACAATGAGAAGCCTGTGCGCCACAACGAAGAGTAGCCCCTGCTCACCACTAGAGAGAAAAGCCCGCGCCCAGCAATGAAGACCCAATGCAGCCAAATAAATAAATAAATAAAATTATTTTTAAAATAGCTGATGAAAATATGGTTTATTCAGTTAAATTCAGCAAACATTTAAAGGGCACTTAAAATGTGCAAGGTATTCTGTTTGGTACTAGGCTTGATATAAGACAGTGGTTCTCCTGATATACTCCTTCCCCTATAGCTTGAATTCAATTTAACCCCAGCAGGGATGGTTTTAAAATTCATAAGTCAGTCTATGCATTTCCTTGACACTAGCTCAACCCTAGGTTTTGTAATATACTAAAGCACTGCAGGGAGACTAGGGTGTTGAGCCTCCCTGGCTCCTGGTCTTCTCAGCCTGGGAGGCCAGCTTAATTTGGAGCTTTCAAATTAATCTTGTGCCAGTATTAGTGGGACCTTGAGCAAGTCCTGGAAGGACTGAATAAGAAAGACTGAGGCAGACTCTAAGACCTCTAGTCTTCAAATCAGAAGTCTTCTCAAAGGCAGGATAGACCCAAACCAATTTTGGGGGACTCGGGATGTAGATCACCAGCTGAATATATCAAAGATTTCAAATCATCATCACTTCTCCACTGCTTTACCAAACCAATCCTTCTGAGTTAGGGCCTCAGAATCCTAAACACTGCCCTCCAGACAGTAAGAAGGTATACAAGATGAAAACTCATTGCCACCTTTGACCTGTATGCCATAAATATTGTTTTGTATTAGTTTTCTTCTTACATAATGCAATCCCAGCTGGAATTGTGATCGAGATCTCTGTGAAACTTTCTATGCCCTGGTACATAATATATCTGTTAAAGAAATTAGATTTTAGTTTACACTAGATTATAACCCCAGTAAACCCATACCAAACGTGTAAAGGAACCCACCTGTCACTTTGATATCCCCTGTGGCTTTGGCAATGTTGTTTTCAATCATACAGGAGTATGTGTTGTTGATCGTGACATTGTAGAGTACAGATACAACCTTCATGGTCACATTCTTAGAGTTCAGCTCAAAGCTGGTGTCGGAGACTTCTGAGAAGTTGGCTCCCCAGTCAACTTGGGATGCCCAGACCACTGTTGGCTGGGGAAACCATCGGGGAGCCTCACATCGTAAGCTCTCTGAGGTGGCGTTACAGTCCACGTTCACTTCTGGGATGCTGAAGGCTGCAGGGTTGAAGGTCAAAAAGGGGCAGGGGTCAAGGTCAGACGGATAAGACAATATAGCCTTTGAAGTGCTAGGTCTTAAAAACACATTGAAGTGACTCAGTACTTTCCCAGTGGGCTGTCTATGTATGACCCATTGTATTGTAGATGCAAAAAATGATTTGCTCATAGTATTGCTATACATCACAACACTTTGGACAATATCACAAACTCCAAGGACCTAAGTTCTAGGTATACTTGTTACAACACATACATTTCTCCAAGTAAGAGAAGTTCCAGTGATCACACAAAAAAATTATCAATTAGGGAAACTGGGTATTTATTTTCCTAGGCACCTATGAAGCCTCCTGAATTTTATGTAATTTTTCTGCCTGGAGGGTAAAAGCGTGGGGAGGGAGAAGGAAGAAACAAACAGCATTCACCTACCCACAGAAATTCCATACACAGGCCTTGTCATCATGGGGATCTGAAGTTTGCTTGGGTAGAGACTGCCCAGCCCTGGTATCCATGAATAAAGACAGGCATTTGTTTTCTTTTAAGATAATTCTCCTCACTGGAGAGGCAAGTACATTTTGAATTTAAGACTAACTTCCTCCTCTATCTAGGCAGAGAGACACTTATAGAAAATGTTAAGGCCTGGACTTTGGCCTGTAAAATGTTTATTATGCCAAAAGGGCAAGATACAAATTATTAATTTATTTAGCATCTTCCTTTGCCCAGGACTGTGCTAGTGTGGACTGAGAGGTGGAAGGAAAGCCTTTGCCATGCCCTTCAAGAGCCTGCTGCCTAGCAGGAGAGACGTACTTGGAGCACATACTCGGAGCAGGCAGGGCACAAGCTCCTGGGAGATGATGTGGGAACCTGAGTGCACATGACAATGAACCACCGTTTATTGAGGGTGTGCTCTGTGCTAGGGACCAAATTCCAGACATTTTTTTGGTTCCTCACAACAGTCCTAGGGATATCTATTATTGTACCCATTTAACAAAATAAGCTTTTAATTTTAGAATAACTTTAGATTTACAGAAAGGTTGCAAAGATTAGTACAGAGAGTTCTTGTATACTTCTCACCCAGTTTCCCCTAACATTAACATCTTAGATAACCATGATGCATTTGTCAAAACTGAGAAACTATCATTCGTATATTACTATTAACTAAACCAGCCTTTATTTGGATTTTACCAGTTTTCCCACTAATGTCCATTTTATATCCCAGGATCCCATCCAGAATACCACATTGCACTTATTTGTCATGTCTTTTTAGATTCCTCTGGTCTGTGACAGTTTTTCAGTCTTCCCATGTTTTGCATGATCTTGACAGTTTTGAGGAATACTGGCCAGGTATTTTGTAGAATGCCCCTCTATTGTAATTTGATGTTTTTCTCAAGATTAGACTGAGGTTATGGGTTTTGGAGAGGAAAACTATAGAAGTAAAAGTGCCCTTCTCATCATGTCACATCAGAGAGTGCATGCTGTTAACATGATTTATCACGGGGATGTTAACTTTGATCACCTGGCTGAGTCTATGTTTGCCAGGTTTCTTTGGAAGCTGGACTTCACTAAGTCTAACACACCCTAAGTGCGGTGGTCGGGGAGGGGGAAGTTCTAAGCTCCGCTTCCTGCAGGGGGAGAGATCTAAATACATTATTTGGAATTCATCTATAAAGAAGATTTGTTTCATCTCCCTCATATAAGTATGGACTCGTGTATTTATTTTATGCTTAGTTATAATTTAATACTATATTGTTTATTTTGTTGCTCAGATGGTTCCAGCTTTGCCATTGGAAGGAAGCCCTTTCAGTTGGCCCCAGTGTCCCTTTGACCTGACTTTATTAACCCCTATTTTAAGATAAAGAAGCTGAGGCTCAGTGAGGTTGCCTTGCCCAGGCCACTGTATGTGCCTAGGTCTGACTAGATCTATGCTTCAAACCACTACATACACATATTATGAAAGGTCCAAGAGAGATCTGTGCAGGCTAGCTTAGCCTGGGATGCCTCAGGATACTTTCTGCCTATCCTTCAAGGCTCCACCCAAATGTCAAATTCTCTCTATGGGGGCCTTCCTGTCCCTTTCCTCCCTATGCATTTGGATATGATCTCTTTCTTCCTCTGAATCCCCAAATCACTCTATTTATATTTTCTCTTAAAGCATTTAATACACTTTACTAATTTTTGTAGATATGTTTCTTATCAACATATTTTTCTTATTTACATATGTTTCTCATCTCTGCCCTGACCCTCAACTCTATAAGCTCTACACTCTCAGCTCTACAGAAGGAAGGACAATTATCTTTGTTTTCTTAATCATCTTCTTACTCCTTCCAATATCTCAGTCCCTTGTACATAAATACAGAAAATATGTTAAATTTAGTTGGTAAGAAAGCATGGATTTCATTGGAGGAGGATTAGTGAGTTTATAGGCCAATATTGTTTTGGTCAGTTACCTTTGAACTTCTCCTATAATGGGTTCCACTGTCGTGAGTCCCTGGAAATACTGATTTCAGACTTGGGCTAGGGCCTACTTAGCACAGAAAAGTCTCAGACCAGATTATAGTCTTCTCTCACTAGCAAGACCAAAGGGAAAGAACAGAGAGCTACTGATGGAGAAAACATATTCAGGCAAAATATTTCAGGGAATATATGAGAAAATTCAGAAGAGGCTAGAGTCCTGAGCAAAAGATTTTAAGACCTAATATTATAGTGGGTTACTTCCGGAGCTGGTGTGGGTCTTGGACAGCAAGGATGGCTGCTAGCAGAATTCGGATGGTCTTTGATATTAGTCACTCGTGAGCATAATATGACATTTCATCAGCAATTCACACTCTCTAGTCTCAAATATCTTCTGGCACCTTCTTTCCCTCTCTTCAAAAGTAACTTACCTCCAGTTTTATACTCGAGGTTAGCATTCCCCTTGCCTTTAGAAGTGATGATGTAACACTTATAGGTACCAGCATCAGCATCTGTGAGTTGCACAGTTTTCAGCATCAGAGAGGCATTGCCAACTATTACTTGATCAGCAAACACTGCTGTCCGACCTCTGAACATTTCATCCTGGTCCGACAGGTCATCTTTGCCTTCTTTGAACTCATGGACCAAGTCCATAACACCTCCGTTCAGCCACTGTATCATGATATCAGAAAGTTTGATGTCGGGTTCAAAAGTGCAGCTCAGGATTCCATCCTCCCCAGTGTTCCCAGCTGAGGTGAGAGTAGTGACTGTGATGGAGTGTCTCCCTACAATTCAGGAAACAAGGGTCAATGCCAAGGGAAGCTTTGGAACATCTACAACCAAATCCTTCCTTACTAAAAAGCCAAACAGGGACTTCTGTAATAAATTAGAAATATACAAAACAGGAGAGGCATGAAAAAAGAAGACATAAGAATAGAAAGAGTATTAAGACGATAGTTTTGATACCTACAGCAGATCTGCCAACAGCAGATAAAAAAGCTACACTTTTTTTTCTTTTTTTTTTTTTGCAGTACGCAGGCCTCTCACTGTTGTGGCCTCTCCCATTGTGGAGCACAGGCTCTGGACGCGCAGGCTCAGAGGCCATGGCTCACGGGCCCAGCCACTCTGCGGCATGTGGGATCCTCCCGGACCGGGGCACGAACCCGTGTCCCCTGCATCGGCAGGCGGACTCTCAACCACTGCGCCACCAGGGAAGCCCCAAAGCTACACTTTTTGAGACCAAGCAACTGAAATCTTGAGCCCAAATAAGAGGAGAACGTATTGGACTTGGGTTTTGAAGATGGGAATTCAGATCCTGGTTTTGTCACTTAAGAGCTACGTGACCTTGACTACATCTCTGGATCTCAGAAAAATGGAGGTAATGATATCTGTCTCACCTACCGTAAAGTAAAATATAATGATGTAATGATATCTGTCTTACCTACCGTAAAGTGCTCTTGTGAGGATCAAGTCAAATGGATGTGAACTTGATTTGCAAACTGTAATTACACGTATAAGGTATTGTTATTCCCAGTTAACCAGAAGTGGCACAGACGTGAAACCTCACGTTAACTAAATACGGCTCATAATTCTGAAGAATGCTAAATTCTAAGTGTTCTTACTTTTATCTCCACTTGAATGATGAAGAAACGAAGGCATAGAGAATAGAAGTGATTTGGTCAAGGTCAGAGTGCTAGCTATGGCATAATGAAGAATGATACTTAATTAAATTGATTTTTGGCCTAAGATAGAAGTCACACCCTTCTCTCCAAACATATAACAAGTACAAGTATTAATTATGGTGACAGCCACATCCACTGCCTCTTCCCCACTTGCCCAGCTGACAGCCCACTCTGTAAAGGACTGACTAGCTCTTCTCTCTGTACTGGAGGCTGCTGACTGGGGATGCCTACAGGGGTGCTTTAATTAACTGAATATTCTTGAGAGCCTCCTTCTGTGGCTTGGATGTGAAGGTAAGGAGAGGATGGGTCTTTGAGCCCAAGAAGAGAGTGGAACAGACCCAAGGAAGTGTCGGGGAGAGACCATGAGAGGGAAAGGTGAAGAGAGTCCCCCATCACCAGAGTTGCCTTAGATCCTGAGGGTTTTCCGGTCTAGTTCCTGTCCCACTGTCTGGGTATCCTTTAAACAAACACCTTATCTTTATAATGGTCTGCACAAACCTCTCTTTCTTGTAGCCAAGAAAGTCCAACATGATGGATGCTGGGCACTTCTCAACTGGACTTCTCAGCTTCCTTATTGGTGTTCCTGCCTCTCATCTCTGCCTCCATCTACCCCATTTTACATGCATTAATCTTACAGGTAGACCTTAAAGTACAATCCGAACATGTCAGTTTCCTAATCGCTAATCTTCCACTGCCCCCAACGGCTGTGGAATAAACTTCAGACTAACAGCATGGCCTTCAAAGTTAAATATTGCATGCCACATAGGAAATGCCCATAGATATTAGCCCTTTCCAGCCAGACTTCCCACTACATCCTTTCCAAGTCTATATTGTAGTCTTTGCATATCAAGTGATTTATTGATTTGCTGCTTTCAATGAAAAAATACATAAGCAAAGCACACTTGCTATTTTTCAAATGTAAGAGGTAAACATTATGAACATAGGGGATATCTTTGGCATCTTCTGTCTTCCAGCCCTTAAGGGGTTGGAATTATCTTATTAGCTCCTATGCTTTTATAAAGTAGATGAAGGTAATGGATTAGGGACAGAACCGGAGAAGCAAACTAAATGAATTTATATTATAAAGAACAGAGAGTTACTGATGGAAGAAAAAGTACCAGTAAAAACGAGGCAGAGGAAACAAAAACCTGTGCCTAGGCTGGGTTGGGAGGATGTTTTGGAGGTTTTAGAGTGTAGGAGAAGAGAGGCTTTGGAGTAGCTGCCATGCATGGTCATTCATGTGGGAGATCTGGGAGAAAAATTATGAAAGAAGGTAGTATGAAGTTTAGCTGTGTAATATGAATGCAACACACCCCATCCCCTGCCTTGGCATTTTATTGAACACTGCTTTAAAGATTTACTTTGCTTTTTAATTGTTTTCACTTGACAGATTGATATCCAAGACATTGCGGGCTAGTACTGGTTATAATTATACTATGCATCTCCACACACTGCATTGTGCACCTACAATTTATAGTTCCCTCCTCTCCTTTATCACCAGTTATCCAACTTCTACTTATATTCAAGGCTCTTCAGATGGCAGGACTCGCATGAAACCCCCTTTTGATGTGCCAAACCAAAATTAAAAGATCGTCTCTCTCCTCTTCCTCAACACGTTTCTTTGCCTTTATTATAGCATCTGTCTCCCTCTACCTTGTCTCTAGTCTGTCTCTGGCACTAATCTGTAAGCTTTTCAAGGGAAAAAAAAGTCTTAATCATATCTGTAAGTCCTATAACGCTCTGATGGTTAATTTTGTGCGTCAGCTTGACTGGGCCCCAGAGTGCCCGGATATTTGGTCAGACGTTCTGGGTGTGTCTCTGAAGGAGATTAATATTTGCATCAGTAAAGCAGATCACCCTCCTTAAGGTAGGTGGGCCTCATCCAATCAATTAAAGACCTAAACAGAACAAAAAGGCTGAGCAAGAGGGAACTGGCACTGCCTTTGAGCTGGGACACAAGTCTTTCCCTGCCTTCAGACTTGAACTGAAACACTGTCTCTCTTTGTATCTTGAGCCTGCCAGCTTTGGGGCTGGAACTACACTATTGGCTCTCCTGGTTCTCAAGCCTTTGGACTCAGACTGGAACTAAACTGTCTGGGTCTCCAGCTTGCTGCCTGCAGATCTTAGGACTTCTCAAAGTCCATAATCATGTGAGTCAATTCTTTCTAAATCTCCCTCTCTCTCTGCCTCTCACTCCCTTTCCCCCTATACCTCCACCCTATTGGTTCTGTTTCTCTGGAGAACCTGACATATAAATTCTGGTACCAAGAAGTGGGGTACTGCTGTAATAAGTACCTAAGCATGTGGAGGAAGTTTTGGAACTGGGTAATGGGTAGAGGCTGGAAGAGTTTTGAGGTGCGTGCTAGAAATGTGGATGTTAAGGGCGATTCTGGTGAGATCTCAGATGGGAAATAAGGAACGTGTTATTGGAAACTGGAAGGAAACAATCCTTGTTAGAAAATGGCATAAGAACTTGGCTGAACTGTGTTCTAGTGTTTTGTGAAAGGTAAAACTTGTGAGTGATAAAATTGGGTATTTAGCTGAGGAGATTTCTAAGCAAAGTGTTGAAAGAGAGGCTTGGTTACTCCTGACTGCTTATACTAAAATATGAGAAAGGAGAGAGATGAATTGGAGAAGGAATTGTTAAGCAAAAAGGAACCATAACTTGAAGATTTGGAAAGTTCTCAGCCTATCCATATTGCAAAAAATGAGACGACTGTTCTGAAGATAGCGCTCAGGGTGTGGGTGAACAACCATTTAATAAGGAGATCATAGGTATGACTCATGAGGATTTTAACAGCCACCTCAACAGAAGCCAGGAATAGAGATAGGATTATATACTGCCAGCTTGGTACAGAAAAACTAAAGGGAATAGAAAAATGAGACAAAATGAAAGAAAGCTATCAGACTTCGTAGATGTAACAGAACCAGACCATGGATCTATTCAGCTCTATGCTTCAGCAGGCCAAGGGCCTCTATTTCAACAGGCTGGAGGGCCTCTAATGGAAGCCTTAGAGATGGGGCCATCTGGAGCCTGGGGTGGGGGGTGGCAGTGGGACTTCTCAACTGCTAGAATTGTGAGAAAATAAATTTCTATTGTTTAAGCTACCCAGTGTATGGTATTTTGTTATGGCAGCCTAAGCAAACTAAGACAAGTGCCTAGTGCTATGTTTCTACAGAGAAAAATAATATTTGTTGAGTGAATGAATAAATGAATGAATGAAAGAATGAAAATCAGTAGAAATCAAAGCACTGTTTGAGATGATTCTATCCAAAATGATTGTAGGAGTAAGGAACATTTGGCTAGATTATCCCATCTAAATTTGGGGGAAATGTGAGTCAGTGAAAAAAGAAAGCAATGAAAATACACCATGATTCTCAATAAAATCATAGAGCATGCATAACTATGTTAGAGCAAGGGTAAATCTGATTGTAGTTTATAAAGTTCCATTAAAGTGGAATTGAAAAATTACTTTTTAGAAAAAATACATGATTAGCACAGTTTATGGAGAGAATGAAATGGTAATGACATATCTTAGTTGAGTAATTATGTTACTGAATTAATTTTAATGTGTTGGCCTTGAGCCCACAGGTGGAGGATTTGTTGAACTATCTCTTAGAAAACTTAATGATTAAAAGTAGGCAGCTGTGGAGTGCCCCAGGGACCCACCGCAGGCTCTAGCTCATTTAAGGTTGCATTAAAGATGTGGCAGATGGAATGTGTGTAATGTTGATTAAATCCCCCCTCCTTGTAGCAGATCAGGAGGAGGAATAAAAGCCAGTGAGAATTCAAGAAACCATGAGGACCTGGCCATTGCTTTGCACCCAGAAAGCAATCAATAAATACTTATTTGTTAGGTGAATAAATGATGGTTACAAGTGATAAAATGAGATTTACTTTGCAAGCAACAGTATATAAATATTGCTTCTCTCAAAAAGAAATCTGTTTTCAATTTTGCAAACAAATATTGGCTCAAGGAGCTATGTTCTAGGAACCACAGTTTGGCCTAATATGACTCTCTAGACCTCCTAACCACCAGGGGCTCTTGTGTGGTTTGTTGAGGGTAAAAGGGCTTTTAGAGATGGTTAGAAGCAGCTATCTACTGATAGAGAATTTTGTTAAACAGGCACGGGTTTCAAGAATTCCATTGGTCTCTAAGATTCCATCAAACCTCTTTAAAGTTAGAAGTCCCAGCCACTTACTGAAAATGAATTCTGTAGCTCATGAGGGCTGATTACTATCACAGCTCTGGTCTGCATGGGAAAAGAGGAGCTGTCAAAGGGCGGGAGCAAGCTGAAATTGGAACCATTTTGTTTTCACACGAGTGGGCACTATTCAATTGCCCTCTGCAGTAGGAGCAGGAATCTCTTGGGAGGTGGGGTTATAGGTAACACAAGGCAAGGATTCTTTATAGAAATTACGATTCTGGGTTGCCCAACACCACTGGATGAAACCTGGGAAATGAACTTTCCTTTGAAATGACTCAGTAAGACAAGTTCTGTAGATTTCAGTAGCACAGAGAGCATCCTCAGCTTCTGCTGCAACCCAGCTGTCCAGATGGGCACCATAGCACATGGTTTAAACGTGGAAACACATAGGCTTAAGCCTGCACCAGTGGAACCTGTGGTGGCACCTGTGGGTGCCACTCTTGCCAGAGAAGAGGGCAGGGTTGGGGATAACAGTTGCTCTTGTGAGAAGACAGCAGAAAGGATACTGGGCCAGGCTAGATAAAGGAATGAAGTAGAGAAGCTGCAGCAGAGCACTGGCGTTTGAGAACAGGTATCAGGCTGTCTGTGTTCAAGTCCCAGCTCTGCCACTCACTGGATATGGGACCTTGGGCAAGTTTTCTAACTTCTCTATTCCATAATTTTTTTCATCTGTAAAATGGGGATGCTAATAATAGTAGCTTCCTCAGAAGGCCCCTGAAAGGACTAAGTGATACAATACAGGTAAAGAGCTTAACATAGTATCTGAGTTGCCACATGTTAAACCTTAAATCAATGATATTGATAACCATTATTAATTAGAATCATTTGGAAAGATTGCAGATCAGAGCACCGGGAGGAAATAAACACTTTACTAAATGCTTATAGTGACTCATTTTAAGTCAGTTAACAACCTTGAGAGGTAGGAATTACTGTTCTACCCATTTTATGAATAGGACAAAGAGGCTCTGGGGGATCCAATGGCTTGCCTAAAGCCCCGTATGTAGCAAGTAGTGGAGCCAGTATCAAACTCAGTCTTGTCTGAGTCTGTCCTAAGCCTATACTCCTTCCACCACATTTTGCTGATATCCAGGGCCAGACTGAGATATAGAGAGAGCCTATCCACTAAAACAGTATCCCCACCTTATGTAAAAACAAAAAACAATGAAAAACCATAAAACAAGTGTAAGAAAGGCCAACATCTGTCTATTTTCTCAGATGACTACAGTGACAAAATACGTATCAATTTTTTTCCAAACAACTTCAGTGCTCCTGTTTTGGCGCCATTAAGCACATGCCTGATTGTTTTATCCAGTGACCAAAGATGGAGCATAATTAGGAGGCAGTGTCCTGTGGCTTCCTGCCCTGGCTTCCCTAACTTCAGAGGAGCTTCTGGGTGTGGCCAGGAAATAGTACAAGTTTTAGGAGGTGCTATGTGAATGCATTAATAATAGCAAATTATTATTAATGGCACTGATGGTATCAATGAAAACAATAACAGCAGCCATTTATTACACACGTATGTGTCTGGCACTTTATAAACACTTTCTCGTGTAATTCCCACAACGACTTTATTTTACCAGTGAAGTTCTGGGAAGTTAAGTCATATCCCAAGGGACACACAGTTAACGTTAGACCTGAGATTAGAACAACTCTGATCCCTACATGTTTCTACTATACAGAGCTGTTCAAAGTCACCCAGTGGGTGAGTGATAGCACAGGGACTGGCAAATTATAGTCAGGGACCTTTCCACTGCATCTCCCTCCTTCTCAAAGGGTCATCCACGAAGGCTGCCCTAAAACCAGCCTAATGGGAGCTGTTCAGCCTCTCTTCCAAACAACCTACCTCAAAAGCATTTTATGTTTTATGGGGTCCACATTGAGAGCTTGTAAGGAGTGGAATGGCTATGAGAAGGTGACATACACAGCCTCAGGAGAGTTACAAAGAAACAGATTCTTTTCTGTGTTTAGGAATATCTCTACATCTTTAAAATCTGTGTTCTCAGGAATATTGCCTGCAAGGCATACCAGAAAACACCCTTCTCTGCCACATCTCTGCATGACTGTTATCACTGGTATGGAGTGATGGGAAAGAGTGTGCGTTCTGGAAGCAAATTTCCAGGGCTTGAAACACAACTGCGCCTGCTTGCTTGCTGTGTGCAACTTTAGGCAATTTTCTAACCAGGACATAGTAATATTTATCTCCTATTTGTTGTGAGTGGTAAATCAGATAATATATGCAAACTTACTTAGCACAGTGAGGTGAACACGAAAAGGATTCAAAAGATATCACCATCACCGTCATCATGATCTACCTAATGCTATTTGCTTAATTTCACTGTCCTGTGTATTAATCCAGCTAACATTTTATCTAATTTACTTCAAGTGTGATAATATAATGCTCTCGGGTAAGGGTTATGGTCCTTTTAATAGAGGCAATTTAGAAAAATCCAACTAAACAGTGTTAAAGTAATAAACAGCCCACTTAATCCAGAATAGCCAGCTTTTACCTTATGAAATAGAAGGCAGAAAATCTTTCATTGGTGGTAGGGTTTTAATGTTATTGGTGGTACACTGCTGAACTGAGTGAACTGTAACTTTTATCTATGTATTCACCCCTCCATGCCTCCGTCCACTTGTCTATTCAAAAAGCACTTAAGGGGCTTCCCTGGTGGCGCAGTGGTTGAGAGTCCGCCTGCCGATGCAGGGGACACGGGTTCGTGCCCCGGTCTGGGAGGATCCCACATGCCACAGAGCGGCTGGGCCCGTGAGCCATGGCCGCTGCGCCTGCGCGTCCGGAGCCTGTGCTCCGCAACGGGAGAGGCCACAACAGTGAGAGGCCCGCGTACTGCAAAAAAAAAAAAAAAGCACTTAAGGAGTACCCTCTGTATTCAAGGAACTGAGCTCAGTATCTGAGGTCGCTGTAGCTATGCCACAGGAAAAGGTATACGTAGCAAAATGTTGACTGTCACAGGGAAGCTGAAGTTATAACTAAAGAAGAGGAGTTAAGGATTAGTGAGGAAGCTACCAAAATGTATGTACTGATATATTTAAAAGTCCAAAATATTTGCTTTACTAGTCAATATTTTATTTCTATATATATATTGTAGAAGATATAGAAGTATAACATACATACATAAAGTGTACACATAATTGTGCAGTTTGAAGAATTATCACAACTTCTCCCCATGTACCCAGCACCCACACTGAGAACTAGAACTTTACTATCCCCCAGAAGTCCCCTCGTGCCCCCTCCTAAGGGCTGCTCTCTCACTCTTCCCAGGAAAATAATCATTATTCTGCCTTCTAATAGCAGAGGTTCATTTGCCTGGTTTTTATACAGAATGTACTGTCTTGTGTCTGGCTCTGTCGCTCAGCATTATGCTTCTCATATGAAAACGCACCCAGTCTGTCAGTCACCAGGAAATATTTAGAAGTTAAAATCACAACAGTGTCCCACGAGATCCAGTGCCGGTGAGGGCGTGGAGCACTGGGTCCCTTATACACTTCCTGTGAAGAGGGACTTGGTAAATCACTTTGGAAAACTAAATGGCGGTATCTACTAAGGGCTGTTTATTGGCTTTCTGGACGTACTGTTTTGTGAAGTGCTTATTTTAAGATATTAGAAAAAGAATTAAAAGACAGCAACAACTAGGTCCTACTGTACAGCACAGGGAACTCTGTCCAGTCTCCCGGTTTAAGCCATAATGGAAAAAAATATTAAAAAAAAAAGAAGGTATATATGTGTATAACAGAGTCACTTTGCTATACAGCAGAAATTAGTACAACATTGTAAATCAACTATACTTCAATAAAAAAATTTTTTAAATAAAAAAGAATTTAAATGGATCATCACTTAAAAAAAAAAAAAATTAAGGGACTTCGCTGGTGATCCAATGGGTAAGATTCCGTGTTCCCAATGCAGGGGACCCAGGTTCGATCCCTGTTCAGGGAACTAGATCCCATACGCATGCCACAACTAAGAAGTCCGCATACTGCAACTAAAGATCCTGCATGCCGCAGCTAGACATGCTGCAACAAGGATCCCGAGTGCCGCAGCTAAGACCCGGCGCAGCCTAAATAAATAAATAAATATTTTAAAAAAAGAAAGAAAAGACAGCAAAACAAAATGGAAAGAGGGACATTAATAAAGATAAAAGCCAAAATTAATTAAATAAGAAAATCAGAAAAAGAAAACCAAAACCTGGTTTTCAAACTACTATAAAGCTAATTAACACCTGTAAACCTATTTTAAGATAAGAGAGAAAAAAAAAAAGATATGAGAGAGAGAGCGCCCAAGATTAGGAATAGGAAGAGATGAAATAAAGAAAAAACAAATTATAAAAGAATATTAGAATGAAACAGGCTAGTGAGCTCAGAAACAGATCCATTCGCATTTGGATACTTGATTTATGACAAAAATGGCACTAGTGAGAAGTGGGGGAAGGATAGTATTTTGACCAATCTTGCCACTATCTTTGCCCATGCACAAAATTATTCTAGATAGTTGTAGATATAAATGTGAGAGGTTAAACATTAAAGCTTCTACAAGATAACCTAGAAGAAAATGTTTATGACCTTGGGATAGGCAGACTTCTTAAACAAACTGGTTACAAAAAACTCCTGGTATAAAGGAAGAGATTGATAAATTGGGCTATGTTAAAATTAGGAACTTTGCTCATTGAAAGCCATCATTAAGAAGGTGAAAAAGCAAGCCACAGAGTAGAGGAGATTTTGCAATACACATAACCAAATTGCACCCAGAATATATAAAGAGTTCCCACATATCAAAAAGAAAAAGATAACCCAATAGAAAGATGGATGAAAGACAAAATATACATTTTTGTTGATAAAAGAAAATGGAGAAGGATGCTTATGTCTTTTCTAGGCAAACATATATACAACGAGTTTTCTTCATTTAGGCCTTGTGATTACTATTTAGTGGCAGCACACACACTGGAGGAGAGGGACACAGAGAAAAGACAGCTGGAACTATAAAAACTAAAGTTATGAAGTAACAGCTTTGGCCACAGACTAAGTTAAAATAAATGTGTCGTCCTGAGTCAGGCACTTGAAGGGAAATGAAGCAAACGACTTGCTTCAGAGAGGACAGCTGCTGGTCTAACTCATTCAATGTCTTAATTAATCTGGCATCCATAATAGATGCTTCTGAGACATGGTGTCCACAGAAGAGAAGACGATTCCTGCAGTTGACGTCAGTTAGCTGCATTCAGAAACTCGCCATCCATGCCGCAATGGCTTCTGTTTCCTACATGGAATGGCAGTTATGACCAGGATAAGGATTCTCATTAAGAACCCTGTGTACAAAGACTTGATGTTCTTTAACACTTCAGCTGAAGCTTCATTGCAAAGGAATCATGTACTCAGGCCAGCCATTGAGAGAATGGCTCAGCCACAGCACGTTACCTATGATCCCAGAGTGATATCTTCAGCACTATCTGGTAGACAGAACACTCTGATAGACATTCCATTTGATTCTCTCAACTACCTGGTGAGGTAGACATTATTTCCTCCACACCATACATGAGAAAACTGAGGTCCAGGGAGTTAAATGAATAAAGTGCAGAGAACACAGTCAATGAGTAGAAGAACCAGTTCTCTACTCTGAAGTTTTCTTGGTCCAAGATCTGTGCTCTTGCCATTCTACCACACTGAATGATTAGGGACTTAGGGACCAGGGGTGAATGGATCAATGATAATGCAATAAATCACATACCTGAAATACCAAAACCGATGATAAGTGCAATTGCTCCAGCCAGAATAATGGTGGTGCTAATAATGCTGTGGAGAGAGAGAAAAACAGGAAATTACTTCTTCATTCCACTTGACGTGCTGCTTCGCAACCTGGGCTCATACCTGTCATTTGTAAGAGGTGTTACATAAAGAGTCTCAACGTTTTCTTCAACATAAGCTCTTTCCTAGAAATAGGTACCTTAGAAAAGAATCTCAGCGATCTCATCCCTGTCCCCCTGGGGTGCTGGGATAGATTGAAGGAGTGGCTCTTTTATCAGGCTATGTGTGTCATCGTTCCTATTTCCAGGTCAGTGAAGACCATACACAAAGACTGCTGGGGAAAACCCGATGGCATTTCTGTAATGCCAGGTGCCACTTGAGGGGGGACTGGTTCCATCCCCAGCCCACCCTGAGCATTACTGCCCATCCCTCTTACATCATTAACCTATCTGTTTTGTCTCCTTCCATAGACTTTAAACTCCTAAGGACAGCGGTCATGTCTTCATTTTGTACCCACTCATCTCTAGTCCACTTCACCCTGCAGATCCTCGACAGGAGTTTGTTTCCTCTTATTAAAAAAGTAAGACAGAAAGTTTAGAAAGTACAAATAAGCAAAAATAAGACAATAAAGTCACCTGTAACTCCACCATCCAGACATAACAACCACTGACTTCTTGATATGTATCTCGCCAGTTTTCAATGAGCAGATTAACAAATGACATTTGGGAAATAAACAAATAAGGAAGTATTGCTTACATTTACTGAGTGCTAGAATTACATAGCAGACATGTTGTTTTAGGCACCATTTATGGATTATGTCATTTATCCAGGTGATAATCTTATGAGGTAAACAAATGTACTATGTCCATTTTACAGATGAGGAATGACACAGGGAGGTCAAGCATCTTCCGTACATTCACACGGTTGGTAAGTGGTAGGGCTGGGATTAGAATCTGTCTCCAGAATCTGCACCTGCCTACTTCCTACGCTGCCTCCCAGGGGTGAGGGCTCACAAGTGGTCTGTCCCTCCTCTCTGCCCAGAGGGGCCCATGAGGGGATACCGGCTTTAGCTGGTGAGAGTGACTCAGGCAGAACAGAAGGTGCAGGTCAGAGCTGGCATGGGGGCAAAACAGTTCCTGGGAAGCTCGCCCAGTGCTGCCTGCTCTGGTGCATAAGTCATCAGGCAGGTGTCCTCGGCCACACGTTCATTGCTGGCAACTCATACCCTCCCCACACCCACGCTGATGTTACGCAACAGGCACGACAAAAGAAAGGCACAGAGAGGCAAAGAATGATGCTATAGAGAGAAAAGGGAAGCACGGGGCATTTTACTTGCTGCCCTGAATAGGCTCATTGTACCCAGCTCTCCTCAGCTCAGGGATGGGCCCACCAGAGAGAAACAACAGACTTACAAGAAACAATCTGAGTAAACAGTTACCCTGGAGGATAAACCCTCATGAGGTACAGCCATAGGGGCAGCAATTGAATAAGCAAAACGAAGCTTTTAATAATAGGGTATCTGCAGTTGACTCCAAGAAGAGGCCACATTTGACCACTTCCTCTTTCTTTACACACCCAGGTGTGGCCTCAGATCTTACTGGTCCAAGTGTGTGAGAACAGGTGGACAAACTCATAGCAAGAGGTATTATACTATCCGGCTCTCTTTGACTACTGAGCTGACAGCAGACTTGCTTTTGTGACCCAGGAACTCACTCACCTTTTGGGTGAATTACTTCATCTCTCTGAGACTCCGTTTATCCTTAGAATGGGAATAAGAGTAATTCCTGCTCTACCTTCTGTGTTACAGGTTGATGTGTGTCCCCCTCCAAATTTGTATTTTGAAGTCCTAAGCCCCAGAACCTCAGAATGTGACTTTATTTGGAAATAGTCATTGTAGATGTGATTAGTTAAGATGAAGTCATACTGGAGTAGGGTGGGGCCCTAATTCAACGTGACTGGTGCCCTTATAAAAAGGGGGAATTTGTGCTCGCAGGGAAAGCACCATGTGAAGATGAAAGCAGAGATCTATAAGCCAAGGAACACCAACGTTTGCCAGCAAACTACTAGAAGCTAGGGCAGAGGCCTGGAACAGATTCTCCCTCACAGCCCTCAGAAGGAACTAACCTTGCTGACACCTGGACTGCTAGTCTCCAAAATAGTGAGACGATATGTTTTTCTGTTGTTACCCAGTTTGTGGTACTTTGTCACAGCAGCCCTAGCAAACCAATACAAATGAGTTGTTTTAAGAACAAAACTGACAATGATTGTTGCATATTCCATAAAGGGCTATTCATATGTTACTTTTTACTATACAAAATTTACTTGTGGCTTTTTGCTGCAAGCTTATTCTCAAAAGCTAGGACTTAAGTCTGGAGAATAACCCTACTGGTGATAATGAAAATATCATAGTAGTTTGATATATCGAAAAAAGCATGTACTGGGCTTGGTGCTAAGCATTCAATGTTCATTTTGTCATTTGCTTGAATTACCAGATCCTGTTCTCCTTAATTTCTCTCATATTCCTCCATTTCTATTTCCACTGTTCCTGGTCACCATCATGTCTCACCAGCATCACTGCAACACTCTCCTGACAGCCCTGCTTCTGGTCTAGACCTCTCCAATCCATTCTTCACACTGCCAGAATCAGTGGTGACCTCAGAATTTCTGTATGAGCGTGGCTTAGGGGAGATAACCTAGTTGAAAGCAAGGCCGAGGGTGATCACTGAGGCAGTATAATACTGTAATCACAAGCATGGCTTCTGGATCCAGCCTGAACAGGTTCAAGTCCCAGCACCACTACTTACTAATTGTGTGACCTCAAATTTCCATTCCTTCTTGTGAAGATTGAGTTAAACACATTTTAAAAGATCACCTAGAACGGTGTCTGGCGCATAGGAAGCTTTAATGATATTAGCTATTATCATTCTTGTTTTTCTGCTACGGTTATATAACAAGCACATGTTTCTAATGAAGTATATATTTTCTTGGTGGTGCTGATGGAAATGGTTGTGAGGACCCACTGTTACCCTTTGGTTAGCTACTGAGCTATTGGTAAGAATGATCACAAAACTAATCATTATACTCCTCTGCTTAAAACTTCAAGTGCCTTTCTATTTCCCTCATGATAAAAATCCACTTTTTGATGTAGCCAGCATGGCCTTCCAAAGGGGGCCTTGCCCTGTCTCTCCAGCCTTGCCTCTCCCCACACTGCCCCTGGGGTCCTGCACTCCAGTCGCACTGAACCATCACAGGTCTCCCTGCTGCAGACCTACCCTCTCTAAGGAGGGGGTTTGGACAGCAGAGACACTGAACAGACACCTGGATACTCACCAACAGGAAGGGGACAGCGGAGGTTTTAGGTTTCAGTCAAAGCAGCTGAGCCCATCTTCCTTACCCCCAGGCCCACATGCTTCGCTCGTTGTGGAAGCAGAACCCTGCCGTCTGGCAGCAAGTTCCCTATCTAAGCAGAAATCACCTTGAGGTTTGTTCTGAGCTGGTATTCCCTTGGGAAACCACTCAACCTCCAGAGCCTTGGAAAGAGAGGCAGGAACTATCAGAACAGCCAGATGAAATAATTCTTGTCTGCTGCTTATTAATTTTTTAAAAAGATGAATAAAATATTTCACATAAGGTGTTCTTACATTGCTTTGTGGTTTTTACCTCCCCAGAATAATTTCCAATAACTGCTCTCCAGGAAATTTTTAATGCAAATCTGTGTCTTCTAACCACTGCACTGGAATTCACAGTGCACATCTGTTAGACCCTCCTGACAAAAGAGCCCAGATGAAAGTCGATGCCTTTGGAGGATTTGCTCACTTAATAAACATTTATTAAGTACTTACTATGTGAAAGACATTGTTCTGGGCAATAGGGAGAAAGTAGAGAGATGACGTAAACAAAGTGCCTGCCCTCAAGGGACTTACAGTGTAACTGAGGTAAAACACACACACACACACACACACACACACATAAAACATACACAAACATACAGATGCACACACAGACACACATAACACACCACTGTAATAAGACATAATGTGGTGAGGGCTTCCGTAAAGAGAGGAACAAGTTCTCACAGGAATTTTGGGGAGGTAGGAAGTATTTAAATCTGAGAGAAATAGGGAGAATCAAAGTGCAGTTTCGTGACCAAATTTCAAAGAAAGTAAAGAGAAAGGCTTTGTTCAGAAATATATTTAGCTAATTCATGCTGCAATACAGTCTCTCTCCAGGGCAGAACCAAAAAGAAAAGTGGTTGTTTCTGCTGCACTGCATGGGGTCAGGACCCAAGCATCACACTTTAGTGCTCTGGGCCGGGAGAAGGTGATTTCAGTGGCTGTAGAGCTCTGCCTTTCAGGGGAGGGACCAGCCTTGCAGCCTGGGAGTCTGCAAACACATCCATCCTACCCAAGGATGGCCTTGCTCAGTTCCTTCACATGTCTTTGCTTCAGCTGCGGCCGCTCTCTGCGGCACTTGAAAGAAATGAGGCATTTCTGTGAAGACATGTTGTGTTCCTGAAAAACCTCACATTCTACAAAATCACACAATGAAGGTAACAGGGCTGATGGGAAAAAATAGGGTTAAGAGCAGATTATTCAAAGTCTATGTGACTTTGTAATTGGTCTCTAAGAGATGCAGTAATCGGTACCTTGGGAGGTAAATTGGATGGCCAAAGCAGGCAGCCCACCCAGTAGGCCCAGAAGATGCTTTGGGGAAAATTTAAAATGCACAGAAACAATTGAGTCGAAACTCTGACTTAAGGTGCCGTGAGCCAGTGAGACTGCTGTGAAGGTGAGTGTGATGGGGGGAAGTTGAACCTGGGAGGTGCAAGGAACCTGGGATGTGTGTCTCTGGGGCAGGAGCCCCAAGGGCAGGTGTTCATTTAAAATTAAAAGAAAAAAAGAACGGAAAGCCACACTGAGCCCTTCCCACTGAAGTTGTCATTCTTCTCTGCTATTTCAGCTCCCCTTGCCTTGGAAAAAGTTGCATGTGAACCAATACTATTTCCATGGTAAGCCAGTATTGTTCCCCTATTTTCCAACCACATATGAGCTAATTAGTGCTCTAGAAATCTATATAGCAGCAGACAGACTGTATTAACGAATTACCAAGAAATAAACTGGGATAGAGATACCTACCTCTTAAGGACAATTCTCATTGTATCAGAGGTCCATGAGGGTGATAAAACAATAGCTAATTCTTATTGGTCATGTTCTGTGTGCCAGCGCTATGCATACAGAGTCTCGTTCATTCCTTACAACAATGCTACGAGGCAAGTACCACTATCTTTACCTTTTGACATGTGGGGAGACTGAGGCTTAGCTTAAGTAAATGACCAAAGCTCTCACAGCTAGAAAATGGGAGAGCCGGGTCTTAAACCCAGGGAGTCCAACTTGTGAGCCTGTGCTCCTAAGAGCCACACTTCTAGAAAAAAGTGCCATATGGCAGGAGGCTACAAGGTTGGAAGGCTCCCTTGGCCTCACCCCTGCATATCTTCTCTCGCTCCATTTCTGAAAACAAGGCCTTCCTTGATCCGCTACGCGGATGTGTAGAGCACACTCATCCCAGAAGACGTCAGCTGCTCTTTGTTTTATTCAAACATTAATGGTTTCTCTGTTGTCCAGTTTCAGCCTCCTTCTCAAATACTTAGAAGCTGAGAGATACCACATTCCTTATAGATCATCAGCTTACCTCCACTTGTGTAACTGGTAAATGATGAACGCTCTGAAAATTAGATTAAGTTAGCAAACGTGGGATTAATCTGAATAAATTCTACTCTTAAATATTACAAGCAGAATATTTGAGTAAATCAGGTAAATGTTTGAATCAATCAAACATATTACTTTGTTCATAAACTAATAAAGTAACTAGGTTTATAAAGGAATGCTGAAATTGAAGACATTTATTTCAGCCTATCCAAAAAGTTTCTCTTTCTCTCTCTCTTTCTTTTCCCCATAAAAGGAGAAAAGGAATTATTTTAAATACTATATGAAGCACTGGGCTTCAAGGTAAAATTATGTAACTGTTTTCTAGATATTGATTAGTACAGGTTTTAGGTTTCTGAGAAGTTTAGATTGCCATGTACTCAAGTTCTTTTTTTCCCTGAAGAATCCAGGACGTAGAGTATGTTTCCCTAACTCTAAGTGCCTCTCCTTCATCTCTTTATATTGGGAAAAGCAAGGCGAGCGTGGATCCAGGGAACCCAGACCGTGAGCATCAAGAGTGGGGAAGAAATTGGCAAAGAGGAGGCGCTATTCCTTGCAGCTTGAGGAGCGTGTGTGGAAGAGGGCGCCTCCTTTCTGGGCAGGCCTGCTCTGTCCACACTGCGGCGGTCAGCATGGCTTTGTGTTCGGGAAAGGGATTTTAGGAAACTGCGTATGAGAGACTTGGGTGCTCTCAAGGGTCAGGTTGAGGCATCCTTTCTTCTTTCAAGCTGCCACTAGGGGTCGTGACACAGGGTTGTGGGGTCCTCCAAAGCACAGGCCCCAGGGTTACATCATACGTGGGCCCCAAGGCCACAAAAGCAGGGAGACATGACCAGCAAATAGATTTCATCTCGTACACCAACTTCTTTTGAATGATTCTTGGTGGTGGCCTAGGATATTGTGTTGGAAAAGATTGCAAGGCTGCCTCGGGGCTCAGCAAGAGAGAGGGCCACCACTGATGAGAGATTTCTAAGTGAGCATTTCCAAGTGAGCCCTATCCCTGGGTTAACAGCAACACATGAAAGGGGGTTTTAACTGACCGATCACTACGAACTACCTGAGTCTCAGGCTAATTTAATGGCAAAGTAGGGCAGTGTTAGCTGACACTCCAATGTCAGCGAACAGTCCAATGGCAGTGTTAGCTGACACTCCTCCGTGTACATTTTGGGCCCTAGGCTTTAAGAAGAACACTGATGAACATGTATATTTAGGACAGTGTTTCTCAAGATCAGCCCTATCGACTACTTGGGCCAGATAATTCTTGGTTGTCGGGCTGTCCTGTGCATTATAGGATGCTGACAGCAACCCTGGCGTCTAGTTAGGATACCAGTAGCACCCCTGCCCCACTGGTGACAACCTAAAATGTCTCCAGATGTGCTACCCCAGTTGAGAATTGTTGATCTAGGAGTAACAGGACCACGGTGGTGATGTGATTAGAAGACAAGTCTTTTGAAGAATAGTTAGGGAAACCAGGGTAGTTTAATGTAGACAGGACTAACTGTAGTGATGAACATTCCAAAACTTGAAAGGTGCTATACGGGCCTATTCTCCACCACTCTGGAAGCAACGAAGCCAGTAGGTGAAAGTTCTAGGAGGTTAGCTTTAGATTCGCCATACAGAGAAACTTTCCAACAGAGCTTTCTGGCGCTGGCCTGAGACTGCAGTTTCCCATCACTGTGTGTGGCGTACAAGCAGGGGCTGAGTACCCACTTAGGGAGAGAAGTGGGAAGGGAAGAGTTTCTGGTACCAAACAAGGGTTGGAGCAATTCTGAAAGTCCCTTTCAAATACAGTATTATAGTTAAATGATTCTGTAATTTGATATTCCCTGGGATTTGCTCTGGCCTTGCCGTTGCCACAGTTGCGTATTCTGTATATGCCTCCTAAAACCTCTGTTAACAATGAGAGCTCATACTTACTGAGTGCCTGACCTCATTTATCTCATTTAATCCCCACAACAACCCTATGAGGTAGGTCCTATTATCTTTGTTTTACAGGTGGGGAAACCGAGGCCTAGTATTAAGGAACTCATCCAAGGGCTCATACCCGGGGAATTAGACTCCACTGTCCATGGCCTTCATTATTATACTCTATTTTATACAAATCCAAAGTTTTGAAAATCCCAGGGGTCAAATCTGTGTCCAGGCTCATGTTTTGTACAGTTGTAACCTATGGAAGGACAACGTGGCCAGGTTTACATAGATTGAAGGAGTCCCTCTCGCCCAGGAGCTATCTTTTGTCTGAAACTCTGAAAGGAAAACAGGAAGGGGGAATGTCAGGTGGGAAAATACAGAATGTTCATAACTAGACATCTTTCCCTAAACAATGTTGGAGTTTGCAGCGAAGCCATTCTATTTCATTCTTAAGCTGGCTCTATTTATAACCGTCCCCCTGATTGCCCACGAAGCCCACATTAGCATTTCATCAGGCGGGTGCACAAGCAGAGCGAGACAAAAGTCAATACAAGGTTGATTACTAGTCCTTTTCCTAATCATACCTGTATTTTCCGTTCCTCCTTGTTCTCACCTCAGAGAAAAAAAAAACATTTCCAGAAGATTCCTTCAGCAGCATAACCGATCCCATTGTGTTTAATAACAAACACACTTCAGCCCTTTTATGAACCTCCATGGCAGCAGGGAGCTTGAATCACTGAGAATGCTGCCATTCATCCTATACCAGTGTCCAAATTAAACACTTCCACCTCCACAGGATTCTTGTAAGGGCCCAAAGAAACAAACCATGCTTTGTAACGTGTAAATATTAGCTATTATATTAAAATTATAAAGGTTAATTTGAATTTTTTACCCCTTCTTAGTACCCCCTAATTTAAACGACTTCTCATTGCTGTAAAGTTCAAACTGAGCCTAGAATTTAAGACCATCCTAAAAGGCCATGCTGTCTGTCTAACCCTTCTCCCCATCTGGAGCCCTGTGTTCCATCGGGCTGATCTCCCCGTTGCCCTCTGCCTAGCACATCCTTCCACCTCCTTTCTGGTTATCAAGAGCGGGTCCCGTTCAAAGCCCAGCTCAGCTCTGTCTGTCCCCTGGCGTCTCTCCTGAAGGCACAGCCCAGAGCATGCTCTCCTTTCTCTTTCCTTAACAGAGTTTAGAGAGTGGGGCGGGAAGGTGAACCCCAGAACCCGTGAGAGAGAAGGAGGGCCAGGCACTGGCGTCAGGATGGGAGGCGGAGGCAGGGGCTGGATCTGAGTCGGTCTGATGGGGAAGCACCGCGCAGGCTCCCTCCGCTAACCCTTCCTCCCCTCGGTCACTGTGGTCCGGGCCTTGGGCAGACGGAGGGCCCGCAGAGCGTGAAAGATCTAAGGACTGGGCCACCTGCGCAGCTCCCTAAAGCCACATTTGACTGTCTGGCTTTTTATTCCTTGACCTGCCTTCAGGATCATGTGCTGTCACTGAAGAGATTCAGAGCACTGCCTGGGCTGTCCCTTCCCAGAATGCCTAGCCCTGCCATCAGTTTACTGTTTATTCATTAATAAAGCTGGAAACAAGTATATTGGGCACCCGCCGAGCACTTCTCTACCCAAGCACACGTACCTGTCTTAGGCAGTCTGATGCCTCGGCGTCCTGAAATGGGACCCAAGGACATACTTGTACACTCCAAGGCTTCTATCACTCACGCTCTTTATTTCAGTAACACTAAAAAATATCCCCAGAGAAAAGCAGACCACTGTATCCTGGAAATCAGTAGGGATACGGTGCATAGTCTTCCAAAAGTCCTACCAGGAATTCTGCAAATCCTCACCTGCTAGGACTCACATGTAGGATTCTCGTGTTTTAGCTGTGGGCACAGTTCTGCAGGTGTGGCCATGGAAAGTTTTTGAGGACGGAGGTGTGGCAATCAGGCTGCCGGGCCCATTCTTTGAGGGCCTGGCCTGTCTGAGCTGCACTCATCAGCTGCCCTGGGGCTGCCCTGTGTGCCATGACAAGCCTTGGTTTCCCACACCAAGGACAGTTCTGAAACCCAGGGCAGGGGAAACACTCCCTGTCCTAGGATCTCCAGCTGTTCTCAAGTTGAACTCCTTTGTGGACCTATTACAGACGCAAAGTTTCCCTGGCCTTCCTGGAATCTGCGCCCTGCCTCTGCCCTGGAGCTGGGCTTGAACCCAGGCCTTCTGGTAATGATTTCAGATTCTGCTCTCTGTCTTTCCCCCTCTGGTCCAGCCTGAATTCTGGGACCCTGGTCTCAGCTTTCTCCTGTAGATTCATGGTTCCTGCATTCCCCTGATACTATTACATGCAATAAGGTCCTACTGTGTTCTCCTGTACCGACCCCCGACTCCCGTCCCAGACCCTTGTGGGCCACCCTAACCCACCGTGGCCCAGGGCCAGGCATTGACCCAGAGACTGGTTACAGGGCTACAATGAAACACAAGGTTTCTTTTTACCTTCTGATTAAGACTTCTACATATTCAGATACCATATTCTAGTAACAGCTTAAGATTTAAATCTCAAGTATTGATTTGAGCATTAAAAAATGAAGAAAGCATATGAATTCTGAAAGGTTAAAAAGTTTGAACACAAATAAAAGCTCAAGGAGAGTTTACATAAATTTGTGGATAATTTATCCCATTTCTTGCCCCACTTCTGGCCCCCTACTTCCATGTTCCATTTGTTCTAAACTATCTTGGGCCCCTAAATAGGCCAGGCTGTTTCTTGTCTCTATGCTTTGTTCATGTTGTTTTTCCAGTTCTTGGAACATGGTAGGAACTTAATGTTTGTTGAATAAATTCTCCACTTTAGAGAATGCTTCCCCTCAGAGTGTCTAGCACATAGTACTTAAAACTTGAAGTAATGATTAAATTAAATATCAATACTGTGTTACTAAGGGAAACTAACACATTCTTAATTTTTGAGCAGCCAATTATGGGAGAAATTATCATTTATCTTCTTCTCTTAAGGGAAATATTGAGAGTTTTGGAGTGACATGTACACACTGTTATATTTAAAATAGATTACCAACAAAAACCTACTGTATAGCAAGGGAACTCTGCTCAATATTCTATAATAACCTAAATGGGAAAAGAATTTGAAGAAGAATAGATCCCAGTATACGTATAACTGAATCACTTTGCTGTACACCTGAAACTAACACAACATTGTTAATCAGCTATACTCCAATATAAAATAAAAGTTTTTAAAAAAAGAGTAAAAACTAACAAGAAAAGTATAACTATTGACACAAAGATTTAAAAAATTTAAAAAACTAAAGGAAAATAATCTTTTAAAAATTGTAGTATGTGAAATCTTGCCAGTGCTATGAGTTATAACAAAATGCCTTGGAGAGTTGGACATAGGAGAAGACCTGGTTGGCTGGGGTCACGAAGGGAACCTGGAAAATGAATTAATTGATAAAAGCTATGCTTGATTACTTGTTAAACTTGTGTCCTTTCAGTCATTCCTCTCCACAAATGACTTACAAAATAGAGGTGTACCTCTAAAAGAAAACTTTACAGGGAATGAAAATTTAAATTTCCAGCAATAGTGAATATAAATATCTTTAAAAAAATCTAACTTTATAAATGCTGAATAAAACAAAACAAAGCAAAACCAGACACATATTTTTGAACACTTGGTTTTGCTGGCAAGAAAAAGGAGAGAAATGTGCAGAGGCTAAAAATGAAGGAGACACATGAATCCAGACAAGAGAGTGCTGAACAGTGGCTATCTATGCTTCCCAGTGACCAAAAGCTTCTGTCTTAAGAGCCATGCAGAACACAGAGACAAAGTTAAGGGGCCACATAAGCTAGGGGCTCTAATTGTAGACTCACATAAGCTAGGATCCCTACTTCCCCAAAGGACAATAACCTCACTTGGTCTTGGTTCTGAGTGAAGAGAAAAAAATACTCTCCTGCGAGTGTGTATGTACCAGCCAGTCATCATGCAGGTTTGAGGCCCGAATTCACAACACATCCAGCCCCAAAGAATCCTAAACCAAGAATGAAGTTTAAAGCATTCCTAGTTGGTAAAGTCCCAATGCTTAATAGAAGCAAAAGGAAATATTCTCTGAAGAAATGTACTCTCCACCAGATGAATGGATAAAGAAGATGCGGTATATATACCCAATAAAATAAGAATGAAATAATGACCATAAGTAAGAATGAAATAATGCCACTTGCAGCAACATGGATGGATGTAGAGATTATCATACTAAGTGAAGTAAGTCAGAAAGGGAAAGACAAATATCATATGATATCGCTTATATGTGGAATCTAAAATATAAGAATGAACTTATTTACAAAACAGAAATAGACTCAGACATAGAAAACAAACTTATGTTTACCAGAGGGGAAATCTAAAAAAGAACATCTATATATATGTGTGTGTGTGTATACATAGTTTTATATATACAACTGGATAACGTTGCTGTACACCCGAAACTAACACAACATTGTAAATCAACTATATTTCAATAAAAATTTTAGAACATAGAAAATAAAAATGATTTTCCCACCTCAAAAAAAAAAAAAAAAAAGAAAAAAAATGTACTCTCAACCCAGGGCTCAATAAATTTCAGCAAATGAAATTCCCCAAAATACAAGCTCATGATAATACAAAAAAAAAAAAAACCCACTAAGTACACAGAGAAACAACTACCATGAATAAAAGCTTATAGAAACAAGCAGATTTTTTTTTTTTTGCGGTATGTGGGCCTCTCACTGTTGTGGCCTCTCCTGTTGCGGAGCACAGGCTCCGGACGCGCAGGCTCAGTGGCCATGGCTCACGGGCCCAGCCGCTCCGCGGCATGTGGGATCCTCCTGGACCGGGGCACGAACCTGTGTCCCCTGCATCAGCAGGTGGACTCTCAACCACTGCACCACCAGGGAAGCCCAAACAAGCAGATTTGGCATGAAAAGACTTTCAATATTGAAACCACTAGATACAGAGCATAAGCTAAGATTTTCAAATTTGTTCAAATAAATGAAAGAGGGAATGGAAAGCCTGAGTAAGGAACAAGAGACTAAAAAAACTGATCAGAAAAATTTGAAAAAGAACTAGACAGAATATCTAGAAATGAAAAATAAATAATTGATTTTTAAAACTCGCTGGACAGGTTAAGTAATAGATTGGGTACAACGGGAAGAGAGAATTAGTCAATCAGAAATAAGAGTTGAAGAATTACACACGGTATAGTATAGAGAAACAGGTTAAAAATATAAAAGAGGGGGAGGAGGGGGATCAAGATGGCAAAGTAGGAGAAGCTCACTTGCCCCCACAAACATGTCAAAAACACTCTACATGTGGAAAAATTCTCACAGAAAACCAACTGGAAACTGGCAGATTTCCTATACAACCAAAGCTGCACATAAGATCCTCATGTAACTAGATAGGACAGGAGGAAAAAAAAAGGCAAAATAGACTTTAAAATGAAGTCCATAAAGAAAGACAATGATGGACATTATATAATGTTAAGAGATAATACAAGAAGAGGATATTACATTTATTAAGATATATGCACCCAAGAGAGGAGCACCTAAACCCATAAAACAAATACTAACAGACATAAAGGGAGATATTGACAGGAATACAATAATTGTAGGAGATTTTAACACCTCACTGACATCAATGGACAGATAATCCAGACAGAAAATCAATAAGGCACAGAGTTTCTAAATGACAAACAAACCAGTTCAACGTAATTGATAACTACAGGACATTACATCCAAAAACAAAACCCAGAATACACATTCTTTTCAAGTGCACACGGAACATTCTCTAGGATAGACCACATTCTAGGTCACAAAACAAGGCTCAACAAATTTAAGAGGACAGAAATTATTTCAAGCAACTTTTCTGATCTGAAATTAGATATTAACCACAGGAAAAAAAAAACAGGAAAAGAATGAATACTTGGAGACTGAACAACATGCTACTAAAAAGCCAGTGGTTAGGGCTTCCCAGGTGGCACACTGGATAAGAATCTGTCTGCCAGTGCAGGGGACATGGGTTCGATCCCTGGTCGGGGAGGATCCTACATGCCGTGGGGCAACTGGGCCCATGCGCCACAACTACTGAGCCTGCATGCCTAGAGCTGGGCCCATGCACCACAACTACTGAGGCTACATGCCTAGAGCCCATGCTCTGCAACAAGAGAAGCCACTGCAATGAGAAGCCCATTCACCGCAACGAAGAGTAGCCCCCACTTGCCGCAACTAGAGAAAGCCCGTGTGCAGCAACGAAGACCCAACACAGCCAAAATTTTTTTAAAAATTAAAAAAAAAAACAGTGGCTCAATGATGAAATCAAAGAAGTCAGAAAATAACACAAGACAAAGGACAATGAAAACACCATGTAACAAAGCATATGGGATGCAGCAAAAGCAGTTCTAAGAAGGAAGTTCATAGTGATATACAAGCCTCCCTCAAGAAACAAGAAAAATCTCAAACAATCTAACCTACCACCTAAAAAAATTAGAAAAAGAAGAACAATCAAAATCCAAAGTTATCATGAGGAAGGAAATAATGATCAGAGAGGAAATAAATAAAATAGAGATTAAAAAAAACAATAGAAAAGATCAAT